GTTAGTGTGCTAGTTAGGTTAGCTCAGAAATCTGGTATCAGGAGAATATAATGTGCGAGGAGATTGAAGGTTAAAATAAAATTTAAGTGAGGTTAGGTTAGCGTGCTAGTTAGGTTAGCTCTGAAATCTGGTATCAGGAGAATATAATGTGCGAGGAGATGGAAGGTTAAAATAAAATTTAAGTGAGGTTAGGTTAGCGTGCTAGTTAGGTTAGCTCAGAAATCTGGTATCAGGAGAATATAATGTGCGAGGAGAGCGAAGGTTAAAATAAAATTTAAGTGAGGTTAGGTTAGCGTGCTAGTTAGGTTAGCTCAGAAATCTGGTATCAGGAGAATATAATGTGCGAGGAGATCGAAGGTTAAAATAAAATTTAAGTGAGTTTAGGTTAGCGTGCTAGTTAGGTTAGCTCAGAAATCTGGTATCAGGAGAATATAATGTGCGAGGAGATCGAAGGTTAAAATAAAATTTAAGTGAGGTTAGGTTAGCGTGCTAGTTAAGTTAGCTCAGAAATCTGGTATCAGGAGAATATAATGTGCGAGGAGATCGAAGGTTAAAATAAAATTTAAGTGAGGTTAGGTTAGCGTGCTAGTTAGGTTAGCTCAGAAATCTGGTATCAGGAGAATATAATGTGCGAGGAGATCGAAGGTTAAAATAAAATTTAAGTGAGGTTAGGTTAGCGTGCTAGTTAGGTTAGCTCAGAAATCTGGTATCAGGAGAATATAATGTGCGAGGAGATCGAAGGTTAAAATAAAATTTAAGTGAGGTTAGGTTAGCGTGCTAGTTAGGTTAGCTCAGAAATCTGGTATCAGGAGAATATAATGTGCGAGGAGATCGAAGGTTAAAATAAAATTTAGTGAGGTTAGGTTAGCGTGCTAGTTAGGTTAGCTCAGAAATCTGGTATCAGGAGAATATAATGTGCGAGGAGATCGAATGTTAAAATAAAATTTTAAGTGAGGTTAGGTTAGCGTGCTAGTTAGGTTAGCTCAGAAATCTGGTATCAGGAGAATATAATGTGCGAGGAGATCGAAGGTTAAAATAAAATTTAAGTGAGGTTAGGTTAGCGTGCTAGTTAGGTTAGCTCAGAAATCTGGTATCAGGAGAATATAATGTGCGAAGATCGAAGGTTTTAAGTGAGGTTAGGTTAGCGTGCTAGTTAGGTTAGCTCAGAAATCTGGTATCAGGAGAATATAATGTGCGAGGAGATCGAAGGTTAAAATAAAATTTAAGTGAGGTTAGGTTAGCGTGCTAGTTAGGTTAGGTCAAAAATCTGGTATCATGATAATGTTCAAGGAGTTGATTGAAGGTTAGGTTAGAGTGGTAGTTAGGTTAGGTCAGATTAGTTTGGGCGTTTTAAATTTTTACAAATCTTGTATCTAACCTAACTCACATGAAACTTAACTCTCAAGTCTTTAAAATGATCACCGATTTAAAATTCTTATTTATTGCGGCGTACAGCGTACTCTTATGGCGATTTAACTCGTGTATTACGAACAGATACTTTATTAAAATCGTTAAAATCTAGGTATAGGAAGGTATAAGCATTGAATTGATAGTTATAAATTCAATGGTATAAGGTATACCAAAGAGGTATACGGACGGCTGTCCGTTTACCCGCCCTGTCCTTTGGCATTCCAAAAACGCTATGACGCATAGGAATAGGCTATAATACAGGAGCGAAATGTTTAATTTTCGAGTTTCGTGGTTTACTCCTTTGACAGCGAAAGGCACAAATCCCAAAATGTTTATAGCCTTGCGGCTTGCCTGAGTTTTTGGTTAATATTTAAATAATCAAAGCAGAATACATTGGCTTGACATCTGTCTTTATTATTGGGGACTAACATTTTATCGCTAAATGCAGGACTCTTTATTACCACCATTATTTTAGTTGGAACTTACACCTCAAAGATGTCGCCACACTTATTCTGTAATGTACTTTATGAAACTAACGTTAGATGTCAGAGCGCGGTTTTAAAAAACCATAGATATATTAATTTTTAACGTTTAACTTCAAATGCATAATGAATAATGTTTGTTTATTTTATAGTTAAAAAAAATTAAACTTTGTTATCATTCCTTTCTCGATTACAGGTTTAAATTAGGGAACTGGCTACTGGGAGGGACAGGAAAGCGGCAGACTCAACCTTTGCTGAATATGATACTGTTCGCTCTGGTTTGTGCAATCGAAGACATGTAGTTCTCGAAGGATGAGAAACGTTAGCATTGAATTCAGACAACACAAATTGAAAAGGGAAATGCTTTGTAACCAAAACAGGAGGACACCGTGGAGAACTCGCAGAAAATCTAATGCAATTCAAACTTCTCAAGGTTAAAATCGGAACGATTACATGATTGCAGCAGCTGGCGATGGTGCGAAGCTATTCTTTAAAGAATTGAGCCTAGAATTTATTTGATAGAACTACGGTTATAGAAACGGTAGTGAAATTGGCAGCGAAATAAGGCAAAAGTGTTACGCAGTTTGCAATCACGAAAAAATGTGTTGTTTGTGCGATCTTCGTGTGAAAGTTGTTGTAAAACGGTTCAGTTTAATGTACCTGTTATTGAAATTGTTCTTCCAAGGGCTTTAAATAAACTCCTATGCATAAGAAGTTACGAATTGCAAAATAAATGTTTTCTGTTCATTGAGCATGATGTGTTGCCTACAAACCAGGCTACACAAATATCGAGTGCCCATATTCCAATTAGGGATTTGCTTGAATCTCCCCAATCTGCCGTTTTTATTGAGGGTAAGGAGGGTCTCCACGAACGAATGGCCCAGGGCCCCGAAAAACTTAAAAACGGCACTGCATTTAAGGAATAATAAGTGCAACGTTGCTATTAATCGCATAAATTCAAATAAGATTTTAAAAGAAGGTGCGTACGTGGCGACATCTCAACTAGACTTCTAAAACTATAATTGGTAGAAAGTGTATCGATTGCCAAGGAGATGGCGTACTAGTAAAACATATTGTATAAATTACCTATTCAAAAACCGGGCCTTTAAACATTGCTCTACAGATCTTGCAAGACTCCGTACATTTTGAACTGCCATTTATTAAGACTTCTCAATCAAAAGTTATAGACTAGAAACCAATTTCGAACGAAAATTCAAATCCAACTTGGCGATGATTATAGCCATTTCTCCTGCAGGCATCTCCAAGTGTGGGGTGGCTTGAGTGACACTGGGGACGGACGACTCTAATCATGGGGGTAGTACAAAGGGCCTAAAAGGAGTCCCTCTTGAAATCCAGAATGGTCCATTTTTAAGTACACTAGGTGGTTTATGTGGCGTGGCGTGAATTTTAAAGAAACTAAATAATTTGTAAATATCTACGAAAGAATACCATATAATTAAAGATAATATTAAATACATAAATGACACAAATCTACCATCAATACAAAAGTAAATTTAATCAAGGAAAAGTACATTTAACATAGAAGTTATTTTTACTGTTTGCAAGAACGTGTTAAACGCGTACGTTTGCCAGGTGTGTTCTCTTCGGTCGATTTCATAATAGGTTTACGTTTTGTCGATTTTTCTTTGCCGTACTTCGCTTCCAACGTTGAAAACAGACTATCCAACCTTTCCGTTTGTCGTTGATGAATTTCGTCGGCTAAATCGTTATCACTTATATTTAACTGCTCAGATCGTCTCTTTTCACGCTCCTCCTTCAATTTACGTTGAGTCTTTTTGCGCTTCGGTTCGTTAAAAAAGCAGTTAAATTCCTCCACCTCCTCGTTATCCACCATTTCTCTGACAATCTTGATTAGACGCGGTTCATTTTCGCAATTACTGAAAGGTACCATTTCGATAATGCGATTCATGTCGCCTTTACTGCCGACGTACGCCTTTTTAATATCATTTCTTTCAGTCTCCGAACCGATGTACTCGTCTTTAAATTTGTCGATGTCTTCTGTGGTAATTTTCTTAAAAATTCCTCTCCAATAATTTACCCAATTGGTGACAAAGAAATCATCGTCGTCGACGCTTCCACCTTCATCGTACACCTTGCGTTTATCCTCATCTTGTAGTATCGAGTGAATGTTACTCAGAAGCTTAAATTTTTCAGTTGATAACTCTTTGTTGGTCTCTTCGACTCGATCTGGATGATACAACAAAGAGAGTTTGTAGTAAGCTTTCTTTATGTCCTTTGCGGTTGCAGTTTTGTCCACATTGAAAATGTCGTAGAAATCGCGCGTATTGAAATACTCTTCACATTTATGTAGCAATTGGCTCATTTTGTGCAGATTTGAGTTTATTAAGGAATGAAAATACAACAAAATAAATTTAACCTTTTAGGTTAGAAAAAGCGGGATTGAACGACAGATTTAGACTAGAGACATCTTTTGGTAAGGAATTACATCTAATAAAATACATTAAAATACGTGCGCTGTTGCCAAGTATTACGCTACAAAAATTGTATACAGTATGTTGTCAAATTTGTAGTATCGCTCATTGAGCATACAGGTTGTCTTCGAACATGATTCTTTTTCTGTTTAATTTTTTTTATTGCAAACTAATTATAGGCATGAATTGCCAACCGTGGTTTTGTCCAAATAGAATAATAGTTTTATTTGTAATCGAGAAGATACATACATATTAATATTTTACTTCATTTTCAATACGATTTTTATCTACGCAACTCATTTCAAGACTAGAAGAACCTTTTTTTTGTTTCTTACTTTCCATAAGTATCCCTCTAACTCTGATTCACCGAGCCTCAACACACCAAGCCAAACGCCTCACTATAACGCAGGACATATTGCTCTCAATAAAGGATCCTGAGGTTGTTAAATTAAGGGGTTCCGCTTTTGGGGGCACAAATGGAACCGATTTCTTTGATACACGGGCACGGCAAGAAAAACATAGAATATTCAAGCCATCTTCAAGCTCTTCTGCTGCCACACCTGTGTGGCCGTGATATCACGACTATACTGTTAAGCTAAAAGTTCAAGTAGTAATAACATCACTATATCTCCTGGGACATTCTGTCAACCTGCCACCTCCTAGCAATGAGATACTACCCCATACTACATAGGGGAGCACTATCGTCAACCCTAAGGGTAAGTATCATTACTTGAATATCTGCCACTATACTAATCTAAAGAATTCAATCAGAGCAGCGTATCCACGTTCGTAACTACTCGAAGCCAGACTTGGAGAAAAACTTAGAGAACGGGGGACGCCTCTCGGGTCGTGCCCACTTACAGGACAATTAAGAAGTAGACGTAGGGATTTATGTGTATTGTTCTTCCTTATGTCTACTTTTAAATGACAAAATCTTTACTGATAGGCGCCTAATTTTATGCAACTAAAATAACCTTTCAAAACAAAGATTTGTCTGTCATATTAATTAATTTTAATATTGTTGCTTTGTTTTCCGTATTTTTACTTTCGTTCGTGTTCGATGTATTCAACTGAAGAAAAAGTTGATATTGTCTATTGGTATAGTGCCAGTAACAGTTTAAGGAGCGTAAGAGATTTATTTTCTATGAAGTATGTGCAAACAATATTCAAATTAATTAATATGACAGCCAGATCTTTATTTGTTTTAAGAAGTTATTTTGGTTGCATAAAATTAGGCGTCCTTTAGATTTTGTCATTTAAAAGTAGACATACGGAAAAGCAATACACGTAAATCCCTGTCTACCTCTAAAATAAATAGCCGTATCCTGTGAGACATGGATCTTTTCAAGAACTGGCTGCGCTTTCTTACCATTGGAAAAGCTCTAGAAAGGTTCTAAAGAGAAAAAAATAAAGGGCTAGGTACCTTGCATGTTTAGTTGAGTGAGCAAAAGCTCTATGAAGGATTTCGAACATTCTTCATTTGTTTTCCAGAACGTTTGACCAACAGGGCTTTTTTCTTTACCAGGTTCGAATTTGGATTAGAATGGAAATAAAGTTAGATGTCTCCATAAGAGTAGCTACACTTATATTTTACAAGTAATAAATACACATCCTATAATAAATAAATAAAATATATCACAGACAAGCCGTGCCTACAGATTTTGGTCACTTTTTGCATATGGTGAAACTTTCACGATAACAAAACCTCAAGCTGCATAAATAAGTAACATACGTTCAGAATTTCTTCGTAACTTAGAAAGGAAATACATTTATTTGTAGTCGAAAAGAAATACAGTGCTAAAGATACAATACTATTTTGCCATATTTTCAATACGTTTATCACTTGTAAAAATGTCTATACCTACGCCACACGAGCCTTTTTGTTCTCCTGCAGCTTCCGTTTATACGCGGAGCAAAGCAAAACCGGACACTTCTTCTCCTTACAGTTTTTGGCGTGAAAACAACACAACGTACTTAGCTGAGTGCAAATGGTGCACCCGCCTTGTATTTTACGCTTGCACACTTTAATGTGAGCCAAGATACGCTTCATCTTCTGGCAGCTCAGCGGCATGCAGTCGGGTTCCAAACAGTGACACGCATGTACGAGTGTACGAATGCAACGTTGAATCGTAAATTTACGCGCCAAGACGGCGCTTATGATGGTGGGGTCAGCGTTTTCGTTGACGCTCTGCTGTGTCGTTGCCTTTAACAGTTCCAAGTCGTGAGTTTGATTTTCCGAAAGACGCTTCTTTAGGAAATATTCGTTAACGACGGGGCAGCGAAGGATAACGCATCCGGGCGTTGAACACTTTAAGGTGTGGTAAACGTAGATGAGATAAAGTTGTTTGCAAAAGATGCAGTCGCAAATTAGACGCGTTCTTCTTATGTGCACGAATAGAGATTCGGCGGTCGCGTTGCTACCGTCTTGATCTCGGTACTTCTGCAACAGCATCTGAATGTAGCTTTTAATTAACGGTTCCTCTATAAGCGATAATGTGAATTTCATTTCGTGAATGTGGCCAGTTCTTTGGAAGCACTCCGGGCAGAGTTTGTAGTCGCAAGCTTCGCACTTGTTGTAACCGAAGTTTAAAGTTCTTCTGCAAATGTTGCAAAGCATTTTAACGCGCTCAGAGAGTTTTAGGAGTCGTGAGTGTGCTGAAAATGAATCAAGGTCAGGTAAATCTTATCGCAATACGAAAATTTTTGAAATATTGCAACATTACATCAAAACACAAAACAATTGTGATATTTTGCGATTCAAGAAGAAAGTTGAAATTCTTACCAAGTTAATTTGGAGACGGTCTTCAATCAAACTCTAAACGTGCGAGCGAAACGGGAATCTCTCACTTTAAAACTGTACTTTAAGCTGCACACTCAACGACAACCATTACGACCACGACCAAATGCACATCGTTACGATGAATATGAATACGTTAGTACGTGCCGGACGACAACATCCAATAGTAAATTAGTCCTTGAACGTTATGTTGGTACTGAAAAAGTTACTAAAAGACGTCCACCATAATGCACATACTGTAGAATTACAATACAGTATGTCCCGGCACAGAGCACTTCTTTCAGAAGCGAGACTTTTATTTTGGTGTACTGTCACCGCTACGGAATTATTAGTGTTTAAACTCAGAGGCGGTAAACTAGTTGTATTGCGGCCTTGGGGGCTATTGTACCTTCTGGCTTTATCCTCTTACTCCAAAAAACCTCTGCCGAAATATTGTTGCCTAGTATAGCCGAAACTGAGGGACAGGCTATACTCTTCCGCCTAGTATACCAGGGCATATACTCTCTCTCTTCTGTTGCATAACCGTCTGTGTAGTAGGGGTCTCCATTTAGTTGATTTTTAGTGCTCCCATCCATTATCCTTGATGTGGCATAAGGCACAGTCAGTCCCCAATATAACAATGCGATTAACACACGCCATCTGCATCTATTGAATATTGTCACCCCAGAATACCCTACCCACGCCCAGGTCTGTCGCTCTAGCGTACTTGCTGAATCTGTTTTCAATATATTTATAGGTAGTTCGTTCTTTTTGTATTTGGTGGCTTATAGCTAAGCACCTGACCTAAGAAAAATCCGATTAATTTGCGCATGCGCAATGTCAACTTTCTTATTTAATAATACCTTTGTTTATTCATTTTAAAAACAATGGTAATACTTATGTTTTGTTGAAATTTTAACCATAGATGCGCACTGTCAATGTTTTTATTTATGGTGACATTTCTTTTAAATTTTAACCATAGATATGCTATTAGCAAAGAAAAACAAAGAGCACATTGGTATGGCCTTTGTTTACATTACTCCATTGTTAAAAGGACCACTTAAGTTCTACAAAGGACTTACAATGCTCTGGAGAAGATTCCAAAGAGTTTGGAAAGCGTCTTGGAACATCTGGAGATCAAACGAGTTCTAAAAGGTCTGAGAACTGTCTCTCTGGAAAGCTAACTTACGCCTAGAAAACGCTGGAAGGTACTAAAGTCTTGTAAATCCGTTTATTATTCACGAGCAATAATAATTTAAAGAAAAAAAACAAATAAGTAACAAAACGGCTATAAAATCTAGTTTTAAATAAACGTTTAAAACCAAACTTGTAGAGAGTTAAATATAATACTTTACTCATAGTGTAGCAGAGATTCCACCACCAAGATCTTAACAGACTAACAGTCAACAGTCTACAAAATTCAGTTTTCAAAACAGCCACTTTAAATTGTCAAAAACACAAACACAAAACTTAAAATGCATTCAACATAGCAACGAATAAGTTACAAAAATCACTTTTGTTAGTAACTGTAGGCGTTACAACAAAATATACCAGTCTACTTTCGGTTAGGTAGGTAACATTTCTAAGCGTAAGAAATGATGCAAGTCGCATATTACAAAAACATTTAAAATACAAAACTAGTAAATGGAAGGTCATGTATGATTCTTACCTACTTGATGATATAAAATTCTATATCTAAATGACCAAAAATAAAAAAATACAAGTTTTTTTTTAACAAACAAACTACATAAATAGATAGTTCAAGAGTCAGGTGCCTATCTGCGAAATTGATAATTTGACTTTCTTGTTCAACTAACCGAATGCTTCAATAACATGATGAAGTATTCGGTTTTAGAAATGTCCAAAAAAGGGTACGGTCAATGCATATTCTCCTGAACAATATTTTCGCTGACTCTTGTACTAAAAAACTCACACTATACGAGCTGTATAGTGAACAACAGTCATTTTTTAACTAAATATTAAATAATAAAGAAATAAGTTGTCACGCACACTCGTCTTGCACTTCAATTGGTACGGATCGGTTACTCAAATATTGCGTGGCGTCGAATTGTTGCCCTTCCTGAAATTTCAAGCATTAGTTTTAGTCAGGTTACAGTGGAGCATTTGAAGTGTTATAAATAAGAAAGAGATTAACTAAATTAACCACTAATGTAGTCGCTAATTTAGATTGAACACCATTTCGATCATAGTATTTGAATTTTGTTTTGTATTGGATTTATTACATGCTTAATTTTGTTTAAATTTGTATTTTAATTTTTTGTATTGTTCAGTTAATTACATTAAGAAAGATTAGGGACATCTTACGATAAGGTGGTCACTTATTCGTTTATTGTTGTTAATGTGATTAATAAAAGTTATTATTATTATTATTGAAGACGCATAGTCCAGTTAGACATGAGAGGGAGCTGGCCGTCCTTCCCAGTGGACTTGATTGGAAAATGTTGCGAAATAATAGAGAAGAAAGATTGATAAAGGCTTTTTGGTGAAAGACAGTCAGCCTTGGTGGTTGTAAAGTTCTTGTAGAAAGAAGATTATGTTCTAGAGTTTTTAATTCGTCATTATAAAAATGAATGTTCTAGTTCGAGTTAAGCTCAAAAGCCCTAAGTGCTTGTCTTTTTTACAGCATTGTTGATTTTATAAATTTGTATCGTGTGTAAATGATCAATCCGTATGTTTGTGATCACGCTCTTACCTTCCGTATAAGGTTGGGATGTCCGGAAGATATTCTCTCCCAATCGTCCGGCTCTACCAAACATAGAGGGGACATGGCGAGTTTTGCCAGAAGCTCGTGAGAATACGTCGCCTTCTCACAGACAGTAGATGAGGAACGTCGCTTCATGATATCCTCAAGAGAAGTCTTGGGACGACGAAGGCGAACTGCATACAAAGAAATTTTACACACCAAAACCCATTAAACTAATTTTGCGAGAGTATTGTAAGCAGTGAGTAACAATTAGAAACCTTACCCGCTGGTGGCTCTTCTAAATCTCCATTGACCGGACTGGGACTAGGTAATGATTCGGGTGGCGAAAGGGGAGATTCAACCAGATCGTTTCCACTATCGTCAATGTTATACAGATGATTTTGAAGAGGTTCACCCGAAAAATATTCGTCTAGTAAAATTTTACTCATCTAAAAGTCACACTTTTTATTGAAGGCAAAGAGTTAACGTAAAGTCTTACTCCCACAAGATTAATGTCGTCGCCACTAATTTTAATGATCCGATCTCCTACCACTACAGTAAATTTATACTCCTCAAAGCTCTCGGTTGCACTCAAACTGTGCATAAGCGTGCGCGACGCGCGCGCCGAATGCGGCAGCGCGCTGTCCTCCGAAGTGGAAGAATTAATGCTACTACTAGAGCCGGTTAGAGGCGGACCGCCGGGTTCTCTGACGGGTGAGGCGTTTCGTCGAATTGTATCCTCGATTAGATGCTTCGCGTGACTACGGGGTCAATTACATTTTTCGAAGGAACTCAAAGATCGATTTACTTACTTGATACTCTCTTCGTTGGCGCCCGTAATTTGAACTAAACGCTCCTTGGCACCAGGGTTCACTGCAAAAAAAATTGATTGTACATTTTATCACGGACAAGAAAAACTTTATGCAACTTGACGACCGAAAAATACATTGTTTTTTTTTAAAAATACACATGGAAGGCCATTTCCGATTCCGATTTGATTGAAATGTATATATCGGGCGATCAAAAATGATTGGCTGTCGAGTCGCCTTTGCAAGTTCAAGTTAAACACGATTTCCCATGTAAACTAAAATTCCAAAGGCGACTAGAGAGCCAATCATTTTTGATCGCATTGTATATATATATATATATATATATTGTTGTGTAAACGCCATGTAGGTATATAGACGTTATTTTGGTCTAGACACCAAAAATAATGACAAGACACCCTGTATATGGGAACATTTGAGTAAACCTGGAGGATTATTTATGAATAAACATAAAGTTGGTTTATTTTACTTGAATTTGCATTTTCGAATTTGTTTTTTTTTCTTTTTGAAATTTCGTTAGTTGCCTAGTTTTAATGTGTACACGACACATCTGATCGTTTGCCATAAGGAATACAATCAGGCGCGTTGGTTTTACAAAGTCATGAGGAAAGATTTTGTTTTATGGTGGAAGTGGTGTTTCTTTAAGTACGGGAGTCAACGTAAAAACGCGACTGCTTCTGTTAGTTTTCGCGACGGTAAAAAAGCGAGTTTACGCTAAATTACGGGCAGTCTGTCCTATGTGTTTTGTTGATTGAAGACGCAGTTTGTCGGTTTTTAAATAAAGCGATCTTGATAAATCGTCAAGTAAAGTAGTAGAAGTTTATGGCTTTGGTTTAAGCTTTTAGAACAATCTTTCCATCTTCAGAAAAAGTTTGTCCAAGTAGGAGTCAACAAAGCAGTTGTCTGTTTTCTACCGTCCGGACAGCCACCTGATTCATTGAGTTCAGTTTAGAAGAAGTGAAGTTTCCGGAAGCTGTCAGCGAGTGTTTTTGTATCTTTGATAATTGGGCCTGAATATCTCAAACCTTTTACGACCAGATTATTCGGATTATTACGAAAACAAAAGTAATTTAAGATTTGTTTAAGTTTTAAAAATATCGACCGCCTGCGTGCGGGGTAAAATGCCCAAACACGCTTTGTAAGCTTTTCTTTCTTTCAGGAATTTTGTTTTAATTTTCATTTTATGTATTTCAGAATAAAATGTAGTTTTGGCTCTATGGGCATAAATTAATTTAATATATTCAAACGTGCTGATATGGCGTTCGAAAGAAGAAGCATGAGGTTATCAGATTGTACTTGATGCGTCTTCACAAAACGCCAACTATAATGTAATTTAAAAAAAAAACGAAATCTCTTCTCCCCATATTCATAGTTACAAAATTGCTCAAATAGCTTGTGATATGAAATGCCATATCCAGTTTTTTCCAAAAAATAAAGTTTACCAAGAATTAGTTATGGATAATAAACGATGATTTTAATTACAAACTTTCTTCCTGCATTAAATACCAATGTTGGCTTACATAAGAACTGTTTAAGAGCACCCTGTATAAACAATTTTTCCTGAATTAATTTTAAAATGGTTTCTTTGGGAAAAACCACTATTTGAAAATACCCTAATGATTCAGTTACTACTCGCATAACGTAAGAAAGTTGCCAAGTAATCCTATTTTAATTTATTATTAATGAAGTGACTCTTATTTTATTTCTGCTCATCTTTGTTTCAGGGGAATTTTCCTTAGTGCATAAAGTTTTTCCTGTAGTCAGTAATATTAACAAAAGCCGGCAAGTATTTCTCTTGCAAGCCCTAGTCATTCTTAGTACGACGTTAATCGCCAAGTCAGAGGGGAACACACACAATGTTAAAGTGTAGGAAAAACCAACATCAAAGTTAATTCGATAATGAAATGTAAAGAAATGAAAGCACGATCTTGCACTGCCAATAAAGGTGCTAGTTAAGAGTTAATAGGGACTAATAACGGCTGTGCCTTGCGCAATTTAGTGCTCATTCATTATATGTTAAAGCAAAGAGCATTCCACTAGTGCACAGTTTACCTCTTTGAAACGAAATAATTGTTTCACTGAGTTCTTCAATCATGTGCACTCTGCGGCCTTTGATTCCCATCACTATATACACAAAAAAAAACAATTCGAGAGAAAATAAACAAATTAAAATCTTTGGGACGTCTACAGAACTGCACCGACAGATGCGTACCTTTACCGGAATCGGCGTTACGAATAACCACTTCATCCTTAAAATAATGTTTTCCGGGAATATGCGTCGGTTTGGGAAACTTCCCAGATTGTTTCAATATCTCCCCTGGACCTAATAGCGAAGCGCTCGATATACTGGCAGTCATCGAGTCTGTCATGCTCGCAGAATCAGATGCCTCTCCCTTCAATCAGTTTCATAAAAAAAAAACGGCACGGTGCCAGAACCGGCAACTCACCGTAAATTGATTTATTTTTTTCCTATAGTATTGGGTCATACCTTCGCTTCCCTTCCAGCCTCTAGCACGTGACTCTATTAGTTCGAGTAGGTGTAGTCGTGTTAAGTTGTCGAGTCGTTCATTATCCTGGGCGAAATTTCGAAATATCACAAAGGCGCGATTTAATTGGTCTTCGTAAACTCGTTCTACGTAAGCACCATACATCTGCAAATGAAATCGTCATATCAGTAGTTTTCTGATAACCTATTCCGTTTCGCCTTGTTACTCCGTAAATCATTTGTTGATACTGATGTCCACAGTTCAAAAGTCTCACTTTTGTTTTTTATTAGCTCTAACTGACTGCATACAGGGTTTCCCAAATGGGATTGAATGAGTATCTCTTTTATTAAGAAAAACAAAACAAACGAGGAGGATGGAGAGTGATGTTTTTGGATCGGGCACTTCATATAATTATGATTGAACTTCACTTAAGGTAAGCTCACTTGATCACTAATGAATATATCAGTGTCCAATCCTCAATATCACTTACATTATACAGTTGTTTAAAGATCAAGTACAGTTCGGCCCATCGGACTTAAACTGTAGAAGGAAAAAACTGAAAAATCACCACGCTCGGGGATGGCGCCCAGATGTCGCCGACCGCACATCATGCAGCCTCATCCCTTAGGGTTATTAATTACACGGCCCTGGTAGGTACATGTACACTCCTCGTCGAGCATCTTCTTCTACAGTCCCCAAGTGAGCCATTTGGAAAACTATTAGGAGTCTTCAAGACCGTAAATGAATTCTGAAGAATAATATTATAATAATAATAATAATAATCTNCAGAAATTTTTAGTACAACTTACCAAAATTTTTGAACTTTTTCAATTTTTAATTACCCATAATGACCGTTTTTTTATAAGTTTTTTGAATCTCAACATTTCCAATTATTCCTGAGTTTTTGTGAATCCCCTCCGATTTATATGGATTGTTAACCTATCTTGAAAAATTGTGGCCGTTTTATTAAATATTTTGAATTTCCTGAATTTTTATAAATGTTCGATTCTCTTTCAGTTTCCATTTTTTTTATGTCTCCGAATTACTTTTAATTTTTATGTATTTGAATTTTGCGACAACTTGTGGCGTGGCATGCAATTTTTATGAATGGTTACTTTCAATTTTAAAAATTTTGTTTTACTTTTTTTGCAAGTTTTGAAATGTTGTGTACACTCGCTAAAATGTTTAGAGCATCTTTAAATTTTATTTTGCCTTTATTTTTGAGTGGGCGGGGGTTCAGCCAAAGCTGCTCTACCAACCCAACCCACTATACATTTACAAATATCCATGCCCAAACCCGGATTCAAATCAAGGACCCTTAGCACCACAGTCCAGCTGTATGAGTGTTTCTGATTTTCTCTGAGCTTTAAAAAAATAAAAAACTGTAAAGATCATGAAGGTATAAGGTACAAGAAATTGTCGTTTTGAACAATCTTGCCATCTTTTGTTCGCCATTGAAACCTAGATGTCTGCAATACAAACGTTTTAATGTATAAAATGCAATATTGAAAATAATAGGTATTTAATATAAATATAACAAATATATAAGGTGGTCCAAAAATGTAGTTTAGAATCATATAAGAAATACCAAACACCATATATGAAAACGGTGTATGCCATGGCGATGGTTACTACAAAAAAAAGTCATCAACTTTATTTATTTATATGGCTGGTAAAAAAAATACACACTGTATTGAGTAAAATGAGTCTATGGCACACAAAAAAAAACAAAAGTTGGAAATTGTTGGATTCATCAGGATGGCGTACCCGCACACAACGCCCTAATCGTACGACAATACCTACAATTCCCTGTAAAATGGAAAATTATCTCCAATATTTCAAAATACAGTATCATACTTTTGTTTGGCTTATTTGGCCTTAAAATGTTATGCTCTTTCCAAAATCTGCATAAAAATAAAAAAACTTATCGCTTAGGTCATATCTCAAAAACAAAAGACGATCCCTAAGTGTCAATTACAGTAAAATATTATTATTTATTTATTTATACAGGTTGTTTCGAAATTCGCGCACACGGACTGTGGGATGGTGTTATACAACGAAAACTGAATAAAAAGTTCCTCTACCAGTTTTTTATCAGACCGGCACTTTTTTTTCGACATGCTGAAGCTTGTTTACTAGCAGACGGCGGACATTTTGAACAACTGTTGTAATTACGTACTCGTCATAATTATAGTTTATTTTGAACCTTCTTTTGTTTTTAAAAATGTGTTATTATTAAGTTTAACCAGTGGCGCAGCGTAGGGGGGGCGGAGATTTTTAAAACCGCGGTAGCTCGAAAAATAGCGGTCTGATGGAAAACTGGTAGAGGAACTTTTTGTTCAGTTTTTGTGGTATAACACCATCCCATAGTCCGTGTGCGCGAATTTCAAAACACCCTGTATAATATTTTTTCCAAAAACGTTTACAAAAGTCTATTACGATAATTCCAGACTTTACCATTCGCACTGTATAATATTTTATATTGTAAGTATTGCAAAAGTGAAACAAAAACAGCAATAATATATTAAAAGATCAAGGTTTTAATATATTATTGTGGTTTATTAGTGTTTTACTTTTGCAAGTTCAACAACCACAAGTAGTTCCAGTGCTTCCAGTGTGTAAGTTATTTGATTAACCAACCTTTTGACTGAACCAATTACTTCGAACTCCTACCATTTAAGAACATCATCCTGTAAATTAGTGTGACAAAAAGATGAATGAGCAGACTTCACTTTTAAAGCAACTAAAATTCCAATTGTACAACTGAAAAACAATAGTAACCTTGTATAATACTTAGTACAAAACGAACAAATTTAAAATAAATTAGAAAAAAATGAATGTGAAGGTGAACAACACCAAAACCTTAAGAAAAAAATGAGCATAAAAGTAAATGACATAAAATGTAACAACTGGAAAAGTACAAAGTTTAATTTTAGGACATCCAGTACTTGAAGTTGGAGTGCCATTTTAAAAAGTTGAAGAACTTGTATCTGTAATGTAATCTGTAATGTCTGAAGGTAGTTTCCTATGCTGAATACCCTGAATACACCTCTGTCCACTACGAATTCCACTGCCCGGGTTGCTATAGCATTTATTAAAACAAATGATGGGAATTGGAAGCATTGTTACTAAACCATTGCCTAATTTGTTAGTTTTTAGTTATGAAACAATAATTAAAAAGTACAAGTACTTTGTAAACACCATAAAAAGTGTGAAAATTCTATTTTTTCCTTCTTTTGAAACGTTTGGACACCAGCAAACAAACTTAAAGTGGTTCCTTAATACGCGAAAATCTACAGAATAGCTGATTTCCAAAATCAATTAATAAAAAAAACAAAACATGCTGTGTCCACCACTGTAACTAAAACACTCTGTATATATTTAATCCAGGATCAACACTATCCAAGCGACTTTATCAAAGTTGGGATAGGTCCTTACCTTTAAATGTTGACATAAATTGATAACGTTATCTTTATAAAGAATACACGAGTTGCCATTTTTAGAGTTCATTTGTGCGGCCACTTGATCAACAGCCTGCATTATTTTCTCGACTGTAAAAGAAATGCGAAAACAACATTACATCGTCGATTCAAGCAGCAATTACCAATGTCGAAGAGGCCATCCTGGCGTAACTTCTCCGCCACCACCTGCGATTGGCTTTGCGACCTGGTCAGTTCCGGTTTCCTGCCGTACTTCATTTTTGGCGGTCCGAAAGACATGGCCTCTAAAAAGATAACCCAGCAGNTCCTCTTATACGCAATATTAGCATGGGGACGTACTTCACATTGGCGATGCATGTTTAGATTGCAGCGCCGAGCCATCAGAATTATAGCTGGGTTGAAATACAGGGAGGATTGCAAGAAGGCTTTTATTGAACTGAACATTCTTTCCTTTCCTTGCATGTTCATTTTCGAAGCAATTTGTTATGCTAAGCAGAACTTATCAATGGCAAAAAAACAATGTAACGTACACGATCACGATACTAGGCTTAAGCATAACATTCGAACTAAGTACTGCAGGTTGTCAAAAACACAGGATGGTGTAGTCCACCAATCTCAACTTCTTTACAACAGCCTTCCTAATAATATATATCTATGCCCATTGGAGCTCTTAAGTCACGCCTCAAAACATTTCTTTCAAAACATGCTTTTTATTGTAAGTCACACCTCAAAACATTTCTTTCAAAACATGCTTTTTATTGTCAGGAAGAGTTCATGAAAAACTGTTATGCGATATAATATGTAAAATTGTACTCTGTTATCCTCCTCTGTTAGTTAGTCTCTGAATGTACCTTTGTATTTTGTTTGTAATATTTTTTTTTCCAATGACGACCGTAAGTGTACCCACACGGATAACGGTATAATAAATATTATTAATATTATTATTATCATCAATACCAGCAAACAAACTTAAAGTGGTTCCTTAATACGCGAAAATCTACAGAATAGCTGATTTCCAAAATCAATTAATAAAAAAAACAAAACATGCTGTGTCCACCACTGTAACTAAAACACTCTGTATATATTTAATCCAGGATCAACACTATCCAAGCGACTTTATCAAAGTTGGGATAGGTCCTTACCTTTAAATGTTGACATAAATTGATAACGTTATCTTTATAAAGAATACACGAGTTGCCATTTTTAGAGTTCATTTGTGCGGCCACTTGATCAACCGCCTGCATTATTTTCTCGACTGTAAAAGAAATGCGAAAACAACATTACATCAACGATTCAAGCGGCAATTACCAATGTCGAAGAGGCCATCCTGGCGTAACTTCTCCGCCACCACCTGCGATTGGCTTTGCGACCTGGTCAGTTCCGGTTTCCTGCCGTACTTCATTTTTGGCGGTCCGAAAGACATGGCCTCTAAAAAGATAACAGCAGTTAGTTGACAAGCTGATTGATGACTCATTACGAAAACACTTGAGCTGATAGCTAATATTATAATAGCGGAGTTCAACGACATTTGAGTTATCGCGTTTGGATTGTCTCATTAAATTCTAATTTAAGCTTTATGTTAATTAGATTTCTCACCTATTCGAAAATTATGCGAATTGTTGTTTAAAGATGTATCTGCCTGTCGAAATGTAAATAGAATGCAGGCCAGCTGAGCCTTTTTAGTTTACGCAGACGCGTGCGCTGCATTCGCGCGATTTTTTGCGCGTACCTATTCAAAAAAGAAAGAAAAAACATATGGCGGAGAAAGCAAACAATGCAAATAGTTTAATTAGTAATTATCCAAATTAAAAACTTGTCATGCGCCTTTGACTCAATTTTGTTGTTAACTATACAGGATAACACATCTTTTTAAGAGCGCCTGCACTATAAGCAACCCATCTACCATCAATGCTTTACGATAAAATAATTGACTTCTACGTGTGTTACGTCCAAAGACATTTTTCTGGAGAAGAAATATTGAAGTACGAGGCCCCTTTGGAGCCGAGTACTTTATTTACCGAGTGGTTACTTATTCTTTATTAACATTCCCGAATCCGCAATTAAAGCTAAGTCCCCAGATTTCTCATTCAATGGTTTCGCTCTTTTTTGTTTGCGAACCTCCCAAGCACCTGAAGCAACTCCCATCGAAGGCGAAGCTGGCGGAATAAATTCCCAACGTACTTATTGCTTAGATTGTTATTTTTCTGACATCCAAAGCGTCCCATGCACTACTTTTGGCATTCTCTTTTATTAAGAAATTCTTATTGTCCATCACCAATCAACCTTCCGTGGAAATGGTCCCAATGTACTGCCCTCACTGACAAACAAGTAGAAATTATTCCATATCGCCGTCCCATCATTACCCAGATTGGCCCGTAACAGCTAGTCCATCCCGCTCTCAGCAAATGGTACTCCTATTTCAAATCTACATTTGGGTATAGCTGTCCCTTCTTTGCTGGTAGGTCGATGCTTTACTTATCTTGCATTCCATACGTTCACGCCATACCTTCTTCGCCAAATTCCTGAGTCACGTATATTTGCATTCCTCCTCATATCATCCAACCGCCCCCTGACAAACAACACATACCTTAGGATAGCTCTCTCGAAAGATACTCAGCATTCACGACATTGCTTTTTTCAAAGCACTCTCCAGTCTTCATGTTAAAGGTTCTCCTAGCACGATTTTTAAGAAAATATAGACAATTGAAATTGTTTCAGTAGAAGAAACCCGTCATCGGAGGGTGCTAGCCAAATCCCTCAGGATGGTCCGGCGCCATGGAGGCGCTCCAAGCACTCCCAAGTAGCGGAGTTAGAGGCCTATCTTCTGCTACGGAAAACCGCCGCACAAGGGTTGCCGTACAGTACAGGGTGCGATAGCAACCGTCGAAGATCCAATAAACCACCGCCCACCACCCGAACAGATTGAATTCTACCGCCTCAAAGAAGAGACTCGCAGAGCCCGCTTCAGTCCTGCAGATGGTTGAAGACCAAGAGAGCTCCTAACCTGCGAAATCAAGCCAGAAAAAGAAGAAGATGTCTCCACCCCCGTCATAGTCGTAAGGAACGACTACGACTCTGTATAGGATGAGTCCACTTTTGGTGAGTCATCGGTTTTGGGCAAATCCGACAATTTAAAACCGGACTCAGCTCCTCGAAGCAAGGCTAGGACCGGTAAAAGAACTGTTTCCAGGAGGCGTAAGAGCGACAAACCAATCGCAATTAAGGAGGTGCCGGAACCTCGTAGGCGACAGAAACCGTGCCCGAACGCCCCCTACGCCCCGGGGTCCTTAGCAAGGAATATCAATGGGTGGCGATAGCTCGCCACATCAATGAGAGGATGCCAAGGCCAAAAACCTCTCCGACGAGATCGGGGTCCAGCCCGCCATCCCGACTGGCCATCGGGGTATCACGAAACTCCTCGACGAGCTGCAGGTGCTTTACCACACCTACCAACTACAAGAGGAGAAACTTCTGAACGTGGTAAATTCCTTCATAGAAGATGTGAAGGCGGAAAGCCCGCCCTAGGATAGTGTCACCGCTCTCAGGACTTCCACCATTCCCAGCGATGCTGTCACGTAAACTGCGGCGGTGAACATCCAGCAAATTACAAACAGCGCGAGAAATTCCCGCGTCTTCCTTAGAGGCGGCCCGCCAAATCACGCTGTCCAAGCCGCCGAGACTCGTCCGATTACGAGCTACGCGGCGGCAACAAAGGATGCGGTTCCGAATGAACCCGCCACGGCCATTGCCCCTACTGGCAGCCAGGCAGACAACCCGGACTCCGACACAATGGCAAGTGTCCAGTCGTTCTTGAGCCTCCTGGTAAAATTCTACATAGAAAAAGCCTTACCCCGTCCCCCAGATGGTGGCGGGGAGCCATCAAGGACGTCAAGTCTCCCACGAAGCTGTTTGGGGTCATCCTCCAACACGGCCAAGCTAGCTTTAGTTTGTTCACGTAACTATGGACGACGCCAGCCTCGCTGCAGATAGCCTTCTGGAACGCCAACGGACTTTTGGGTACACAACATCGACGTCTTGATGGTTCAAGAGACCCACCTATGCGCCAGACATCCCAAAAATGGCAAACTACACATTCTACAAGAACGATCGGCCAAATGCGAGAGGAGGCGGTACCGCCATTTACGTGAACGCTGCCACACCATCGTGGAGATCGTGAGTGCGGATCGATGGAGGCTCGTAGCTGCGTACCACCCACCTGCGATGGCCCTCTTGCCGCAAGATCTGGATGCGCTCCTAGATGCGGATGTAGCCAACGTCATCTCCGGTGATCTGAACGCGAAGGATCTCTGGTGGAATTCTAGGGCTTCAAACCGCAACTGTCGCTGCAGATGCCAGAGCGGGACTCAGGCTTGTTCTCCTATAAAAATTTCCATCTCCGTGGGAACGTAAACTGGGCCAGTCCACGACTTTACCACAGAACTACCGCCCGATCAGCCTACTGTTGACGTCTGTTTCAAGGGATGCAAGTCGTGTAAGCGCAAAGAACAGCCGGAGTACCCCAGGGACCCCTGCTCTCGCCGTTGTTGTTCTCTCTGTACGTTCGGGATATGCCGAAGACATGGGACATCATCCTGGCTCTCTACGCGGACGACGTTGTGCCGTCCACGCAAGATCGTGGCAACCAGTGATTACCTCTAGGAGACTGTAGACGACCTAGAGGAATGGTACACTAGATGGAGGATCGCCGTCAACGTTGAGAAGAGCTCGGTCATCCTTTTCACGAAAAGGAGACATCCTTTTCACGAAAAGGAGACACGAACCCGCGGAAAACACCTTGACATCATGCTGAAGACCGTTTGTTTTTATTCAATAATCGATTATTTCATAAATCAGTATGTGTTTGAATATAGTGATATTCATGTAGAAGTAGGCATAGGGATTTCCTATGTCTACTTTTACATGATAAAAAGCAAAGAGTACTGGGTACTCTTGGTAAAAAGTGTCCTGAAAGACGCCTAGTTTTATGCAACCAAAGTAACTACCTACAACAAATGAAGATCTGCCTGTCATATTATTTCATTTGAATATTATCGCTTTGACTTCTGTATTATAATTTTCGTTCGTGTGCGATGTATTCAACTAAAGAAAAAGTGAATATTTCCAATTGGTATAGTGCCGATAACAGTTAAAGGAGCTTAAGAGATTTATTTTCTGTGAAGCTAAAGCAACAATATTCAAATTAATAATTGATATGACTGCCAGATCTTTATTTGTTTCAAGAAGTTATTTTGGTTGCATAAAATTAGGCGTCTTTCAGGAGACATTTTATCATGTAAAAGTAGACATACGAAATTCCTAATTCCTATGTCTACTTCTACATGAATATCACTGTATATTGGTTTCTACAATATTCAATAAGTCCACAGGGAGCCCTAAAGCACTTTTCATTGTTTCGAAATAAAATCCTGGCTGCACTTCAGAAATGGGCATGTAGAGAATTTATACATTGTATATACCTTTGATTATAAACCTCCTATATATTGCAAAATTCTTCAGATATACCTTTTGTGAAATGCGCTTTGTAGTTCATTATGACAAATTACTGGTATAAAAGGTCGCTGATCTAGGCCTGAGTGAAAAAATTCAAAAACTAGAATAAAGCAAAGGAATCACATCATTTTTACTAAAAAGAAAAAACTATACGCAATCTTAAAAATCTAAAAAAAAAGAGTACTGCAGGCAGCATTACAGGCACATACTCTCCTTCAACATGTCCTAAAATTAGAGAAAACATTTTTTAATGAATTATTTTAATAACTCATGTGGGAGTAATAGTCTTGGAACACTTGTATATAAATGTCCTTCTCAGCTTGTGTCATTTCCGCAATAATGGCATCATTTACATCGGTAATGTTAACGATTTTATTTCCCACACAAACTGTAGGAACACTAATGTCTTCGTCCTCCTCGCTATCCATTGTTTCAATAGTCTCCCTTTCTTCTTTTACATCGGCCATTTCATCAGAGCTTGAATCGGATTCGGCCGCCTTCAAAGCGTTGGTAGCCGCCGTACTCGCACGTTTCTCGTGCGCCAAGAGCACGCTCATTATGTCATCGGATTTTCCATTGTGACTAGAAATCTCATCAGGATCAGTAATCGTTTCGTTCGGTTGCCTTTCCAATTGATCGTTACTACCAAGTACCGTCGATTCGGTCATCCAAATTGGAGCCTGCTTGCGATTAGTAGCGGCTGCCACGTTGGCATTATCGTTTCCTATCGTAACATCAACCGTAGCTTCTTCCACCTTAAAGCCAAGATTACGGGTGGCCTCTCCTGACCATTGTTCGGAAGGTGCGTTCATTGCCCGCTTAATATCTAAACCGCGAATTGTGCTAATATCGACTGGTTCCGGTTCTAAAACTTCCGGGGCGAGTTTGATACCTTCGACCTCTCGCAGTAGCACAAACAGGGGCTCCAACTGTTCGTTGAATTTGGCTAGCAGTAGTCTTGAATCTTTTTTCGGCAGAGCAGACTGATCTTCCTCAACTACCTCGCGACAATAAGTGCAACGAAACTCACAGGTAGCAATATCGAATAACTGATCCGCTTCCAAGTCTGTAAAAGTTTTAAAACATCCGGGACATTTGAAACTGGCACGACTGGTAGCGTCTCTTTCTTCCGTTTCCATTCGCTTCCTCATTAAATCTAATTTATACTTAACTACATTCACAAAGCTTTTATAATTGATAAAGTAGTAGTTCACTTTCTGAGCTTTACCGTCGCTACCGGTCTCCATACGTAGACGAACTTGAATGTACTTATCACTTCTTAAGGTGGCAATGCGGGCTCGCAGTTGTTTCCGGTCGAATTTTAGAAGCTCGCATATGTCGTCCTCCTTCATGCACGGATTTCGTACCAACATATCAACAATTAACGCATCTTCGATGGTATAGAAGCCCCGGACGACTAATCTGGCTAACTGCTTTAAACTACTGGGGACTTCAGTCACTAATCTCTCTGTGGACATTTTTAATTTGTTTAAACATTTACTTTTTATCGCTATTTTCTAAAGTTGTTTATGATTGTTCCACAATTTTGTCACTTAACTTATTTATAGGTTATGTTTACGTCAAATCAGCGCTTGGAGGTGGCTCAGCTTACGTTCTTACCACTAATACCGCTGTGACTAAAGCCACGCTAAAACTTGTTTGCACCATTGAATATACAAAGTGCGTATAATTATGGTAATAGTGACTGCGTTACAGCATGTCAAGGTGCTAGGGGGCAATGTTTATTAGAACGTACAAAACAAATTGAATGTAATAAAGTCCTTATAATTGAAAGATTCGTCTAATTTATAATTAGCTCCGATTCTGAAATAAATTTCGAAATCGATAAGCTTTAGAAAATGTTTATTATAAACACCTTAATACAATACATAGAAAAAATGAAGCCACAATATTAAACATAATATCCCTACAGATCGTACGAGTCATGGGCCACGCTAATTCAAAACAGCATCAAAAAACCAAGATGGCCTCACATGCATTGTATCCTGCTATTTTGTGCCCACTACTAGTGCAACTATAAGAGAGCGCGACCCTAGTCAAAGAGAGGTAGCATCTGGAACCCTCAGTGCACACGAACATCTGTCCGCTTTCAAACAGGGGTCGTTTTCTAAATGATACCACCCTTATTTCATTACATCTGTACCCTCTAGTATCTCTCACTAGCCAATAAAATTCTCCATAGTATTAGATCAAGTTATTCTGGCAATGAATTGTTAATACGATCTTTCACAGCAGCTTTCCTAGATAAAATAGAATAAATATGTTTATTACAAAAACATTCGTTATACATATCGTTATATAAGTTAAGAATATAGGAGATCATCTGAGATTATCGTGCGGTAATAGTTACATTGTGCTGATTCACTAGGGGTTGAAGCTTCTCTGTGAATCGCTTGTAATTCCTTTCCAATTCCCTTTGGTAATCGCGCTGATCAGATCCGATTAAGTTTTTATTTTTCTTCAGCGCATCTTGGCACCTACAAATTTAAGATAAATACAAGTCTACAATGGCAAGTGTTAACTTTTTCGAAAAATCCTTAAAGCACAGTCTTAATTTATTTTGATGCCTGGTAAGCGGCTTTCCGTCGCACGGCAGAAATGTCAGCGCCATCTCTAGTGGCCCTTGGTTCACAGTTGTGCCAATGCATCCTTGTAGAACCATCTGCAGAATTTTTGGATCGGGTGGTTCTTGTTGAGTTGCAGCCGCCAACTCAGTAGTTTTCTTCTGGATGTCTTCAATTGCTACTTCGATCGGAGAAAGCGTTATCTGTGTACGATGTACGACTTGGATTCGTGTCTTGACATAGGGGAAATGCACCGCGGTTGTTAAGATTGTTTTGCGTTTGTACTGCTCGTGTAATTCGCCGTGTGCTCGACCATTCGGAGTGAATGGGGTTGCGTACATGAAACGTTCTAAAACCGTCACATTCAGATCAAAATGCTGAAGCAGTGGTTCTCAACTGATAGTCAGCGAACCATATGGTAAAAAATGATTTTACATTCAAATTTTCTTGTATATGGTCTGCGGACTTTTGCAGATTGGGAACCACTGTAATAAAAGAAAGAGGCTGCATACTTATATTAAAGTTTCGATCGAAATGTGTCTGTCGATAGCGATATTCGTAGGGCTCAAAATACGGTTCGACGTACGTAATCTGTATGTACGCCTTTTCAGGATCCAACACATTTACATCTACCACGTTAGAATCCATTATGATTAACACATTTTCTGTACCAAACCTCTCTGCGTAGAAATTCTAAAAAAGGATTTGAATTGATAAGCTTATTAATTGCGTGTACTTACTTCTAAACGATTGAATATTTCAGGCAGCTTTGTTAGAGTTGGTTCTTTATAAATGAACTCTTCGCGATCCAAATCGCCAAATTTAGTACCGTAAAACCCGACACGAAAGTATGTCCCGAACACACGTTTGCCTTGCAGCTGATCTATCCTTGTGTAAGCGTCATGCAATTTCCTAAGTAACAACGGGTAATCAAAACAAACCATTCTATAAGAAAATTTTTTTTCCGGGCCGATCTGAGACAATTTTTTTTTCGGGCCAAAAAAAAAGGCAGTGTACAACCTTCCTTTTTTACCAAAAATCGACTACACCTAAATTTCTCGGGAAAACACTCTTTCTTATTAATTTTGGGGCGTAGAATCTCAAAACAATTCGTAGAATCCAAAACAATTCGTACTTTTTCGATCAGACTTCTCAATCAAAAGTTATAGACTAGAAACCAATTTCGAAAAAAAATTCAAAGGGCTGTAACTTTTGAACTAGTAGCCCAATCTTGGAACTGTTTGAAATTATGGAATCTACAGGCCCCATTCTATAAGAAAAATTTTTTTCCGGGTCCATCTGAGACAATTTTTTTTTCGGGCCAAAAAAAAAGGCAGTGTATATGTCGCTGGCAAATTTACTAGCTGCTAGTAAAGTCACTTGTAGATACTATGTAACCAGAGTTGGCTAGCGTTTGACCTATCTAGGTAACAATATGCGTAATAATTAGAAGGAGATGTTACAAACCTTTCTATTGGTTTGTAAATTGTCTAGATGGAAAGACTCCACTTAAAAGCTATGCAAAATCTCTTGGTGTTTTTCAAAACCTTACAAGCATATTCCAGATCATTTTTGCGCCTTTCCAGAACTAGATCGGCGTTTTAGAGTTTTAGACGCTTTCGGAATCTTTTCCTGAGAGTGTAAAGTTTTAGATATGACCAGGATGCTCTGGAAAAGGTTCTAAAAATGGTGATAGGGCGATAAAATGCTATGAATAGATAAGGAAAGTTATATGAAAGCAATAGAAAGTTTTCAAAAATTAGATTCTATTACCAATAAACGTATTATTATTATTAACAATATAAAAAATCAATATCATTAACACTTGACAATTTTATATGTTTAGTGTAAATGCATTTTTTTTAATTGAGTTATCCCATAGCATTTATGAGCTCAGAGGATTAATAAAGTATTATTATTTTTTTTTAAATTTATCTTAATGTACTACTATAGTTATTACTGGCAATTGTAATATCTTCATTAAAAATCAAAATAACAACAATTTCACGGAGTTTGCCAGTGTCATCTCCTCCACAATCTCTCAACGCTAGCAGCGAATAAATTCGTCCAACATAATTAACCCTTAACGTTATGCTTACCCGTGTATATTTGCGAGTTTCTTGAAATCGCGGTTATTTTCGGCGATCGGAATAAGAACCTTGTAGATATCGTTCATCGGCTCGTACATTGCAGCCGAATGGAAGAAACTGGCGGCATGCTCCAGCAATACTACTAATCCGCCATCGGAAAAGTGCGTCCCCAAACACAATCCCTCCCTTTCCGGACTGAGAACGTCATCCGAAACCGCGCTCTCCGCCAAGACATTAGGACTAACTTTTTCCAAAGCGGCGGCACCCACCGGTAAATGAGGCAGAGGTTCGATCATCGCCAAATATTCGGCGACCAAAGCCGCCGAGTGTACCATACACATTCCCGCTTCGCAATGGTTCCCTCGCTCCATATGTTTCTGACCCATATTCGCCAACCAAGTTAAACGCAAATCGGGCGAATTTTGATAGCCTTTGGCGATGCGATACATTAAATCTAAGAGCATTTCGGGATCCTCTTGGAACTCCTTCATTTTCACCGTGTCCGAGAGAATCATGTGCAAATTAAAGACCAAATCACGAACTTGCTCCGGGAATGTAGTCTCTTGCAATTCCGAGTCGCGTTCGCCGTACTCCAAGATCGTCTTGAAAGATCTTCGCAAGGAATCGTCGCTAAATGACGAAGAGGTACCCACCAAAGAACTCAAAGACATCGTCACCTGCATTTTCACTCGAGCAAAATTCTACAAAGTCAAAGTAAGCGTGGAATTAAAGTTTATTCACATCTCACATTTCCGATTTGAAACGTTTGGCGCATCAATAGATATAGAGAAGCGGCAGCTTGAGATCGTACAGATGCGATATTCGAACCGCAATGTTTTAAAAGTAACAAACAGAGATCGGCACAATGGTCACTTTCCTCATCGAACAGTGCACTGTGAAACTAAAACAAAATAAGCTATGGGTCTACTATTATCTGTTCACCCAACAGATGCAGTTAAGCTCCTCCCAAAAAATTCCCGCCAATTTTAAATGAACATTTTTAATTGGCCGAATTTTCAAAACATGTAACACACGCAACTATTTGCTTTCAATTATAATTGCCGTATCTAAATTGACACACTTTAAATTTCCCGGTTTTTATAATTGTGTGACTGTGAAACTTTATTGGGAGTGGCTTAACTGCATCTGTCGGGTGAACAGATTACAGTACGGTGTTACCTTAAAAACAAGGCTGCGTTGCGATGCGAACATGTGAGGCAAAACGGTTGTGCTTTGATTTTTTCCGAGGGCGTGTAGGAGTACGGTGAGGGCCAAGCCCAACAAATTCTGCTGATTGTCCCAAGTTGCGACAATTGACACGCAACGCTCCAATGTGTCGAGAACAATGAAAGAGGTCTCCGTAGCTAGATGGCCCTCTAGATGTACATCGCTGATAAGCTCTTCACGTGAACGATCGACAACATCCGTTCCCGGTTTGTACGTCATTTGGTCCTTGCGCCAGCGCAGTTTTTCATTGGGACCCGCCTGACTATTCCCACCTTTAATTGTAATAATGATGCCTTCATTATTTTAATTATCGCGCACGGAAAATTCCTGTGCTTGATATGTTACAAAATAGGCACTAGCTACAGTACACGATTAAGATAGCAGACTCGTCCGCCATTTTGGAGCTAACTGACATTGTTTGGCATCTTGTTTTTAATGGCGATTACAGAAGCATTGTTCCGTTTATGTTATATTTTATGTGAGTTTCAATTCAATCTTCATTTTTGAAATTGATTAAACCTTAATGCAGAATCACGTATTTGATACCGTTAACTTTTATTGTTTTGAAATTGTTTTCATTTTACAGTTATAATTTGGTTTGGATCATTTTTTAAACATGTGGAAACTATGGAAGTTGGATGTGTGTTTGTGTAGTGACTTGTTCTTTGTAAACTAACACTTTTCTCCGTGAAGAGACGGGGGGAAGTGACGGGGGTAGTAAATAACCTGTAACCAAATGAGTTACAACATCTAATGCCAAGACTGCTCTCAACTATAGTATGGGAACTACCGCAACAAACATGTTACCCGCCTGAGGGGTCAGATACTGCTAACACAAACTTCTTCGGTTTAGAATCAATGTGCGATTCACTAATTTCCACATACTTTGTTGTTAACATGAAATTTGCTGTTCAAGGCCATGTAATTTTCCCTGTTGCTTTCAACAAAAGGGTTTTATTACACCGCCTGTTGTACACCTACCGTTTAGTTGTTACCTGCTTGTACTAGTTCTTTGTTTTGCAACTTGCCATCATGTTTTGTCTATGTGATTTATTATATTTATCATACTTTATTAGCAACAAATTATTTTATACATTGACAACAGTTTCAAGATTATTGACTATTAAACAGATCAAAATGCAGAGAATACGAATAACACTATTACACCATTATACAGGGTCTTTCTTTTAAAGGGACAATTAGGCTTATATGGGAAAGTGGAAATATACCCTTATAAAAATTTACACACAACGGTTCTCGACCATGAACTATTTTAGCGCATTTTTTAAAAATTAAAAAAAATGTGCTATGGTTTGCGTTTTGTCCGTCCGTCCGTCCGGACCCACTTCTACAGTTTTGAACTACTTCTAGGGGAATGGTCCTAGAGTCCTGGAATTTTTTGCAGTAGGTAGCCTATACCTTGAATCTGTGCCAGATGGCCATCAAATTTCGCTGTTTAAAAGCCCCCCCCCCCCCCGAATTATTTTCTGAGATGCTGTTTTTGAAAGTAAAACGTGCATAGCTTTTACATACGACAACCAATTGGTCTCAGATTTTGCATACGCATACCTTTAATGGTGCTAAGTTAAACTTTAGGAAATGGGAGGGGGGGGGCATGTTCTACCCTTCATGATATTCTAATGAAAGGTTTCATCGAAATAAATTGGTTTGTACAAACTATAACTTTCCCGCGCGACTCTTTTTCGAGATTAGTCTAACGAAAGGAGCCGTTTTCTACCAACTACTGCCCTTCTTTCAGTCCTCTTATCAAACTAGCGGAACTAATTTTATCCTTTATAGTAGGTACAATGAAAAGTCTCAACGAAAGGAATTAATTAATAATTGATTTTTCATAATAATCTACAAATTTTTCACAAATTAAAAGATCATTTTTTCCGTTTTTTCGAAAAAACTCGGATTTTTGAAATGGAATGCCCCTTTTTTATTTCAGATAGATTTTTCTTTCAATTGACATTACATTGTCCTACACCTAAAATTTAAAGTTTTCCAAGTTATTTACATTTTCCTTAATAAAGTATTTGTTTATACAAATCATGATTGCCATGGAAATTTTAATGAATTACATCTGTCAAACCAAGCGTTAGCGTTCAAGAACGTCAATCATACTTTAGATTTATTGAATGCGCCAACTTTGAAAAATGCCAAAGTTCAGGAATTTTTACTGCAAAAAGGGTTAGGCAGAATATCACAAGAACATTACGTTGTTTAGGGCAGTCATGATTTGCATTAAATATTACTTTTTAAAGAAAATATATAAACATCTTGAAAACCACCAATGTTACGTATGGAACAATGTCACAACAATCGAATGAAAATTTTGTCTAGAATTAAAATCTGAAATAAAAAAAGTGACATTCCATTTGAAAAAAGAGTTTTTCTTAAAAAACTGAAAAAAAAGTTTCATAATTCGTGAAGACCCCATAGATTTTTGTGAAAAATCATTATTATTATTCGAATATCCAGCATTTTTTATTCCCCCAAAAATCAAAATTTCACTGTTTTACGTCTAATAGTCACCGAGATACAAAGCGTCAAAGTACCGAGGTCTTAACTGTCAAATTTTTTTTAAAATGAAAATATCAAAGATGGCCATAGATATTGTTTAATAAAGTGACCTCAATTTTCGAAAAGGAATCTAAATGTGGAATAAAAAATGGAGGTTGCCATGTAAAATAAGGAAGTTTATGTAGCTACTTCCGGTATTACCGGAAGTGTTCGAAAACCGCCACTGTTAAAAGAAAAGTAGTTCATGGTCGAGAACCTTTTGTTTGTAAATAAGCGTATCTTTTCTATGTACTTTCACATACAGGGTGTTTCGAAATTCGCGCACACGGACTGTAGGATGGTGTTATACAACGAAAACTGAATAAATGGTTCGTTTACCAGTTTTTAATCAGACCGGCACATTTTTTTTCGACATGCTGAAGTTTGTTTACTAGCAGACGGCGGATATTTTGAACAACTGTTGTAATTACGTACTCGTCATAATTATAGTTTATATTGAACCTTCTTTTGTTTTTAAAAATGTGTTATTATTAAGTTTAACCAGTGGCGCAGCGTAGGGAGGGGCGGAGATTTTTAAAACAGCGGTAGCTCGAAAAATAGCGGTCTGATGAAAAACTGGTAGAGGAACTTTTTGTTCAGTTCTTGTCGTATAATACTATCCCATAGTCCTTGTGCGCGAATTTCGAAACACCCTGTATAAGGCTCTAATTGTCCCTTTAAGAGAAAGGTATTGTTATACCGTACCTCAGGTCATAACGTTGTTTACAACTAATGTAAGGGGGCCCTGCCTTAGATGTTTTATCACGAGTCAATTTCGTGGTTAAGTACATTACAGATCTGATCTTTATGCATTAATAAACATTGAAAAAATCATTGGTTTTTCTTTAAATAATAACATGAAACGTTTTGCAACCGTCAACTGTTAGTGGAGTCCAAGATGGCGGACGAGTCAGCTGTGCTAAATCTACAGCTCTAGCCGCATACAAAGTTAGGAAATAAAATTACAAAAAATCGCCTTACCTTTCCGCCTTTGCATCATTTCACGCGCGGATCCCTGCCCCAAAATAATATCCTCCAATCGAGACTTGACATCCTGACTAACCTGAGCGTGCGCGTATCCCGACGGAGGTGGCGCCCTCCTTCTGGGTATGTACTCGAAACAGCTGGTACAGGCGTCGAGCAAATGAAGCAGCGTTGCCATTCTCGAAGTGGATAGTTCGCTCAGCCACTGCACCAGCGATTCTCGTTCGATATTTTTGAGCACCCACAGAACGCAAATTAGTAAATTACGCGTCACCTCCGCGCCGATGCCCGCTTTTCTACCCTGTTGGAAACTGTCGCAGCTAGTGTGGGGAAGCTTGCCGGCGATGGCCAAGGCCACATTCTGATTGATGTTAGTGGGAGTATTGATCTCCTCGGTGTTGTAACGATCGGTCTTATCGTTGCCCCAGTGATGCAAAATGCAGAGTACGTCCATTGCCACGGATAAGAGAGGCATGTAAAGTGCTGCCACTCGCCGTTTTGCATCGAGATTCGTGTAACGAGGATCGCTATCGTGCCAGAATAGTAGCGATCTGATTGTATCAACTGCTTTGTTGTGCAGAGCCAGGCTTCTGAAAGTTTGCGGCTGAAATCTTGCGCGACTGACTGCGTTAGTAAATACTCACTGCATGTCGAGAAGAACGGTTGCAACATCCGTCAGCACAAGCCCTGTTAAGTAGTGGTGCTGTCGATATTCGGGGGAGAGCTCGGCAAAAACGCTTGCGCGCTCTTGACTGGCCGGTGCTCCTGAGAGGTACGAGGTTTGACTGTTGGAGCTCGTCACGCTCGGACTAGGCGATACGCTGGCACCCGAAGTCATGAAAGGTGTCGCAAACGGCAAGTTCAACGCGACATAGTGCTCGTGACTGCAAACTATTCGCACGCATTCCAATTTCAGTTCGACGAGAACTGCAGCATCCGGTATTGAAGCAATCTTTGCCTGCAGCTGTTTGCAATACGATTTCAACAATTGAAAAACGTACCCTCGATCTGCCACTGACAGTAAATCAAAGTAAAAGAAAGCCAAGGCTGCGTTCAGCTTGTGGGCGTGTCTTATATCGCTCGTCGAATGCGCTATAATTTCCGCAGTTACAGTATGTATAAGAGTCGAGAGATCATCGAGGAATTGTTCGGAAAATCGCAACTTTCTCGGGGCGTCTAAGCTGCGCGTATGCCCCAAGTGTTCTACCATACTTTTAATTATCAGTTCAAACAAAAACCACGCGTTTTGCATCGCTAGATCCTTAGAGCGACCGCTCGATACGACCCACTGTAGTGCCAGCTCTTGATGGACTATCTTATGAAGCATGCTCACGTTCGAATAGCTATTGTCAAGATTCGGCACCCGCATACTGGCAGCACGGTCCAAGCCGCGCGATTGTAAATGCGCAACTTCGAGGTCAGGATTGGACGAACTTCGAGTCATTGCGAATCCCTCGAAGCTCGGCGAGCTTTGTGCGCTTGCGCAAAGTGGGTGCGGTAAATGGCACTGGTATTGGATGTACGTGACTAAGTGGACGTTTCTCGAATGTTGGTCGACATGTAATTCGTGCAAACTCTGAAATAATTATGGCTATTCACACTCACAGCTATTTTTTGGGGACTTACCGATATGTTATTTAATAACAGACACAAAGCTTCGAACGAGGTGTGTCCAACGTTAATCGTATGACCGGAAATTTTAGGCGGCTGTACTAGAAGTTGTAGGATGCTGTCAAATATCACGGGCAGATTTTTTATTATCGTCTCAGGCCGAGCTCCCGATAATCCCAACATTGCCGCTCTATTAAAATGGAACAGAAGTTAATGATCGAGGGATAGGGAACACACCTTAGTTCGTTTTCAACCCCCGCCTCACCCAGTCGTGCCGGAATCACGCCCGTTTGGATACAATCGTAGGCCGACAGAAATCGCTCCACTGAAGGATCGTGCGTATGTACCGACGATTGCGTGTCTAGAGAGACGGTAAAAAGTCCCTTGTGATTGTCTAGCCATTTAGTTCCGGGCAGGCACACGTCCGCGGGAATATAACTGTAATTTAACGGAGGAGGTTCTAACATCACCGGTAGGCAAAACTCTCCGGAAACCAATCGTCCGTCTCGCAGTAACGGTAACCACTACAAACAAGACATTTATTGTTAGAATTAATTTTCCTAAATTGAACCCGCAGTCGTCTCGGTGTATTATTCTCTAGGGGGAAACAACTGAATTTTTGGTGTAGGTACAACCCTTTGACTCAATTTGAATTAACGTGAATTAATTTGAATTACCGTGAATTAATTTGAATTAACGTGAATTAATGCGAATTGATTTGAATTAACGTGAATTAATTTGAATTTGAATTTTTGGTGTAGACCAAAAATGGTATACTTGATTCCCCCTAGATTATTCTAATATTTTCTTGAATAACTACAATACGCTACGAAATTGTATAACGGCTACAGGGGTATATTACGGAGGAAAACCAAAATGACAATGCATAAGATGGTAATTATTTGCTATGTATTAAATGTTCACTTTCAAAGTAAAAAATAATAGTTGCTATGTATAGTTCTAATTTGCCATTTACTTATTAAGTTTAGACACATCTGATCGTTTGCGATAAGGACGCACGTGTTCTTATCGTTGTTTTGAAGAATTATGCGTTATTTCCGGCGTAAGGGGGACGTTTGGCGTGTCATCAAGCCTAATTGTGTTTTATCTGTTCAGGTGTTGCTAAAAAGTCAGAAGAATTAATTGGTTTTTCGACAAACAATCGTGCGAGATAAGCGATGCAGGTGTTTTATAAGTTTTGGTAGCGCAGAGGGAATTTCGAGTGTCGTCAGGAATAACGATGTTGATTTTATTACAGAAGATGGTTTTTGCTTAAATAAGAAAAATGAAAAGTAAACAGGGCTGTTTCGGATTATTTCCAAAGAGAGAGTAATTGATTGTGACGCTAATTTTGGTACCGGACGTTATGCCGGCTGTGCAATTTTAAAATTAAAAAAAGTATTCGTCCTCATATTAGTTAAAAAATGCAGAAATAAGTTTAATGTCGTCAAGCAGTTTTAACTTGTAGAATTTCGAGCTTATAAAAGTTTTGTTGATCAAGAATGAAGAAATAATTGGTGTATAAATAAACATACATATACAATAAACAAACTAAATAAACATTATTATTATTATTATAAAGTCTTACCATCCAAGCAGTGACAAAATTAAGTGTTTTTTGTCTTCGAGGCAGTGAGCTGTTTTTGTTTCTGAGAAGAACCTGTCAGATTTGTGTTAAAGTGTGTGTTTCGGCCACGAACTTATAAATTAAGATGGACTGCTAATGCTAAATTAACAAATGACACCTACATGGGGGCCGCCATGATGTGCACTCACATGGCGCGAAATTCAAATCAACTAATAAACAAGCATTAACCCAAATTACTGTGACACATGTCATTTTCCAAGTCTACAATAGTCTCAAAACTTGAGCACTAGGAAAATTCCCCTAGAAAATAACTAAAACGTGCACATCATGGCCGCGCCCATGCTAGTGCCATTTCTACCTCTATGCAACTGCTTGATCAGCAGTCCATCTTAATTTATAAGTTCGTGGTTTCGGCGAATAACGCATACTCCTTATCCTGACCAGTTCATTAGATTATTATTAACAGAACTGTGAGTAATTTTTGAGATCTCAAAAATAGTTTTTCGATCGACCGTTTACAAACGGAGTGTTCTATTCAAAACGCACTGTTAGCCTTTTTTTTCTTACACGATTTTCTTGTATTTTGTTTTTTTTATGTCTGTTGGAAATTTTTGGTAATTGTGCATTATGGGTCAATTTGAATCCGAATTTGAAATCCAGCTAATTTTATTTTTCTGTCACATTTTTCCTCGAATGTTATTTCCGATTTTATTCAAAATTTGAGTAGTGATTTCATTGGAATTTATGGAATTTGATTCAGTTTATAAAAGTTTTAAGTCAATGTTAGGATTCTCTTTGTGTTGAAACCCAATTGTGCTCTGAGGAAGAATTTAAAAAGAAAAAATAACCAAATTGTGTAATTTGAGCTAGCTAGGTAAGTGTCTGTTGTGTGGTATAGTAACCGCATACCATTGCACTCAGCAATATTTATTTGGTGCCCAACGTGGGGCCACAGCACTATTATTTGGCGCCCAACGCGGAGCCACAGCAATATACTGATCGGAATTTACTAAGACAAAAATTTAAATACATATCAGTATACGTAAGTATCGTCGACTTCAAAGACCGGACATTTTTTTGTTAGGTTAATACAGCGGAATTAACAGAAACATCACTTTTTTAGATTCCAGATAGCAGTTATGCCCCCTAGCGGCCATTTCAGAAATTTAAAAATATTTTCCAGGTTTTTCTCGTAGTCGTTTTAGTAATAACTTTTTTTACCGCAAGCCTCAACGCATTCTTAGTTGACCACCCTGTATATAAAACCGTATAACTTTTATTAATATACGGAAACAAAAGCTAGGCACCATTCAGCACAATAGCTAGAAAGTCTTTGACATACAAAAAGTATAAATAAAATAAATCAATAAGAATAAGCCTGTGAAGGAGGGAAGCATCTGAAAAAGAAGGCATAACATAAGTAAATTGAATAAAAGCGATGGTTTGGATGCATACAAAGAGTGACCAATGAAAGACTGGTAAGGCAAGTGTGGCAAACAAAGACAGAAACAGCAGAAAGAAAACCTTTACTTACTGTATATCCGACAGGAGTGTCCACCATGGCTTGCTCCATTTTTCGCTGACAGGAAATATGATAGAACGTGAATAGTAAGTGGTGGTTATCCTTTAGAGCGGCGGGAAGTTTAACCTTAATTTCATCGTAAAACACCGGGCATTTATTATGGTACGTGACGGTTGTGTACATTTCCGTCGCGAATTCTGGACAGCTCGACTTACCGAAGATGTTGGGCAGCGCGTGCGCTTCCCCTTCGCCGTTCATTAACTGAATACGAACCGCTAGGTTACGTGCCGAACCCTGACGATTCGAGAAGTTAAGCTCTTTGGGGCTAACGAACATCATGTTACGATAGACGTAATGCGGCGTTAAAATTTCCTTTACGGGAAACTCCAAGAGTTCCTTTATTGGGCGGCTTTTCTCGTCGGGAAACGGATCGATGCGTTCCAGTTCAGTTGTCAGGCAATGTTTCATTTCATTAGGACAAGGGGAGATGTCCAACTTCAGAGTTGCGGGTATACATTTAAGCTTCTTCATGATCAGGTTGGGCCGTTTCAGTTCCAATAAGCACTTGTAGAGGTCCTCGTCGCGAAACCGCTCGCTTTCCTGTTTAAAAAATGACGAAACCGTTAACGTAATCGGCCGGAACGAGTCTAAACTGGAAGCCAAATGATCGGGAGACCAGGATCGCCTTTTATCGGCGCGTCTTTCTAGCGAACCGCGGCGAGTTAAGCTTCCCATGTCGCTGGCGCGTTTGCGCAATTGCTCCAAGCCGCCACTCGCCATCTTACGTTCAAGACTGTTCGTGCTTGAAATGCTCGCCGAATCACGATCACTCTCCCTCTCCGACGAATTGCCACCGTTGATAACATTCATTAGGTAGATACCGGTCCAGGCAAATGCTTGCCTGTACTTTCCCAAGCGTTCGCATGTTGCCACCGCATTGGCCTTTAACTTGTCGCGATTATGCTGAAAGTTGGGAATTAATTTAAATTGTGCTCAGCCCAAAAATGGACAAGGTGGATTTCCTTCACGATATATGGCCCCGAATACACTTACCTTATCATCTTTAAGATACGGCTCCACACACTCGTTTAAATCGCCCTGCAAAACCTTCTCCAAGCGTATAACTAAAAAAAGGTCAGAACTTGGATTCGAGATATTAAAAATGCAGCTTCGAGCAAGGGTACTGGTGTCACTATACAAGATATGTCCGCCCATCATACGTTTCAAATTTTCCGTATTCATATCAAAGTAGAACGTTTCAGAGACCTTCTTCCTTTCACGCGCGTCGTACAAGGCCATGGACGCGAACAGTGGCTCCACCTCCAGATCCAATCTAAAACTTTCCAGATTATCCAATACCGGATGCGAAACCCAAACATACTTCAGCTGAAGACATTTTATTAATATCCTATGGCCCGTATGCTCGACGGGCACACCGGGTAGAAATCTCCGTTCAACTGGTTCCGAACCATCGACTTCCGGTAAAAGTGGATATAAGGAAAACAGCGCCTCCTGCCGATCGACCTGCCTCCTCGTCTCGTTCAACTGATCCAAAGTTTCAGGCGTCGCATTGTCGAGAATTTCCGATATTAGCGGATCGCCGGCCGAGTGTCTTAGGTCGAGGGACGCCCACGAGTTTCTGGGCGTCAAGGTGTCGCCGCACGAAGACAGGGAATTGGACGAGGCGATACTTTGACGGCTACTGCTTGAAATTGAGGCAATGTCTAAAATAATATTATCAAACTCGACGAATTCGTAAATGTGGGTGTACCCAGATCGCTTGTCGACTCTGAGGGTGGTTGCTGAAAGTCAATTTCGAATTCTTGATGCGGACTGGGGTAAAGAGGCTTTGGTATCGTTTGACGATTGGAGACGCTGCTGCTCAGGTGTCGATGTTGATAGCGTATAATGTGCCAGTCGGATGTGTAACATCGAACGCATGCCTGCACGTGGGGAGGCAAGGTGTCACTAAAACGAGCACTCAATTTTATCGGGCCTACACTGATATGGGTCTAGTTTTAAACAAGTATAAATTGTGCACAACTTTTGTGCAGATAAAGCGTATTTTTTTAAACGAAATAGCTTTTGTTTTGACATCACCAATAGATATATTTCTTGCAGATGTCTCAATCGCCCTTTGTGAGTACCCTCTTCCGACAATCCGTTCTTGAGGTATAAGGGAATATACCCGATCACGATAAAAGGTCGAGGAGGAGGGCTATGGTTGGTAGAAATTAATTCCTTTCGTTGAGACCTTTCATTAGAGTACCATGAAGGATAAAACTAGTTCCACTCCCCCCCCCCACTACTGCCCCGTACTTTGATAAGAGGACAGAAAGAAGGGCACTAGTTGGTAGAAAGAGACCTTTAATTAGAATACATGAGATAAAATTAATTTTTAACCCCCCCACCCCCTCAGGCCCGTCGCTCACTGATCTCGAAAAAGAGTCGCACGGGAAAGTTATAGTTTGTACAAAGCAATTTATTTCGATGAGATTTCATCGATTCATTAGAGTGCCATGAAGGGTAGAACATGTGTTCCCCCCCCTCCATTTCCTACAGTTTAACTTAGCACCACTAAAAGCATGCGTATGCAAAATCTGAGATCAACTGGTTCTCGTATGTAAAAGATATGCACGTTTTACTTTCGAAAACAGCATCTCACAAAATAATTCGTGGGGGGGGGGGGGGGGAACCACAGCGAAATTTGTAGAGATGAAGCTTAGATTTTGTTAGGGGTGTGCATGGTTATAAGATTCATAACAGAAACTGTACAGGGATATTAAATTATAGGGTGTCCATAAATTTTGTTGTTCGCTTAAAGGTTACACGTTTAAAGACGAGTTATGACTTTAGTATATCCTCCTAGGAGTGCCATTTTACCGGCGTCAATTAACTAGAGAATATAAATTGAAATGAATCTTTTAATGAAAAGAATCGGATTGGGACCGTCGTTTCCACCAAGTGCCGCCCGAAGCAGATATTTTTTGTTTCGAGATTTTGGGTGTGGATCGTCAAGAGCCCATTAACGGGGCTTACGTATGGTTCAAGGGGAGTGAGTAGGTATTAAATGTGGAAAGAAGTAAACAATATTTCGGATGAGCGCGAGAAGAAAAGTTAATTAAACTTCGGCCGTTTGGCGTCAAGAGTTATTTAGTTAATACTCGAAATCTTACTGAAGAACTGGTTGGTTTGAGTTCGTGAATAAATTTACATATGTCACCTCTCGAAGCCTATCTATATGCTACATATTTTGTTAATATTGTTGTTATAATTTTGTTACAGATTCATATCATCACAAAAACAATTAAATTTGATATACAGTTTAATGTTAATTTGTTGGCTAGTTTTTTTCTTGGTAAGTTCTTTTGTTCCCAGCCAATTTTTATTTTTACTCAGTGAACTACCATTTCAAAGCAGTGTAATTTATTTCGACTTAAATTTCCGAACCATCACAATCTTCATAATATGAGCAATAATTATTAAACAAACTTTTCACAATTTACAGTTTGAGTTGAGTTGAGAGTTATAATAGTTATTTGTACTAATTTATTCCCTGTTTCCGAACTGCTGTGGTGCATTTATATTTGAAATACGGTAAGTATCATTATAACAATGAATAAATATATAATAATGATAATATAAATGACGAATGCGAGAATCAGTTAGTAAGAGAACGTACTTATCAACCTTACAAACTGAATCGGCAGAAAACGACCTTCAACCTAACAACACTGAACAATTAAACAAAATGGAATAACTTTTCAAACGCTGTATTATTATATAATTTATTAAACAGAAAATGTTATTATTATTATTGGATACAATGTTAATTTCTTATTTAATAATAAAGGAATTTAAATATTCATGGACTCCGTTTTATAAATACGAGTATTACCTCGAGTATTATACATCTGGTAATATACAGTGTGTCCCAGATTGGGTGGGATTGCGAATAGATTTTGCGAGATTTTGTTTTGTTTTTTTTAAAATTCATTATAGCCTACTTGATTAAAATATAAAAACCATTGATATAACTGGTATCTTATTTTCAATCTTATGCTATGATAGCTCGTTGAAAAGAGAATTGAAAAATCTATCAAATAATCTAAAAATCCAATTTCCTGTATACCAGCTTTGCCTTTCACCAAACGCGCTTCTGATTTTACTTTCTTTGAAGTAGTAGTTGAGTGCGTCGTTCACCAGACATTTTCGAGGCTCGTCTGGTGAACGCCCTCATTGATTTTCTTAAGTGGAACAGCATTTTTAGCGCATTTTTGAAAAAAATACGCTATTATATTCGTTATGACTGGCTGGCTGGCTGTCCGGCTGAGATCTCAGCAATTACAATAGCTAGAGACTTCAAATTTTCACTAAAAGCTTTCTGCTATAGTGTAGATGTGCAGGCTCTAGTCTACTTTGACTTAGATTACTCATGAGATAGATAATTTTAAACTTCGGTAATAAAATACTGATCGATATTACCAAAAATGGGCTTTCATCATGCATATGCTGATTTACACCTTGTTTAAAGTTTCGAATTCTGTGTCAAATTCTACACATAATAAAAATAAATCAAAAATGGGTTTTTAAAAATACTTTGGCATCAAAATCTACTTTTTGACTCACCCTATATATTTTCTCTTTAGTGCGAAAAATGCGCAAGAAAAAATTACGGTAGATGTGTGCCAGCATTTTTTTAAACATCTGATTTTTAAATGAATTTGTTCCATATTTTAGCCACTCACTGTATGTAACATACCAGGTGATTCATTCAACTTGAGACAATTTAATAACTTGATGGAATCATCTTTTTAGAAAACAGTTTCGTACAAAAGTTCTAGAGGCGCTAAATCGGTGGTACACTTGACATCGAAACTCACGGTCAACTTCAGCATTCGGAATGGGGCTCCCTAATTGTGAACTCGGAAATGTTCATACAGAGTTCAAAAGGGGTCTCATTCAAAATTTTAAGTTGAAGCAGCCTTGATAATACTGAATTTCATTCTAATACGGAAGTTTGTAAAAGAAGTAGAGTTCTGATTGAGTTTATTAATTTAATATACAGGGTGTCCATTTTTCGAGTGCCAATGGAGATCCCGCTACTTATTTAAGATATACATATTTGTTTAAATGTGGGTAAAATTGCGAATTTTTGTGCTGAATAATCTGAAAAAAAATAAAGAGAGATAGTAGACCATTCAGGGAAGATCTTAATATAATTAAAGCTGGGCTACGATTTACACTTCCTCCTAAGAAGTGTACCTACACGTGTGGATATGTGCAATTTTCATACGCAGGGCCTGGGAGGGCACCAGAGCCGAGAGGCACAATTCAGGGTGGTTATGTGTTATTTTGGTTGATGTGTCACCGAAAATGTGGGTTCTAGAAATAATTTGTGAAATGGTAACTTTTCTCATATATTCCATGTACCTACTATCTCAAAATGATAGCAATACCCATGTAAGCGAAAAGCAAAAGATCATAATAAAGAGAGATCAAGCCGTTTGTTACACCTGATAAAAATGTATCGTGCAATAAAAAATGAGTGACTGTCGAGTCGCCTTTTGAAGTTCAAATTAAGTACGATTTCCCATGTAAACAAAAATTCCAAAGGTGACTAGACGGACACTCATTTTTTATTGCTATATAATGTAAATTGAACTAATGAAAACGGGGGAAAATCTTATGAATCTATTGTAAAAAAAGATCTAGGATGTACCTTATTTATGTGTCATTGTAAAATGACCGATTTACACCCAACAACAGATCAAATACATACATATTCTCCTCCGGTATAATCGGCTTTAGAGTACGTATCGGCCTTTGTATAACCTCCAGTTCGACATCACCATAAGGAAAATCAAGCATCGATCGCAAAGGATCTCTATCGATCAAAAGTTGGTATTGGTTTAAATAATCCTCATAATCCATGGGCTCTGCCGAATCGTTCATCCACCACTACAAATCGAATGATTAGTGTGTTTCGACAGTCTGCCGAGCACTTACGGTGGCCAAAGAAAGTGCGTAACTCTCCTTCGTAACGTGACAAGCCACGTTTCTCCGCACTTCCGCCGCATGTTGCCTGTAAAAATCGAGACGATTAGAATCGGATAGTTTTTTGAATCCCTTACTTTGATAATTTTTGTGTGAACGCCCTTTGATTGGACGCCATTTCAAAACATCGAGCATAACCTCAATTTTTTTTGTTATGGAATCTGTCGGGGAAGCTTGCGAATTATTGCAGCAATTAGTGCCTAGTGATCCCGAAGGTGATAATGACGATAGCACCGTGCAAGAAGAGTATAATATCAACGAAGGCAAAGTGGCCTCGCCAATCCGAAGCTCAAAGGTAAACAAAGTGCCCCCTTCACGAACACTCAACGCAAACTTACAGATATCGTCATCGGGAGCAACCACCCACAGCTCTGTGTCCTGTAAAGTCGGCGCTAGCAGTACAAACTCGGATTCAAAGTTGCTTTACATAAACGAAAAGAAATCGAACAAGGACTACACAAAAGCCAGCAGTGTACGTCCCAGACACCCGCATAAAGGTACAATTTCCATACAAACACCAATTATCTTATTTTCAATTTCTATTTTTTTAAATTGTTATATTTGGTTACGTATTTTTATTTTAAACATTCTATTGCACGGTAGATTCAGGTAGTACAGCCGCACGACATCATTGTTTTCTTTCTGAAGTTCCGGATGTGCGACACATGGAACAGGCATTACTCGGATTGCTCGCCGATTTTCATTCTGGGAAATTAAAGGCGTTTGGGAGCGGTAGTACGATGGAGCAGATGACCAACATACGTGAACAACAGGAACGGTTAGCCAAATTGCATTTCGATTTGGCTACAGATAGTGACCCATCTCTTAGTGAGGAGGGTTTAAGACATTCTCGTACGACTATGAGCCAATTAATCGAGAGGTTGGAACAACTGAGCGTGTCAATAGAAGGTTTGCATACTACAAGTAACGATAAGTGATATAAATGTTTTATTTAATAATCTACATGCTTAAGTCTTTTTACCTGAAAGAAAATGTAAATTAGATCGTTTTTAAATATACTGGTTCGTTTACCGGAGAATTTATTTTCGGCAGCATTCGAGGCCGTTACAAAAGTTCTTTGAAGTTTAGTCTTCTTTTGCTCCCGATACTTTTTAACCATGTCGACTTCCTTAATCAATTCCGCTATGCGCATCATCACAGGTGCCGGATAACTAAAACAAAATCGATGGAGACTACCGTCTTAAACGAAACCCACCTACATGCAACCCAGAAACTCGATGTTGGTAAAAGTTTTTGCTAACGCCACAACGTAGTCTTCGGGAAATTTGTCTTTGTGCACTCGCATAAATTCGCGCCGAAGCTGCCAGTGCTCTTCTAATTCTGTTGAGTCGTAATGAGCGTCTATGTCCCAATTTTGGTCGAATTTTTTTGTCATTTTCAATGAATTTTAGTTTTGAAAAATGTAGGTTAAAATTTTGAACTACTATGTACGTTGGACAAATGACCTACGGTTCTTATATTAAAAAGAACTACTGACTAGGAAATTTCATCTACAGGATGTTTAAGAAGTACACGGTTTCCTACAATTTGATTTTAATTAATTCAAAACTTCAATTGATGACTTGAAAGTGAAAGAAAAGCCTACAAATGTCGCAAATGCCTCAGAAATATTCTAAAAACTGTCACGAACCTAAAAGGTTTCGAAAAGAACTTGCAGTAGTGCCCTGAACGAAATATTTTACACTGTGGCTTATAACGAGCCTGTAAAGCTCTGAAAATTGAAAACGCAGGATAAAAAGTTCTAGGAAAGAGGGGGGGGGCGTATTGAGAAAGCCTAGTGTATATGGTTCCTCCCTGAAGAACGCGTTATGGACTTTTGTTAGGTCCCTGAAATTTTATGCAAAAGGAGAGTACCTACTAGAATGGAAAGATGCTATACAATACAACTATGGCAAGCATCTAAGAGATTCTTTATTTCTTTCTTTCTTTCTTTAATTCCATTTCGATTACATTATGTAATATTGGATTGTCAATTAGTGATCGTACAAATAAGTGTAAAAATTTGAACGACGAACAGGTTATGGGCCATTTTCTTGAACTCCCTCGAGGAGGCGCAGTTGCGGATATATGGTGGAAGATGGTTGAAAAGTTTTGTGGCCATATATCTTGATGAACGTTCATAGAGTTAAGTGGCATGGTGAGGGACACAGGGATTCGAATAGTGGCGTGTTAGCATTCTACGATTGTCGTCTTTGTTGGCAGTGAATTGTGATTTATTTTCATATACATATACAACGCACTTGTATATGTATAGTGAATAAATCGTTAATATCTTCAGTTGCTTGAAGAGAATTCGGCAGTGGTCATAGGCTCCAGCGCGGCACATTCTGCGGATAATGCTTTTTTGCAGTACAAGAATGCGTCTTGAAGCGCACGAGTTTCCCCAGATAATCTGCATAGGTGAGGTGGCTCTGTACATGGTCGATATTTCAATAGCGTCGATTGAGATATTTGGTCACGAATGTAGAGTACCACGTAACTTGCCGTCCGAAGTTTTCTGCAGATTGTGTCAATGTGTGGTGTCCAGTTAAGGTTTCTGTATAGTATAAAGCTCTTAAGATCCTAAACTCTTCTGTGTATTTAGAAGTGACTTTTTAAACTCCTGAAAATCATTTAATGCAGTATTTGATGGATTTTAGCAAATTACCTGTTATTAATTGTCCGTATCTTATGAAATAGCCTGTACATCGAATCAGACCGTGGTGCATGGAACAGTTTAAATCTGGCAACCCCGCATTTGCATCATTTTTAGGTTAGGTATCCGTCAAACCCACGACCGATCCTTTCAAAATTTGGTTAAAAGCTTGGACCATATGCGCTCATAGATTTTACCATTAATTATGGTAATTGCTAACAAAATGCAACTCTCCGCCGAAGAAAAATATGACCTAATCGCCCGCAACCTGCAAGAAGTGCTTGGGGAGGAAAAAATTAAGACTATACTTAAGGAACGCGATTTGAAGATCTATTGGGGAACGGCAACTACTGGCAAGCCTCACGTCGCTTACTTTGTTCCAATGTCAAAGATAGCGGATTTCTTAAGAGCCGGAGCCGAGGTTACCATCCTCTTCGCCGACTTACACGCGTATCTGGACAATATGAAGGCTCCGTGGGAACTTCTAGCTTTAAGAGTGCAGTATTACGAGCATTCGATTAAGAGTATGCTTAAGTCGATCGGTGTATCGATTGATAAGTTAAAGTTTGAGAAGGGTACCAACTTCGAATTGTCTAAGGAGTACACTTTGGACGTTTATCGACTGGCTTCGGTGATCACCGAGCATGACGCGAAAAAGGCGGGCGCCGAAGTTGTTAAGCAAGTTGATCATCCTTTGGTTAGCGGACTATTATATCCAGGTGCGTGTTAAGACAATTGTAGCTCAATTCTACCGGTCTTATTTCTAGGGTTGCAGGCTTTAGATGAGGAGTACTTAAAGGTAGACGCACAATTCGGCGGCGTGGATCAAAGGAAAATTTTCACTTTCGCCGAAAAGTATTTGCCACAGTTGGGGTATCAAAAACGGGCACACCTAATGAACCCAATGGTACCGGGATTGACCGGCACGAAAATGTCGTCGTCCGAAGACGAAAGTAAAATCGATTTGTTAGATCCACCCGCAAGTGTAAAAAAGAAACTTGCGAAGGCCTTCTGTGAGCCGGGTAACGTCGAGAATAATGGCATATTGTCGTTTACCAAGCACGTCATTTTTCCCTTGTTTAAGTCTGACGAGAAGTTTGTGGTGGTGCGAAATGCCGAGAATGGAGGTAGCTTGATGTTTGATACCTACTCTGAACTGGAGGAGTGTTTTAAGATGATGAAGCTACATCCGGCAGATTTGAAGACGGCGGTTGAGGGTTATATTAATAGGCTTTTGGAGCCAGTTAGAAAAACTTTTGAGGATCCCGTCTTGAAGAAATTGGTTGAAAAGGCGTATCCGGTCGCGAAGAAGCAAAGTGAGACTGCTAACTTAACCAACTATGACTACAGGTGTTGTTTTAGAGTCGGTTGCGAATGATGATGTGATCACACCCGCCCATTTGGATATCAGAATTGGTAAAATCGTCGAAGTTTCCAAACACCCCGACGCAGACAGTTTATACGTTGAAAAAATCGATCTGGGCGAGGATAAGCCACGAACCATCGTCAGTGGTCTAGTAAATTTCGTACCAATTGATGAAATGCAAAATCGCATGGTAGTCGTCCTGTGTAATTTAAAACCGGCAAAAATGAGGGGCATCGAATCCCAGGGAATGGTGCTCTGCGCTTCTGTGTAAGTCACTCTGTTTTTTGTGCCGCCCTTACCGTGTTTTTGCAGCGACGAACCGAGGCAAGTTGAACTTTTGGAGGTACCCAAGGAGGCGGTCATAGGCGAACCGGTGTTTATCGAAAATTACGAAGAGGAAAAACCGAAGGAGATCTTAAATCCAAAGAAGAAGATTTGGGAGAAACTGCAGGTCGATTTAAAAACCAACGGCGATTATGTAGCGCAGTGGCAAGGCAACAATTTAATAACGAAAAGTGGAGGGATTTTTAAATCAAAATCTTTAAAAAATGCTCCTATTAAATGATGTTGATTCATTATCTCTGTAATTAAATAAACTTTTATAATTTCAAATTCGTTTTTAAGCCCTCTGAAGTTCCTGCAGAGCCCTTCTCTTCAGGACCCACCCCTACAATTACCCAATTTTGAGAATCCTATCCAGTTATTCTTGCATTGGAAGCTCTTGAGGACTGTAAAGTGCCTCAAAAACAATAGGGACTAATTGACCAACAATCCTTAAAGTTTTGGTGACAAGAAAACAATATAATTTTAAAAGGTTAAATTTATTAAAAACCTTTATGACTAGGAGGCTCTTCTGTTAAAGGGTTTTAAATACTAAATGTCTATTAAAGGTTCTAAAGCCTCTTGGAAAACTGTCAATGCTGTGTGACGCAGTCCAGTTGAAACTGGACTGGTATTAAGGGTCCCTGGTTCGAATCCGGGTTCGGGCATGAATATTTGTAAATGTATAGTGGGTTGGGTTGGTAGAGCAGTCTACAGTGACTTTATAGACAGTGGCAACAAACAAGGTTAATAGAGAAAGTTAATATAAACCTGGAGATGGAAAACGTAAAATAAAGCAAATATAAGAAGCAAAGTGTAAACTATTATAGGAACCTGAATCCATGACAATTACAGGTCAAAACAGTATAATTAATAATTATAGCACGGAGTGTACCGCGTCATTTTGGAGGATTTCTATTGGCCAGTTTGGAATTTAGCCCCAATATGGCGACCGGAACCAACGGCCAATCAAAAACGAGATACCCTGTCGTCGCCACTGTCTCTATAAAGTCACTCTAAGTAATTCAAAAGCCGAAAGAGGTCGCCCTCGTCGATCAATGAAAGGAACCAAGTAATTTAATTTTACTTAGGCACAGCACACTTACACCCATTCGCACATCTACAGGAACCGGTAGCTAAGAAGGCGAGAGATGACGCATTCACTCTTCCTGAAGACCCTAAATTGCTCCAAGGATTAGTGTTTTAAATGAGCACATAAGATGGGTTGCATACCCAGTGATTAATTGATTGGGGTTGGGCTCACACAATTCTGCACCTGAGATGTCATAGGGGGTGGTTTTCAATTACCAGCTGAAATCTATTTTTAAAAACAGGGAAGTTTTCTCCCCTAAGAAATAGTAAGCAATCATTAGCACATATTCATATTTGAAGTAGAGGGTAAGTAGATGTATCATGAGTTCACGCAAATCGGTTATATATTTAATCACCCCATCAAGTTGCTAAAGAACATTTCGAAGACATTTTTTTTTTAATTCTAGGGGGTGACTATTTATTTATTTTATTTTGCCTTTATTTTTGAGTGGGCGGGGTTTCAGCCATGGCTGCCCTACCAACCCAACCCACTATACATTTACAAATATCCTGGATTCGAACCAGGGACCCTTAGCACCACAGTTCAGCTTTAACTGAACTGCACCACACGGGCCGGCAACTATTAAATCTTAATGTATTTTGATGCTCATTGATGTCGAGCAATTACCGTTTGAATTTATAATTCTAAAATTATTTTTCAATATGTTCGGAAATTTTCACCCATAAAAAAAACGCAACCCCGGCATAGAGTCAACTTTGAAGAATACCTTCAATGACTGAATTATTTGGTAATAAATTGGAAGGCTTTTTTAGAAGGTCTTGAATGTTGCCAAGCTCTGGAAATTGTTTTAAAGCAATCTAGCACTCCGGAAAGTGTATATAAAAGCCCTATAGTGTATTTCAGTGCTGTCCAGAGATTTTTGAAACCCTTAGTAGAGCTTTAGGCCCTTTCAAGAGTATGAAAAACTTTGAGCTGAACATTTCTGAAAAGCCACAGTTGTTTTAAAAAGATTTCCAGCACACTGGATCCAACTTGGGATTCTAGAAAGCTTTCTAGACTAGATTTTGGGTTCGGTGCGGCTTTAGCATTTTGAGCCTTTTCCCATGGCTACTAGACCCCTTCCAAAGGTTTTTAAGTCTTCAAGAGCGCAGTAAAAATTTTCTACAAGGTATAAGCCTTTCATAACTCGAGAAAGGGTCTGTAAAGACAAAGACAGGACCTAAACACACATAAAACCACTGGAAATCGCTAGGCGTAAATTATTTTACTTAGTTAATGCATTTTAAAATTTCCATGTCCTATACAGGGTGTCCTATATGGGTCAAAACATTTCATTTGGGAGGTAACAGGCGATCAAAAATGAGTTGCTGTCGAGTCACCTTTGGAAGTTCAAGTTAAGTACGATTTCCCATGTAAGCAACAATTCCAGAGGCGACTTGACAGAAACTTATTTTTGTTTTCACTTGATCTTCTTGTTTTTCTCAGCAAACATAACCAAAATTCCTACCTTAAGTTTGCATGCCCTTCTATCTATCTACCTATTCGCAGGGGAGCCCGACCGGGCAGCACTTAGGCACACCAGAGGCCCATTGTGCCTACCCCCTTTCTTCACAACTGAGTTCAGAGCCCGTTGCTCTCAATGAAGCCCTGTTTAGCCCTCACCCTCCTCGGTTCCAGGTATCTGTCTCCAAGGAGGCATGGACATTATTTAAAAGTATTTAAACAATGACATGGATTTTATCCTTTTGATCACCACAAAGTTTGGTATCTAGGTGTCCTTTAAGATGAAAATAGTGGAAATCCTCCCCCTAAAAATTAACAAGCATTAACACCCTTATTTTTAAGTTTATTTAAATGTTCCTTTGACACTTAGGAAAACACAAATCAGCTGATGCGACGTTGTCTTGTCTACTTTTATAGTACAAGTGGGTGGGGGAATCCCCAGTCAGGTACAAAAATAAACAACCAATGAACGAATGAAACGAACCTCAAAATTTCATCATCATTTACCGGCATTTCCCTCCGATTAAAGTCTTATCATCGTTTATTGTTAATTTTATAGTTTTGCACTTGCACAAATTAAAAATGTCTCTTTCCGTGGAAGATAGATACGATTTAATTACTCGAAACTTGGTGGCAGTCTCCGATGGGGAAAAGCTAAGATCGATCCTAAAGGAGCGAGAGTTGAAAATCTACTGGGGACTGGCAGTAGCCGAGAAGTTGGACCTGTCGTATTTTGTCGCCGTATCAAAGATTGCGGATTTTCTGCGTGCAGGGGCCAACGTCACTGTGTTACTCGCCGACTTGCACACATTTTTGGATAACAGAAAATCGTCATGGGACGCGCTTCCTTTGCGTTGTGACTATTACGAAAGTGCGATTAAGGTAATGTGCAAGTCGATCGGGATCAACACGGACGGTCTTCGTTTTGTGAGAGGTACCGACTTTCAACTGTCGAGGGAGTACACGTTGGACGCTTACAAACTGAGCTCACTTGTAAGTACGGAGGATGCACGATTGGGGGCCGAAGAAGTCGTCGCGCAAGTGGAGCATCCTCTACTAAGTGCCCTGTTATACCCAAGTAAGTAGATCGGTAAGTGATACACTCTCGTGACCTTCTCCTGGCCAGGTCTGCAAGCCTTAGACGAGGAACACCTAAAGGTAGATGTTCACTTCGGCACAGTGAAACAAAAGAAAATTTTCGAATTCGCCGAGAAGTACTTGCCGGTTTTGGGTTACGAAAAGCGAATACATTTGACAAGTCCCTCTGGTGAGTTTCCCATTGAATCGCAAATGATCTTTTTTTATGATCCCTTGTAGTTCTCGACTTGTCAGGAGGAAAAGTAACGCTACCCGAGGACGAACGTAAAGTAGACATTCTTGAGTCAATGGCCACCCTAAAAAATAAGATGAAAAAGGCGTTCTGTGAAAAGGGCAACGTGGAAAATAACGGCTTGTTATCGTTACTAAAACACGTAATTTTCCCCCTCCTGATGAAAGCCGACGAAAAGTTCGTGATTACAAGGAGCAAGAATCACGGGGGTGACATCGTATTCGAGCGGTATGATGTAATCGAAGATTCCTTCGGGAAAAAAGATCTACATCCGGGCGATCTCAAAGTTGGTGTCGAAACTTATATTAATAAGTTACTGGAGCCGATACGCAAGGAGTTTGAGGAGCCGAATTTGAGGCAGATTGTGGAGAAGGCATTCCCCGTTGCCGCCGCTAGGAAAAGTATGCCGGGCACATTTTTTTTAGTGTTAACATTTTGCTTGTAGAGGGCGGATCGACTACTGCTGTTCCTAATGAGGAGGCGACACCTTCTCGGCTAGACATGCGAATTGGTAAAATTGTCGAAGTCTCAAAACATCCGGATGCCGATGGTTTATACGTGGAGAAGATCGACGTGGGTGAGGGTTCCCTCCGCACTATCGTCAGCGGGTTGGTTAATTACGTTCCAATTGAGGAAATGCAAGACGCACTGGTACTTGTTCTTTGCAACTTAAAACCGGCGAAGCTTAGGGGTATCGAATCGAAAGGGATGCTGCTCTGTGCCAATTTGTAGGTTTATTTAATGTAAAGCTAACACGTAGATACTTGTTGTTCTTGTAGGGCGCCAAAGGAGATAGAAATCGTTTGCCCTCCTGGAGGAACACCCGCTGGTGAAAGGGTGTACGTTGAAGGTTACGAGGAGGGGACTCCGGACGACGTTTTAAATCCAAAAAAGAAAGTTTGGGAGAAGCTGCAGGTCGACTTGACCACAAATGAAGATTGTGTTTGCCAGTGGCAGGGAAAAAAATTATTCACGAAATCTGGTGGTCTACTGACTTGTAAATCTATGAAAAACGCTCCTGTTAAATAAGGAATTGTACTATGTATATTTTGCATTTCTAGCTTAGCTCATATTTCTTTGTATTACCACATTAGGATAGGGTTCTTTTGTCAGAATAAATCACAGTTATTGACACTTGACATTTAACGAGCGACAAAAAGCAAGTTCATGATTTTCTGTCGTCTCTCGGTCGGTCCGCCCGTCCATCTGTGTACATGGTAACTCCAGTGCACAGCATTATAAAACATCCACTTGAAATCAGGCGTCTGTGCCCTGTGGCCCTGATAGTGTATTATTATTAATTTTTATTATTTTTAATATAGAATGTGGCCTGTAGAATTCACAATTTCAAACAGTTCCAAGATTGGGCTACTAGTTCAAAAGTTACAGCCCTTTGAATTTTCTTTCGAAATTTGTTTCTAGTCTATAACTTTTGATTGAGAAGTCTGATCGAAAAAGTACGAATTGTTTTGGATTCTACGCACCAAAATTAATAAGAAAAAGTGTTTTCCCGAGAAATTTTGGTGTAGTCGATTTTTTGTAAAAAAGGAAGGTTATACACTGCCTTTTTTTGAGGCCCTCAAAAAAAATTGTCTCAGATCGATCCGGAAAAAAATTTTTCTTATAGAATGTGGCCTGTAGAATCCATAATTTCAAACAGTTCCAAGATTGGGCTACTAGTTGAAAAGTTACAGCCCTTTGAATTTTCTTTCAAAATTGGTTTCTAGTTATAACTTTTGATTGAGAAGTCTGATGGAAAAAGTACGAATTGTTTTGGATTCTACACACCAAAATTAATAAGAAAAAGTGTTTTCCCGAGAAATTTTGGTGTAGTCGATTTTTCGTAAAAAAGGAAGGTTATACACTGCCGTTTTTTGAGGCCCTCAAAAAAATTTGTCTCAGATCGACCCGGAAAAACAATTTTCTTTTAGAATGAGGCCTGTAGATTCCACAATTTCAAACAGTTCCAAGATTGGGCTACTAGTTCAAAAGTTACAGCCCTTTGAACTTTCTTTCGAAATTGGTTTCTAGTCTATAACTTTTGATTGAGAAGTCTAATCGAAAAAGTACGAATTGTTTTGGATTCTACGCACCAAAATTAATAAGAAAAGTGTTTTCCCGAGAAATTTTGGTGTAGTCGATTTTTGGTAAAAAAGGAAGGTTATACACTGCCTTTTTTTGAGGCCCGCAAAAAAATTGTCTCAGATCGACCCGGAAAAAAAATTTTCTTATAGAATGTGGCCTGTAGAATCCATAATTTCAACAGTTCCAAGATTGGGCTACTAGTTCAAAAGTTACAGCCCTTTGAATTTTCTTTCGAAATTGGTTTCTAGTCCATAACCTTTGATTGAGAAGTCTGATCGAAAAATTACGAATGACCTGGGACACTGTATATTTTTTTTTCGCCCATGTAATAAAGGCATTATTATTATTATTTAGATAGAATTTACCATACCAACACTATACTTCCTTATGTAGGGTCATCTTCAACATCCAACAAATTGGAATTTTCAAAAAAGAAGTTATTGCTCATACATCAAGGGAATCAAGAAAAAAAAAAGAAAAATGATAGTTTAAGATCAGGGACTACCACTAAACAAGCAGACACCTATTCCCAACTGAAGTTGGCATTTCTACCTCTGAAAGTGTAAGCTGTAATGTCTTGTAAAACATCAGGAAGTTTGGTTTCATGAACAGCAGTTAGACTTAGGACCATTGTGATACTTGCTTGTTACGATTTTGAAAAAAAGGTAATTTTGACAGTTTGAATCCCTTTTAAACGACACATTTGACCTCAATTTGTCATTGGGGATGTAATTAAACAAAGGTACCATATAATCGTTTGCTAAGAAGCACATTTTTGAAAGTTCTAAGCGATAAGTATTGTTAGTTATAAAGGGTCAACTAAGATTGACGATATATTTAATGTACCATATCCTGTACATTACTGCAACTGACTATACATTCTTCAAATGTCCACTTAGGAAAAATTCTTTTGTACAAATTCAACACAACGGTATCCATCGATTTCAGCTGACCATCAAATACACATTTCATATGTCCATGAGTGCCTAAAAAAACCATGCTCACTCTACCAACTTGTCAACAACAGATATACCTAAAGGTTCCTTTATGTGTCCGATTCTACCGTACTTCGTATGTAGTTTAACAGGCTTAAAATAGATGATATCTTCTCTATTGAAGAACATGAAACGAACCACCGCCGAACGCTTGTTAATCTTCAACGGATGCCCGGACAGAACAATACGTTTGATAATCAGACGGTCCGGATTGCAGGATAATAGTTGGCCGTGCGCCACTAGGACTAATTTGTTTGAGACTTCCTTGAAGCAGAGTGTAGGCGCCGGCGGGAACTGGATGGGGGCGTAAAATGACGCGACGACGGTCGAATTCGGTTGGAAGTATCTTTCGTACTGCAATTCGAGATTAATTACTTATCACACAGGTAAATTTACTACAGATAACTATTGCAAGAATGTATTTTAAGTTTCCTCGTCATATCTGTGGTACATCTCAACAGTTATACAGGGTGATGCATTTATCTTGAGACGATTTAATATGGAATCATATTTTTTTTATACAAAAGTTGTACAAATGCAAGGGGGTTAATCGGTGGTGACCTTGATCTAGAATTTCAAAGATCATTTTAAGGTCAATTTCAGAATTTTAAATGGGACTCCCTAATAAATATACGCGCTTTAATCTCCAAATACATTACTTGTAAAAAAATTTCAACCCCCCTTGAATTGTATAAGGGTGGGGAGTTAAAAAAAAAGCGACGCCATAATTTTTTTGACATTTTGTCAGCGTGTAAAATGCCATGTCTCTGGTAAAATGACAAAAAATGATGTTGCTAAATTTGCCTCCCCTCACCCCGACCTTATACAAGTACTCTAATGCGTGGTGGTAGGTGGGTGAAATTTTAATGTGGCATGTGTGGGGGGGTTTATTTATTTATTTATTTATTTTGCCTTTATTTTTGAGTGGGCGAGGTTTCAGCCAAGGCGTGTATATAAATTTTGAGACACCTGATCCTAACATCTAAGCTCCAAACGCCCTACTGTAACCTACTTTTACATTAATTAATAGATCAAAACAATTGATGAATAAGAAACTGTCATTCTGAAGTGGACCTTGGAATGACCTTGAAAGCCAATGTCAAGGTCACTACCGATTAACCCCTTTACAATTGTACAACTTTTGTATGAAATTTATTTCCAAAAAATATAATCCAATCAATTAAATCATCTCAAGATAAATCAATCACCCGGTATAACAAGGCACTACACAAATTTGTGTTCGCGTTTCTGTTTTTAATTATGCAACCAATCACTGCACTCGTCAGATAAACGATAAAATGTATCTGTGCTTCTGTGCACCAGCCCCTCATACAAAAATCGCATCAAATTTTAATCAATTTAACTTCTGTTGCTGCCGGAGACAATTTTGTGCCCGGAACCTCACCTTATGCTTTTTCCCGTTTGTGTGCTCACTGTAAATGGGATTAACGATAAATCTGCGATATCCACATTGAAATATCAGCCGTTCCTTTGATTTAATCGGCGCCTCGTATAGTGGTGTTCTTTTTAGAACGGTGTTCATTACGCTCATTTTGTGCTCGTGTTGTAGTAAACCGAATAAAATTAGGGGAGCTTTTGTTTGTTGAAATGTTGCCCACAGATGCTGAGAAACGTCCTTGATGTGTATTCGTATGTACCAGCCAGGCTGAAAGGGCACTGTCACCGCTTAATTGAAGGATCAAAGAAATACTTGCCATGACGCCATCTTTACAGTCTATTGATTTGACAATTTTCCTCTTGGTCCGGTCGAAATTCTCAAACTGAAATATGCGCCCATAATCGACGGGTAAGTTTTCTTTAACATCCCACGGAGAGGTCCTACAATTTAAATAACAGCACTAAGTTGTAGCGCATTTAATGCGATACCGAAAACTTTCCAGCCCCCGATACTTCTGGAAACGCACTCGAGCTTCCACATTCAGTGGCGTGTCCATTTCGTCGGGAAAGATAAGATCCGACTTGGCAGCTTGCAATTTTTCAAGCTCCTCCTTTTCTTGATCCAAGTCGAGTTCTTTGTCGTACTGCTGGTCGTCGACTCCAATTTCCGATTCAGTCAGCGTGTCAAACTCTTCGCCTTCATCCACGTCCGATTTTACCTCAGACATCGCGTCCATATTTTCTAAATCGTCCTCCTCATCGTCCGACGACACGGACTCGTCATCTTCGTCGACTATCCAAGCCGCCTGGTAATCGGACCAACCTTTGGGCACCTTCTTCACCTTTCTGGTTTTATGACTCTCTTCCGCCATTTTCAATTCTTCCTCCGTCGGCCACGTCTGTTCGGCGTCCATCGGGTCGACGATGTTTTCAGAAACTAACGATTCCTGTTTGGTAATGTCCGCTCTTTCGAGGACTCTAGCTACTCCAACGCCCGTTCCAGCCCTGAGCAAAATACAAAGCGGCGTCAATTTGGTACGAAACAATTCGTTATTTCTTGTTTATATAGTTCCTTAAAAAAGATATATTTGGACTGTTTCGACACCTATCATTTTAGAGATTCCATGACCCTATCCCGAAGGGTGGAATAGCCCCCTAGCAAAATGTAATCAATTCCTTCTGTGTGCAGGAGTGTTTAGGAAAATGAGTATGTTTATGATTTTTGTAGAGAGTATGGTCAAAGTTTAGTTTTCTGGGGGGGCATTCTCTACACGAAAGTTCTAAGAATGTAATTTATTGGTGGGTTTTGTAGGGACTTGATAATCATGGGTAAAATGGATTACCCAAACCTCGACTCAAACTATATGATTCTTTTCTTTCTTACGCTCCCACAAAAAAAATGCAGTTAAATAGGGGCATCGCGGCTTTATTTTTTATTTCTGATTTACAAAGTACAATAAAAATAAAAAGACCTGTATGTCCTCCATTTTTATTTGCGAGTTAAATAAATCCAAAATAAATTATTGAAAAGCTGTGTTTTTAGTCCGAATTTGAAACGCTTGTCTAAATACGTCACAAACCTACAACCAATCACGTAGAAGTGAGCCGGCAACCTTGCGCGAGGATTTGACGTTTGTGTACAAGTGACAAGTGCCTGTGACGCAAGTTACAAATGCAATATTGCCAAATCCTATGTCATCTGAATGGTACTAGCAGCTGATTGGTCCAAGGTTATTTTAAACAACCTTGTGATTGGTCGGGCTTATTACGTCACAGAGCCCGCCACAATCATCTCGTTTTGAATAAACCCCTAATACCGCACATGTTCATTATTTTTTTTCTGATCAGCCACCATTTTTCAATAAACTTTTACTGTCCAAAAAATTGTTTTATGGTTTCAGGTATACGCTTATTAAATTAGAACTACGGAATACAACTATACTGTAAACCCCTATTGTCCTCGCCCATTCGAACAATTGGTGTTTTAAACAGAAATTGGAACCCACATGAAATATAGGTTCCGGTTCCGTACCACTTAGGTAGAATTATTTTTAAAGGGTTCCGGGCTTCAGTAATTTTCGATTCCGGTTCTAGTTTTTTTTCGGTTTTTAAGGATTCCAGCTTAAATAAATAAATACAAGTATTAAAAATATCCAGAGATGGAATAGCTTTCCAGACACACACTCTTCAACCCTCTTACTGTTTATGATTATTTTTTGTCCTCTATTAGCTATCTCATCCCTTAAAACTCCAATATGGCGCCTATAAGAAGCAAGATTCAGATTCTCCAAAAAAAGTGTCCATAGAAAGTGCTAACGACCTTTTAAGGTAGGAAATTGAAAACAAAATTTGACATTTTAAGTGTTTCGGCGATATTTGTTTTTCAAAAATTTCAAATGCGCTTTTTAGGCCCAAAAGGGGGCTACTGTTCCCTCATTTAACCTACACTGTAACTCTTACCGTTCCGGAGATCCCAGTGGTGAGCCAGAAATTTGAATCATCCTGTACAATTTTAAAATTATTTTCGAATAGAAATAGTTTTCGCCTCTAAAAATTCAAAGCAACCCCAGACCTTACTTATTTTGTGCGTTTGTGCGTAACGTCACTAAACAATTTTCGAAGAAGTCACACTTTTTTTAGGATTTTGGGTCATAGTGTCAAAACTAGCGGATAAGGATTCAATTAAATTAACAATATATCTCATTGCCCAAGGAATGCTCTTTTTAACCATATAAAATTTGTTAAAATCGGTCAAACGGTTAAGAAGTTAAAGCAGGTTATTTCAAAAACAATTGAACGCCCCACACCATCTGTATTTTTTAAATAAAAGAGTATTTGTTTTTACGAAAATGATAGATAAACTGGTTCTCTTTAAAAATGTGAAAAAAATTTTTTTAGTTTATTATGCGAAATTTAAAGAAAATGCAGCTTTAAAATTTAAGATGGCAGTTACGCCCTCTGTTGGTCATTTTTAGAACTTGAAAATATTTTCCAGCGATTCTTCATGACCGATTTACTCAATAATTGTTTTTACCCCTAAGTCATATGACTAACGGTTCTCGAGATATTGCCGAGGAACAGTCTTATTGAGTCACCCGGTACATAATTATACATTATTGATCCTTGTTTGTACTAACACTTTCTCTGCAGACTGCGGTTCCGGTATCGCATCAATTTGAGAGATTTGGAAGTCGCCCAAACCGGGCAAGTGAATCAAATCATTGGCCGACAGAGGAGTGCCACGCAAATGACCCGTTACCATTAAAGTACCCAGAGATCCTGCAATTGTCTGTTTAAATTCGCATAATGCATTCAATCACTCACCTTCCCCATTCACAAACTCGCACTCCTCCGCGTAAAGGTGCGGCCGGCGATCTCGATTAATAACCGATTTATGTTTCTGATTACCGATCTTACGCAGCACGTTTAAAGCGTCGCTACTCTTATCCAAGGTCATAATTTTTTCGTCCGGCATCCACTTCGATACCAACTTTTGAATGTGGTGCTTTTGCTCGCCACGTTTCTTCTGCGGAACGCCGTCCAAGTCGGTGACGGCCACTACCGGCGTTGGCAAACCCTAAAAAATTACCCTCATTTGTCGCACAGGAATTGTCCCAAACTAACTTGTGCAAACGAAAGCGTCAGAACCTTATTGCCCCATTGATCGATGAGCTCGTCACCAAAATCGTACCCGGCCACAGCAGAAATAACAAACAGAACTGTGTCGCAAACTTTCAAGGTATCCAAAATCGCTAGATCATTATCCATGTCGGGTATGACAAAGCTGAAGTGTTGCTTAAACCGTGGTATACTGTAATGAGGTTAACTAAACTCGAGAATGCTTTCAAATTGAACTACCTGATGTGCGTACAACCTGTGGCCCCAGTTCTCAGGGTAACTTCCTCGTCACATTGTGAAAAAAATGACAGCACTCCTTGCGGATCCAACAACTTATTCAATGGTAGGATAGACACTAAAAATGGTGCCGTGTTTGCGCTACCGATGGAGCGTTTCTTTGCCAATACTTCGTCGCGCTTTGTTTGACGTATTTGATTTGAACGATTTCTTCTTTCGATTCTATTTAAATCCTTCTTGTTCTTTTTCGACAGGGCTTTAACAGAGACTTTACCTACGGCAGCAAGTTCAGACATTACGCTTTTATAACGCTCTACCGACCTCTGCTGGACGAACTGATGGATCCTTTCGACCTATGTCTTCCGTGTTTGTGTGCCTTATTACTTTGTTTAAAGGGTCCAGGACGGTGTGCTTGTTCTTTAGTTAAACCCATTTTTACTTTTAATGGTATCACAAAACTAACAACATAACCTAAAAGAGCACATGTACGCAGTAGTCGTGACAACAGCCACGGTTTGTTTTTGTATTGCTGTGGCTGTGGTTTTGTCCATAACCTGAAAATGTTAAAAATTTCAAAATGAATTTAGACCCTTTATACCTAAAATCCTTAATAGGAAAGTCTGTGCATTTAAACACCATTGATAATGAATCGCATTATGGAACAGTTTATACGGTAGATCCAATATCAAATGCCTTCGTGTTGGTTACTTCCGCTGTAGGGTCTAAGCACATAGTGGCCATTTACCCATATAGCAGTATTAAAGACTGCACAGAAGCTACCGAGGGACCCTCTCCATGTAACATAATTACTATCAATGCTCCACCGTATGAGAAATGCGATAACCGGAAGGTAAAGCTAATGGACTGGCTGAGAAAGAACCAAGTGGATCTGCACGACGACGACGGTATCCTCAAGCTGAAGGACTACTCTGTAACAATCGAATCGCCTTACGGACCGGAACAGTGCTACTGTGATAATACAATAGTGTTGGATAGAATAAGAACATTAATTTTAAAGATGCCTTTGTAATTATTTTAAATTAATTTCTTCTGAGTTAATATAGGTATTTATTTCTCCTACTGAAATTGGTACCGCATTTTGCTTAGGCTAAATATACACTACCTACTTGTCATTCTTTTCTTGGTAACCAGAGAAAGTTTATAACTTTTCTGATACGGGCGTAGACACGAAGCACTACAAATATTCGCATACAAGATTTTGTTTTTCCCCTACAATTTGAGCCCAACCGTAATTTTTTAGGTGTCCCTCATCCAAAATCCAAAAATTGGCAAGTTGAAAATTTAACTTAAATTTTCTGTGAAGCTAAATCAACAATATTAAAATTAGTAATTAATATGACAGCCAGATCTTTGTTTCAAGAAGTTATTTTGGTTGCATAAAACTAGGCGTCTTTCAGAAGACTTTTTATCATATAAAAGTAGACAATAATAAATAATAATACATAAATCTTTTCTAAAAAATCTTCAAGATTAGGTACCTATACTGACTATTTTGATATATCGGCGACGTAAAAACGACACTATGAGCCGCGATAGGGCCTATTAAGGCCTACTCTTTGGTATATGAGTTTGGTTAATTAATGTACGAAGCGCATATTAAACCAAACGGTAGGTAAACACGTAAATTTTAAAAAATCGTAAACATTTTCGATCGCCCGCGTGAATTGGGCGCCAAAATACGTCTTTCTAAATCTAAGAAATTTCTATAATCTTCCATTTCCAAATTGGAAGTATATACGAAGGCAATAAGGTTCAAAATACACTTCTTCACTTACTGTTTGGGTTTGTCAGCCAAAATATTGGTGTGATAAACTCGCCTGGAGTGTCTCATAATGGCCCCCACAAATCCTTGACAGCCTGATTAGATTGATTCCACACACTAAGGTTAAAGAATCAGAGGGTCCAGGGAAACGTCGTGACAAGGATTGACTTAACACTAAATGTGATCTCCAGCAGTACAAAAAGGGGTTAGCCAAGCAGTAAAAGGAGTATACGTACACCTTCCACTTTCTTTCGTATCTGTCCTTCTGGTTCAAGTCGTTCCGGAATGAGCGCCCTTTGAACTGATCCATCTTTCGTCTATGATAAATTGGTCAAAATGCAGACATAATTTGTTCAAATTAGTCCGAAGTCCGAAACGAAAAGGAAGGACAAAGGGGCTTGAGATGGACCAATACAACGCGCAAGAAGTTGCATGCTATAAGCAAGTTGAGTTTTGCTTTTGACATGGTGCTATTTCAATTGCCACGTATGTGTGCACCAGGAACCTCTATTTTTTGGGAGAAACAATAACATGGACTTGTTCTCAAACAAAAATTAAATTTTGATTGCTTGAAGAAGCAATGTTTCTGAAATATATAAATTACATAAATAAATAGTAAACAAGTAATTAGTGCGTCCCTCAGCATCATAGTTGTCGCCACCGTATTTTACTAGGTTGGGGACAAAAACAAATAGATTTACGCCTAGAATTGCGCGGTTCATGCAAGAAAAATAACCAGAGTCCTATAAAAATTGCATGCCTTTCACAATTTCTCTTTCTCTATATAGTTGGTTTACAAAAATGCAGTGACTGATCAATGTGCAATTAACATGTTCGATTCCATATAGGTTGCATCAAAAGTAAGTCGCAGTCGAGCAAGTTTAAGGACATACATAATCACAATAGGTAAAATTGCGTTCACAACCGGTTTCAGCAATTTAAGTCATAAATTCAATTTTCCTGTAGACATTTAAATTCAGGAATTACAATAGAATAATTATCAACTTCCAAATCTTAAATTAAATTTGTGGCAATTACATGTTGTCTAAAAACAACAGGCTGCATCCACACAACTTCAGAGTGGAGCTTAAAAATTTAGCTTTAGCTCTCAAATAGCGTGTAATATACCTACATAACGCACCCTAATCTAAAATATGAACCTTTTTATTATAAGAAAAATGCAATTCACAAACATCTTATTCCTACAGAATTAATTTATACAACTATTGTGCTTTTATAAATACATACATATACAATAAGACAATTGTGTAAAATAAAAAGTATACACATACCTAATTTAAACAAAATATTGCTTCTTTAGAGAAAATAACAACATTTAACATAACACGACTGCTTAACTTTTTACATTATTAACCTAAAAATTATATTTACGTCATGAAAACACAACCGACACCCTATGCTCGTTTGCCCGTAGGTAGTAAAAGCTGTGCGGCAGACATCGCGTCTGGGAATAACGAGTGATAATTTAATAGCGGTACGTATGCCGCCGTAATAACGCGACCCGCGAACCAACGACCGTGGAGGGAGTTAACCGATGCGACTGCCGTAGCTATAGACGGACACTTAACGTACACATTTCCTTGAGGAGATCCCTTGTCAACATAGACGTGGAGTACTCCTCCGTGCTTGTTACATTCCTCGATTACATCGTCGCGAATTTCTGTGTCCCAACTGTGTGCAGATTCGCTGAAATACAAACATTATTCGCATATTGTATATTTTTAATTGAATTGGCCTTGGAAAATTTTTATTTGTGTTGGCAATACTGAGTCTTAAACAACGTTGCCATTTAACATATGAAAACCTTCAAGGTCAACCTTCTGAACATTGTACTTACGAGGAGGGGTCAAACATATTGCTCAACATGAAGCACTGCGTCGCAATTGGAGGTGTTGAATTTGTAGGTATTTGAGGAACAACAGGTTGACCTGTGGCCATACTGAGCGCGTTGGCCGCCGCCTCGGGCACCCGAAGACCGGCGCCCTCTGCAAGCTTAAACATAAGCTGTAGGCGCCCGGTCGCACCTAAATCGATTCCGGATCGGTCGAGTTCGTCCGAGTCTAATATGGAAGGACCTTGCGACTGCAGATCTAGCCTCTCTGTAACATTGCCTACTTTCATTGGTCGGCCGGCTAACTCAAAGCCGTTCAATTGCTCCAATGCCTTTTTAGCATCCTCACAATTATGAAACTAAACAGTGGTTAAAATACGGCAAGCGTAGCCAAAGACACAAACTTACAGTAATAAATCCGTAGCCTTTCGACCGTCCGGTCTCCGGATCCATTATAAGCTGGATATTGTCAATTTTACCAAAAGGCTCAAAGATTCCTCTCAACATCTCTTCCGTTATATTGAAATGTAGTGAGCCGACATATAAACGCATCGGACCGGTCATTGTTTTAGGCATCAGATTCGGCATCGAATTACCCATTCTATTTTTCTCGGCCTGCGTGTGTTGCACTACGATGGGTATACCGGATAGCTTCTGTCCCGATAACCCTAACGCCTAAAAATACGACAGCGTTAAATGAGATTTAAAATACTCAGGGAACATTACCAAAGTTACACTTTCAGGATCGCGAAACTCAATATACGCGATGCCCTTAAATCGTCTCGTCTTGTTGCAAGTGATAAGCCTGACGTCCCTCACTTTCCCGACGGCACTAAAGAACTCCTGCAGGTCTCGGGCGCGAACTCTCTGCGATAACTGCATAACAAATACTGTACGTGCGTCTCTTTCTTCGGGACTGAGCTCCTCGAGCGGCGGCGATGTTCGATTCGTATAACCCAATCCGATTGGTGAGCGCGCCTTTTTGGGGAAGGGCAGGCGGACAGACGGTGGTGACGGCGATCGCTTACGAAATCCCACATCTCTGCTTGCGCTTCGTTTTCTGCTACGACTTCGACTTCTCCTACGCCTGAAATTGTTATTAACTTATACTCTCGATTTACATGCATTTGTTTAAGTAGATGGCGCTTTCAAAGAACTCCTCTAAGAAAATTTTTAGTTTTTAAGAATTCCAGCACGATTTTGAAAATGATCCTAAAATTCCCACAATGATTTCTGCTGGATTCGATGCACGGGATAGGAGAACAGTGTTGCCAATCCTACTGCCATTGTAAGTCTTGCTAATTATTCGATAATTAGTTGACATATGAGGAAAGAAGGGTACATAGAGAAATTAGTGTGAAAAGGAAAAGAACAGAAGAGGAAAGGGTGGAGTTTGGAGTACCGATACAAACAACAAAAGGAAACAGAAAAAAAAAAAAAAACGAATAAATAATATATATGGAAGATCCATTTGAGAAGAGGAACAATATAAAGGGAAGAGTAAAGGAGGTCTATTAACAGGGGTGAAAAAAAGGATAGGAGAATGGGGGATGAAACGAAAGAGGACGGCGGAATATAAGTCGATATACAACAGAGAGAGAATGAAGGATTTAAAAAATAAAATAGAAAATATGGTAGATGAAAAGGAAGAGGAACTACCTACTATTAGAGCGATTTTAATCCCAAAAAATGGGTAGAGATGGAAAGAGTGCCACAAGATGAAGCGATAAAGAGTGCAACCAAGAGGGAGAAATCTCACTGGAATTATTAGAGCGAATTTTAAATAGAAAGATGAAGAGGGATAGAGGCAGGTGAATTTACATACATGGGAGGAATAGGGCGGTCGGTAATTAATTACAGAATAGTAAAAGAAAAAATACTGGAACCATATATGTATGTAATATAGAAACACTGATAGGATTAGATCACCAAAGATGGAATTGAATCTAAAAGGTAAGATCAGAAGATTAAAAAGTGAAAAGGCGAAGGGAGATAAAGGTAGGGACAAGAGGCATGGTAGAGCGTATACAGGGAGACTAGAGGAACAAGGAGAAGACATTGGAGAGAATACAGAAGAGTGGAATAATATAAAGGAGTATTAGAAAAATCATAACGCGGGAACAAATACCTACCTAAAGGAGAGGGGAGAGAAAAAAGAAAGGAATGGTGGGACAAAGAGAAATAGATTTAAAAAAATGATGGAGAAGGAAAGAATAGGAGAAATAGAGGACAAAGGGGTGAGCAAATCAGGAAAATAAAAAGAGAAAAGGATTTTTGGAAGATGATGAGCAGAGGAAAAAAGAAAATTAGAACAAGGAGCGAAATACAATTAGAGGAATAAAAACAACACTTTGTCAAGTTACTCCAAAAGAGCAGGAGAAAGAGGACGCTATGGATGAGAGGAGGGTAAAAGAGATACGAGAACAAGTGAAGACCAAATAGTAATGAATGACTGAAGAAAGGGAAAGTGGTAGGAAGATGCCACAGACAGGCTTGAGGAAATGATAAAAAATCTTAAAAATCTAGAATATGCGGAGAACAAGAAGACATAGAACATATGTTATAGAACTGTATGGAGGAGGAAATCCAGGGAGAAGTAGGAATGAGGGGGATACTAAAGAAAAGAGAAGAAAAAAAAATCGAATTTTAGTTTATAATTTATATTGTTAGGTGGGTTAGGTAAAAAAATTCGGATCTTTTTTAAGTAGAACACCCTGTGTATTTTAACCTAAAAAATAGCACATTAAGTAAAAAATTTACCACCAAGATGATACTCAAAAAAAAGATTCAAAGATTTTAAAAATTTAAAAAAGTTCAAATAAAAAAATGAAAAACAAAACTTTCCTTGAATCTTTTTTTTGGAAAGAATATTGCATTTCATTATCGTTAAAAAAAGAACTTAATATGCCATTCTTTTAAATAAAGGTATACAGGATGACCTCTTAAAAAAAATTAGGTTAAGTCCGATAACTTTTTTACCTGGCCCCTTTACTCTCTTTAAAAGTTTAAACATATAAATATAGGGCCATTTTGGAATTGACAATTTTTTATTTTCCCCCCATATCTCTTAAACAAGCAAACATTTTCAAATGTTGATTATTGAGTTTAAATTGCTTGAGTATAATTTATATTGATTTCTAAACAGAGAATTTAATATACCATCTGTGTGTATTAAAAAATACAGGGTGTGCTCTTTAAAAAATTAGGTTGGTTCGATAACCTCTTTACCAGACCCCGTATACTTATTGGGAACTGCACATTATTCAACAATCATCATAAAGAAGCTTTTATAATCAACATCCCACTTTTCAAAAACACACCAGAAATGATATTAAAAAAAAATTAAAAAAATTAAAGAGTATATACGGGAGTGTTCTAAATTAAGTTGATAACCAAAACGAGAAATTATTACTGATCTGTATCATAGTTGACCGATGATTGAAAGCATTTTTGCCCCCCCCCCCTCATCAAAATGTTGATCAAGCATTCTTCTACAAATGACAAATTTTAAGATAGCAGTGTGGCGAAACCTCAAACCGTTTTCGCCAGTTTAATTTATAGAAACAAAACAGTGGAGAATCCTTAGAACTAAAAAATTACCTGCGATCTTTAGATCTACTACGTCTATCTTTGGACCGTGAACGCCTGTCTCTAGATTTTGTTCGTCTTCTGTCCCTAGACCGTGACCTTCTATCCTTGGTCCTTCCTCTGCTTTTGCTCCTCTTGCGATCCCCACTTCTCCTTCCATGTCGGTCTCTGGAACGACTCCGACTTCTGCTTCGGGTACGACGCTTGCTAAAATTTAATGTGAATCGATTCGTTTTGCACAACTGAGGCAAGTACTTACTCTGGTGTCCTACGCCTTCCGAAATCGCCATTCTCCCTTAGTTTTCCGTTCAGCTCGTCCTACGAACAGCAACAAAGTGAAGAGGGCCGGGCAGGTGCCAGAAACAAATTGCATTAAAAACTGAACTTACGCAAATACACCTACCAATACATTGCATCCACAGCAAAAAAAAAGTATCTGTTCGTTTTATGTACAAAGTTATTATATGAACACAGTCTGAACAGACAAAAAATTGATAATTTTTTATTATTTTGTATGTTAAAACCTAAAACTAAAGCTGACGATGGTCGAAGGTGCTGGTAGCTGAAACGTTACGTGTTGTCTAGCCAGGACTAGACTTACCGTATCAGAGCCTAATAAAGGTACGTGCTGGGTAAACTTGATCCAGATCAATACTTCTGAAAAAATAGACCCAATAAGACCAAAATTTCTTTTTCATCATTTTTTATGACGGTCATGCAATTGAAACAAGATTTTGTCAACTTTTAAGCCGAAACCAAATTTTAAACGGAGCTCACGAATAGCAGAGAATCTTTCAAGTTTAGCCTTTAAACGAGTAACAGCTCTAACCTAACCTTAAACGCCGTAGATCGAACGTTAATCAATGTCATATATGCGACGCATTAAAAAGCGATTCAATTAAAGTTAGGTTATAGTTTCTCAGCTCTTTCAAGAACAAACTCAAATGGTTTTCTTCTATTTCGATTAAGTGTCTTAAAATGTTAATGAACAAATATGTACTTTTACAATTACATCCTAGTTCCACCTTAGTTGCAGTTTATAATTGAGTGGAATCATCAATCGGGTAATTGATGGTAGAAAGGGACCTTGGGTGACCATCCACAGCTGTCCTAGGACGAGAAAGTTACCATCAGCGATACCATACAGATAAAAAATGCGAAAAATATGTTTGCAAAACGACCCACAACAATTTTTATTGCACACTAAGAACTAAAGGGGATATCGCAGGATAAGATTGTGGAAAGTGCCATTAAACCAACTGACATAATCGAAACCTTCCCTTCTCTTACCTAGGAGTCAAATAACTGGAATTGTTTTTGGAAATTTTCTTAATGCCATTAGTGTCTCGATCATTGAAAATTCGCACTTAAAGATCCAATTTATGGCGAAAAAAAAATATTTGAATCTTTAAATAATAGTTTCCAATGGTCCCAAACGAATAATTATGTGATGGTGACAAATTTTCACCTGTTTAACGACCGGTTCTTCATATGTGAATTAACTGAGATAAATAAAATGATGAAGGACCACTCCGAAAAGATATTTTTTTACTGTTATATCGATCAGTTAAAGGGTACTTTTCACCATCTTATCCTGGGGCATCCTTTACAGTGTCATCATTCGCTCTCAACAATTTGAGGATGAAAAACGTATTCACACAAAGTTTATACCTACCACTCCCGTAAACCTAACTAATTTAGAATTAGATGATAATGTACCTGTGTTGAACGCTTGCAGTTGGCGTAAACCCGAAATATACCGTCTAAAATAATAAAATCAGGGGGTGATATAAGAAAATATGTTTTTTCTAAAAAATTTCGTTTTAAAAGTTGCGAGGCTCTTACGAATGTACGATTATAGAATGTTGCACATTTAGATTAAGCTATGCAAGCGCCTTGCTCTTTTACAATTATTTTCTAATCAAAATATAAACGAATGTGAGAATGAACAACTTACATCTTTCATATACGGTGCTTCCAGCATAGCTTCGACGTCTATGTCCTCCGCCATGATCGATTCGATGACCTGGATTACACAACGCAAAATTAAATCAACCGAAATTGCGCTTTCAAAACGCTGTACCAATCACCTTTTCTGTTACTGTTAGAAACACGCTCTTAAATTCAAATTCTTTTGCACACTTATTTCTAAAACGAGACGAATTAATCTAAACTTTTTTTTAAGATTAAAGAATCAAAATGGTGACACGAATTGATCAAAGGAAAGTGTTCAATAGGGGAATTTCGTAATTTAGGTGGCTCAACTGGTTTCTCTTTCTACCAACTGTCAATACATATCCCTAGTAAGACAGTGGCGGGTGCTTGGGTAGGCAAAAAGTATTCTACTGCAAATACCACAAAAAACAATTACTATTTTAATTGTGTTAAAGCATTGAATTAGTGCTTATTTTCGCTCTGCCTCATGCGTAATCATGATAGCAGTACGCACCAAATCTTTTCTATCCCCTAGCATGACTGCTGCTTTCGTGTATATATACAAAAGATTTGGCTCAAAACTTCTTTATATAGCGGCAGAGCAAAGCGATGCAAACTTTATAGGGAAGTCGATGGTGTCAGTCTGTCCGTGAACACGATAACTGTCAAAAGCTTGGACCGATTTGGTTCAAACTTTGCACAGTTGACCTATATGCCACATGTAACAAGTCTATTGAAAATGGGTCAAATCCAATGACCCTGTAGGGTCACTCCTCTCTGCCTCTGGCAAACGCCTATACGCTTACCCTATAATTCATTTAAACACTTATTAAGTTACGTTGAGTGGCGCCCAAAGGGCCAGAGGTATTCAAGAAACCGATGTCATTGAAGAGAGGTCCCAGTGCAAATAACAAATCCTTTCTTGCACTGTACCTTGTGCAATACATAAAAATGTTACAATCTTTAGCCTCCATTCACACCCAATAAATTAACTGGAAATGTCAGTTAAAAATTATAATTAGTCTTAATTGTAACAATAATAGCAAATAAATTAAAAACAGTTACAAATAATTTGACCACCTCTGTAAATGACCGGACAATCCCAAATCGTTTTCCGCCATTTCATCTTCATTTGAAGTATTATCGTGCCTAATATGGAAATTAACTATGTACTCAGCATTTGTCCTTTGCACGGATATCGCAAATGGGTCGGTGGGGTGAAAGGTAAAGGCAACGAGACGCCTAGCAGGCGGAGTTACAGGTCTTGAAGTACTTCCAGCGTAGATGCGAAACTTTAAAAAGCCCGAATCTCTGGCATAAAATCTAAAAGATGTTGTAAAAGACTTGGTGATTAATTTGTTGCTTACCGAATAGGATGCTCTCCACAAGTCTTGGGTCTTTCCATCACCGACACCCATTTATCATCGTAGCTAAATAATGATAAATCTAAATAGGGAGAGCAGCTGTAAGACTGCGCACTAATTGGTAATTGTGCCAGTAGTCTCTTGGTCGCTTCAGTCTTTCCGCCAAACTTGGCACTTACAATCGTCTGCTTGAAACGGTGCTGTATTAGCCTGGCATATAAATTATTTGATGGACTACAAGAAAACTGTGTCTCCATATAAACGCTGGCATTTCTAAATAAATCGCAAAAGTTTTCAAATAAATCCAAAAGTTCCTTGGAAGTATTTTCGTATATCGCCAACACTTTACTTTCGTTTATATTATACACGACGAAAAACGAATATTGGCTGTTAGCGTCAGTCGACTTCAAAGTGACGACATCTTCGCTGGCGTATTTGATTAACAAATGATTTTCGTCGAGTAACTGCATCTTCCAAAGTCGTAAGGCTTCAAAATTACCGAAGTACTGGTAAAATCTACGTAACTCGAACGCGCTACCGTTAACATTACTTAGATGAGCTGCGCGCTTGTATAAAAACGTGAGCAGTCTGTGCTTCAGGGAGTTAATAAACGGCTCCTTAAACGCTCGTTCGGACGGGAAGACCGAATTGAAAAAATAGTAATCGTCCTCGAAACAAAATCTACCTATTTTTCTGACGTCTACGAACATGCCGTCCAGAATTTGGTAAAGGTGAATCACTTGATGTTGAACGGATAGAACGGCTAAGGTGTCTTTGTACAAGTAAAGGCCTTGGTTGTGTGACAAAAAGATTTTGTCAACTTTAAATTGTCGAGTATCACATAATTTTCCTAACTCTAAATCGACGAGATGCAACGTGTAGTCTTCTAGTGGCGATCTGCAACACATTTTAGAAATCAGTAACGGGGATGTATAGTTATACTATATAAAAAACTGAATAGGTCCTTTACGATTGTGAGAATCTAGCAATGAAAGGCGAAAAAAGCGGAAAAGAAATTTGATTCGGCTCATAAAAGCACCACTATATTGACAGTTCCTTTTTTAGTCAATTTTATCGTATAGGTTGGTAAAAATGCGACAAGACGCCGCTAGAGTGAGTATATTTTGCACAAATACCTCCGAAAATGGAATATCTTACGTTTGTCTTTTATTTTTTGGAGTGTAAGAGGAATCTACCATAAAAATGTCGATCAAATTGTTCCACAAATAAGGGAGTTCATTATTGCGCATGCGCAGTACGACTTTTGGCTCGCCCATTTTATTTGCTGTGATTAGAGGAACCTGCCATAAAACAAACGATGAAATTGCTCCCCAAATAAGAAAGTTGCCTATTGCGCACGCGTGTACAATCTCGTCTTTATACTGTATAAAAACGTGTAACTAATTTAATGTAATATTAATAATAATAATAATAATGGTTTTTATTGATTAGGAAAAAAAATGGTTCCTACACCATAACCAATAGGTTCAGGGTCAGGTAAACCAGTAGGTTACCTGTTCTTCCCCCTGTATCCCTAGACACATAAAGAATATATTTATACACATAGATTCTACGAAATAAAACAATTAGCAGTTCAATTTTGATTGAAAACAAGCACAAATCTACTAAGTAACTACCTACCAACAAAGGAAAGGGAAACAAAAACAAATAAACAAAACAATAATAAAATTATGTTAAATTATGTTAAATTTCGCTCTCTGATTAATAATTTTTTAATTTTCCGTTTAAAGGCATCATCGGATGCGTCTTTATTTTTATTATTAGCATCAAATTGTGATTTTTTTAAAAAAATGTATAGCAAAGACGATAAAGATGAAATATTAACACGGTAGGAGGGTGGTAACAGTTTAAGAACTCGAAAAACAGCCCCATTTTGTCAATTGTAATGTTGGCTGCCTGTTCCATGCCATGATACTAATGTAATGATTCCATGCGTGATCCGTTTTTTTTAAAGTAGCCCACATGTATACATTTAATAAAAATTCCATGTGTAAGGGTAACTTGCAAGTGTATTTAAAAGTTTCTAAGAACTTCTAAAGCCTCTAGAAGTCTACAAAAGTCCCAAATAGGGTTTTAGACTCCCCATGGGCCACCAAAAGTTTTTAAGACTATCCAAGATATTCCAAGTGTGTTCTAGAGGCTTCGTTTGGTTAGAACCGAGGTTAGAACCAACTTAATTCCATATACATTGATATTTATTAAGAAATAGGACATAGGGATTTATGTGTATTGTTGTTCCCCATGTCTACTTTTAAATGACAAAATTATTCTGAAGGTCGCCTAATTTTATGCAACCAAAATAACTTCGTAAAACAAAGATCGGACTATCATATTAATTAATTTGAATATTACTTTGATTTCTGTATTTTTATTTTCATTCGTGTGCGAGGTATTTAACTGAAGAAAAATATTGTCAATTCGTATAGTGCCGATAACAGTTTAAGGAGTGCAAGAGATTTATTTTTTGTGAAGTCAAAACAATATTCAAATTAATTAATATGACAGCCAGATCTTCATTTGTTTTAAGAAGTTATTTTGGTTGCATAAAATTGGGCGCCCTTCACAAAGATTTTGTCATTTAAAAGTAGACATAAAGAATAACAACACACATAAATCTCTGCCTACTTCTTAATAAATATCACAGTATATGGAATTAAGTTGGGGCAACTAAACGAACTCACTTGGAATATCTTGGACAGTCTTGAAAACTTTTGGAGGCCCATGGGGAGTCTAAAACCCTATTAAGACTTTTGTAGACTTCTAGAGGATTATAATATAAATAGCACTGTATATAACGGGCGATCAAAAATGAGTTGCTGTCTAGTCGCCTTTGGAAGTTCAATTTATGTATGATTTTCTTAGACCATATAGTACATGGACTGCTATTATCCCTATGCTTTCAATACAAAATGGGTGGTCACGGATAGAGGGCACTGTAGTCGTGGGTATGTGAATCTCAGGGTAAACTAAAGTCGTATGAACACCACTCGGATCGCGTAAAGAGTAGCTTTTAGGGAACCTCGTAGTACGGGAAGCTTTAAATACTCTTGATTGTCTTCTATACGTCCACAAATACGGATAGGTTTGCTTTTTTGGCATATCTAGGCGATTAATTAATTGACGTTTGTTAATTTATAGGTTGACAGTCTCAAATCGTGTCTAATCGCACAACTTCGGACAGACTCGTTTACCCTGAAACTCACATACCCAGGCGATGTCCTTGACCATATTTTCGTTACAATTAGCAGTCCATGTACTATATGGTCTAAAGGTGGGTTCATAGCTCTCCGTTCATACGTTTCCGTTTGTCCGTTAACTAATCAGAAGACAGCAAATTTTTAAATCGTACGTCGTCCGTTTACGACGGAAAAGTTGGTTGAAGTTGAACATTTACGTTTCCGTTGGTAAGTTTTTAACAAGAGTGAGGTTATGTTTGGTACGTTAACAGTGTTCACCTATTCGTTCTTCAGGGTAATAATCAGATAGCAACGTGTTCTTACTTTCGTACCATTTTTCAATACTGAAAATCACGGAGGGTATAGTAGAAAATAAAATTTAGGTTATGGTTATATGTTGCAAATGTACAATGTGGACGGATTGCTATGAACCTTAACAAAATGTATTATCCGTTTGACGGATCAACGCAAAGGATGAACGGAGAGCTATGAACCCACCTTAAGATGATTTCCCATGTAAACAAAAATTCCAAAGATGACTTGACAGCAACTCATTTTTGATCGCATTGTATTATGGCGACCAAAAATGAGCTGCTGTCGAGTCACCTTTGGAATTTTGACTTACATGGAAAGTCGTACTTAACTTGAACTTCCATGCAAAGACTGACTGCCATTAATTTTTGATCGCCCCTTATAAATAAATAATTACCGTGGATTCGGCACTACAGATTCGTTACTGGTGTAAATTTCATAAAAATGCGGCCGTAGATCATCAGGAATGTAAGTCGCCGATCCAATAATCACATATTTCCCATCGTCACTGAATAAGCTGCACTCACGATTCAACTGTTCGGCACTTTGCGCGACATTCACGATGAACTTGAGCTAAAAATTGACATGGAATAAATTTTCGAAATTCCGCACACACCTACCTTAAAAAACCGATCGAAAATTTTACTTTTCACTTCGAAACTTTGCTTATCGGCATGGTTCACTCGTACCTGCTGTAGTAAGTCACCGGCCGCCGCGGGACCCCGGTACGTGTAAACCTCCAACGAAGTTTGATCGGAAGAAAATGCTATAAAATGTTTACCATCCGGACTAAACTTTCTTAAAAAACAAGGCGGTTTTTCTACATTTATCACAGTAAAGTTTGGAAAGACATTTTGATAGAATTGCCTCGCTACATGGAAGTGTGTCCCCGGTTTTCGGTAGCCGTGTATTTCACGTTGAAATAATCGTATTATAATGTTTTGGGGCGGTACCTTACGAGGTTTTACTAAAGTATCCATTATATTTTGGTTTCATTATCTAAAATATCATGCAACAAAACATGATTATTTGTAAATTTTGAGGTTATGTACACTTGAAACCACTTCTTTAGGAAATTGAAATAATTGAGAATTGAAGCGTTTTATTCATAAACTGTCATCAATTTTCTGTAATAAAAATTCTGGCCCCTTTTCCAGACTTTTAAAACAACTAAGTTCGAGTGTATCGCAATGATTTAATAAATCTACAACGGTGCACCTAATAGACCGCAAGTCGTATTCCGCATGATTTCTACCTAATAAATATTTGCCAGATAGCTTTACAGGTTCATTTTGCAACGATTTGATGCGTTTTGTCGCAATGTACAGCATGAAATCGAAATACTCCCCAAAGTTAAAACCGAAAGATGCCTTTAACATTAACTGCGAATGATCTAGAAAATTTTCCATATCGCTACAATCTCTAATTTCTCTTTTAACCTCCGTTAAATTTTTCTCCATCGCTTTCCAGATGGTATGTAAATTACATCCGTTAATCCAGTTATGATTTATTGATATTGTGTCGGTCACATTCCAAACTTGATGATGCCAATTTGACGGAACAAATATAGCGTCACCGGGATTCTGAACGATTTCAAAATGTTTACGGCCATTCTTCAAATTGGAAATATCGCTCGGTAAATTTCCTAATGAGTCGTAGAAATACTCCTCTTCGCCTGGTGGAAACAACACCCACCGCTTTTGCCCGTAAATATTTGTCGACCAACTATACGACGTCATTACGTCCACATGGAAAGGTGACCTAAAAACATACGTCTTCCACATCCGTTGTACAATTTCAGTTTTACCATGTTCCTTTGACTCCCATGTAAACGAAGCGATAGTCATCGAGCAAATTTTCGACCAGATACTCATTTAACCAATCCGAAGCGAAATGTAAAGGGACATCGTAAAACTCGTCTGCAGGATTTTCATTTCGCAAATGCCAATCTTTTACATAAAGTACTTGTTCGTTCCCGTCAACATGATTCTCCCAATAGTGTAAATAATCCCGAAAATTCCACTTTAGTGGCTGTTGAGCGTAGGTGCTTTGACTATTGCAGTTTGTAACGGAGACCAGTGAGTCGCCATAAGTTTGGCGTAGGTACGCAAAGTTTGGGGAGTCGTTTTCTATCCATAATTGGGTCGAATTCCAATTTCCTCCAACATTTTTGATCAAGCAAGATTGGTTTTTGCACAAGTAGTTTACAAAGAACTCATTGTAGGATGTCTTTAAATCGATTGAAGGAGGTCTAGTATATTCGTAGGTTTCATTTTTCAATTGACTACTTTCGATTTCTATTTCCATGCAATTTTAATCATAAATTTCTTTCAAATATTTAAAATTACGTAGTCATTTTTTTAGGTTATGTTTACGTAGATTCTTTGGTTATGTTAGCGATAAATGCTAAAAATAAATGAATACAGGAGAACTACTTATATACAGGATGATCTAGAATAAGCACAACTGTATAAATAAGTTAAAATAAAAGAGATACGAACAGCAAGAAAAACGTAAAACATGTAAATAGGGAAATGCTCTGCATTGAAGCAGCTGAGGAAGTAGCTACGCAGGTATCAGACAATATGGGGTGGAAGGCTTGAAGGATGTGTAGATCAAGTCTCTGGTGTAGATTCTTTCTCAATCTCGGTCATTACGCAACAAATTCCAGGCAGAAGTTTTGGCAGTCAACCCCCGCTCCAGGATTTTATTTCAGAAGAAACTTATTGACACGAGATGCGCTCTGTCTTGATTCTGGAGTGTATGCAAAACTTCATCAGGGGTAGGTATACCTATAGGCATTCTGACCATCCAGGACTGTTTGAAAACGTTCCTCACAGAAATATCTTAGACTTTTTAGACACACACTTATTTTAAGAGGGCGAGAATAAAACTAGAGGGTAAATAGAGGCTTCCATGCTGCGATACAGGGTCTTTCCAAACTCTTGTCTCTTATGTGGGTCTAGTTTTTGTAGGTTTTCTAAGTCTCACTAGCTTCGCTAATTTTCCTCTAATCCAATTAGGTAGTAATAAAAAGTATAAAATAGGTAAATAAATTGGTACTTTGCCGTTGTCCTCTGCCAGTGATGGATCCTATTCATCTTCTCTCATGGGTTTACGGCTTCTTTTATGTGTCTTTTGTGCACTCCACAGAGGGGCTCTGGTCCTATATGGCTTCCCCCTCTGGCTCCTTGTTTGCCAGTTCATTTTCCTTCATGTTGCCTGCAATGTCCGAATTCCTTGGTACCCACCACAGTAGCGTGATACATGGTTGCCAGTTGCCAATTTCTTGCACTGTTGCACTTTGCAAAATGTAACCAGCGCGTAATTCATTTTATTTTATAGCATTGACATTTTAATACGTTTGGGAAACTAACCATGTCGTAAAAGTTAATTCAGTCAATGGTTAAAATATCCCTTTATCGTCTTATATAATAAATAACTATTATTATTTCAATAATTCAACTGATTTAAAAAGGTTGGTAAAGAAGCAATGATAACCATATCAAAATCTACTGTGACCATCTGGTTAATCCTGTTGAATTATCGTGAATCACCAATAATTTATTGTGACATGCGCTCGGTACACACCATTTCTTTAAATAAACCAATATCGCCATTAATCACAAACTAGACAATAAAAATGTTTTTTTGGAAAAATCCCTAAACTGTGTTTATACTAAGTAACATTTTTGTTTATTCGTTAATAAACAAAGGTAATATGAACCAGGTGCTTCAGAAGCAAATAGGATAAATTCATAAATAATTAATTTTTATTATATTTAACAATAAAATTTGGTGTATAACACAAAACACACATACAGTTCTTTCGTATTATATTACAATTGAATACTTAGTATGTACAGATGTCTCCCATTTAAAAATAGGAACGTTAGATTAATTCAAAAAACTGGGAAAGATTGTCAAGTGAGAAACATCTGTAGAACCACCCAAGAATATATTATTTGTAAAAAGATTATATACAGTTAAATTTCGATTTATGTGTAAAATATATTCCTAATTTATGATAATGAGCTATGTGTTGGAGACAACTAGTGACTTAGTTATAATCTGTCAGTAGTTGAAATTATCACAATTTTTACAAGGACCGCGGCAAAGATTGTTGAAATTAACGTAAAAAAAATGATAGATTAAAAATTAATAAACACATTAATAGCACTAATTTTTACACTTGTTATTTTCCTAAAATACTAATGAAATTGTGCAAATGCGAAAACCATTTTGCGGTAACTAAATTAAAATATTTACACAGTTTTAGATCATAAGTGATCGATCGTTACCATAAAAAACCTATCACAAAACTAATACCTCAACATAGTCAAGCGAGAAATTACGTCAAGTAGAATGACTAAAGTAAAAACCTATCACATATTGTTCTCCTAGATTACAACTACAGAAACGATCATTTGTTCTTGCTTAGTAAGTGTCGTTTAGTCACGCGTCCGCAGAACAGGCCAACAACAAAGAACGAACCTATCGCAGTTAGAGCTACCAGCATAAAGTAATGCTTTGATGGTGACAGTGCTACTTGATTATATAATCCTGTTAGATCGGCAAGAGGAACAATCTAAAAGAAAAAAGTGCGAACAAGATCAATTTAAAATTACACACTTACGACAGCCGCATTTTTAAACATTTCCAGTCTGCCCTTTAGCATATTCCTACACTCTACCTCGAGCTGATTTGGTTTGTCGTTCAAAATACTTTTCAAACATTTAATATCTACAAACAAACAAATGCTACTAAAACATCAATAAAAATTATTATTATTACTAATTGAATTTATAGCTACTATACAGGGTGTCTTAAATTGAAGAGGATAACATGGCTATCTTTGTTATGATATACAGGGTGATTCCTATAGTACCTGCCACCGTTTGGGAGCGTGTAGGTGGTGCGTAGGGGAGTATTTTGATATAGGACACTTGGGGTCGGAAATCTAAAATAAGGGTGCCAGAGCCAAATTTACCTTCTGGAATTTCGCGCCTGTAGGTAGGCAACCCAACCGGCCGGCGGTGCACACGGAGCGATCTCAGGCGGCGATGTGTGGCTGACACTTGATCAGAATTTTGTTTAAACCCACGAAATCCCGTCTGCAACGACGCGTATCAAGTGAATAAACACTATGGCAATAGTATAATAATAGTTGGCTAGATGTAGGAAGTGCATTGAGAACAACGGTGGCCACGTTGAACACTTGTAAACGTTATTGCTTTTGACTGTCGTTTTCCCTCCTTCCCTCCCATGTCGCTTCCTCGCGCTAACTCGCTCTGCATCGCTCCGCGCGAAACGTCGGTCGGTTGGGTTGCCTACATACAGGCGTGAAATTCCAGAAGATAAATTTGGTTCTGGCGCCCTTATTTTAGATTTCCGACCCCAAGTGTCCTATATCAAAATACTCCCCTAGGCACCCCCTATACGCTCCCAAACGGTGGCAGGTACTATAGGAATCACCCTGTATATACTTACAGATTCAGTTAAATTGGCAAAGTTGTGCAGTTTTTTATGCGAATGGATATTCCGATGTGATATTAAAAAAAAAAAATCGTTTCATAGATAATTGCAAAAAAGTGAAAATCGCCATATTTAAAAAGGTCAAATATTTTAGTAACAAAGAGAGCTATCGAAAAAAGTTTCAAATGGAAGTTGCAAGATTTGTTGAGATAAATTCAATGGGTGTAGAAAATTACTTTTTCAAAATGGCGGTTTTCGAGATACTGACAACTTCCTTATTTTAAATGGACACCATATTGGATTTTTACGTCACTCGATAGAGAAAAAAATTACAAAACCTGTGCTACTAAACTCTTAGTATTTCATTTGGGAATCAACCTTGCATTTTTGCCTGAATTTATCCCATCGAATCTTGCAACTTTTATTTGATTTTTTTTTTTCGATAGCTCTCTTAGTTACTAAAATATTTTAACTTTTTAAAAATGGCGATTTTCACTTTTTTCCAATTATCTATGAAAAGATTTATTTTTTCAAAATATCGCATCGGATCCATTAGCATCAAAAACTACACAACTTTGCCGATTTAACCGAATCTGTAAGTCTAATAATAATAATAATATAATAAGTCTTAGTGTCTAAATGGCGGAGTTCAGACAGGGATATCATCCGTGTCTGCTCTTCCACTCAACAAAGATAGCCATGTTATCCTCCTAAATTGAATAGACTCTGTATAGTAATAACACCGAGGAGGAAACCTTATGCAAAGCCTAACTAAAGGACGGCAATATAGTATAAAGCCTGCTTGACATGGAGCAATAAAAATTGCAATTGCATGCAAGTTGCAAGAAAAATTGCGAAAGGCATGCGCAGTTCAAAGCCAGCTGATCAATTGCTGCAAGAGACTTGCATGCAATTTTTATAGGACCGGTGCTATTCTTCTTGCATGAATCGTGCAATTCTAGGGATAAATCTAGTTGTTTTTGTGTCACCAACCTAGTAAAATACAGCGGCGGCAACTATGATGCTGAGAGACGCACACATTACTTGTTTTTATTAATCTTATTTATTTTTGTAATTTTTATGTTTCTTCAAGCAATCAAAATTTAATTTTCATTTGAGGTTAACTACTTTGTTGACAAATCCATATGTTTCTTCTGTTGGCACATGTGGCAATTGAAATAGAATTGCACCATGTCAAATACCATGCAATGCTTATTGCATGCAAGGATTTGACCTTGCAATTTCTTTCTGCAAGTTCTTGCGCGTTGTATTGCTCCATGTCAAGCGGCCTTAAATTTGGTAATATTTGTGCAAGTACTACCAACGTGATTTTGCTCCGGTGTTTGTTACTACTATTGATAGAAATTAAATTAGAAAGAGATTACTCACGCCGCCCTTCCCCTTGAGCAATCTGCGAACAGTACTTTAACAAGTCCACCGAACACGTCTGCTGTAATAACGGATCAACCTGAATATCAGCTTGCGATTCCTCGATCATATTTGCGACTTCCACCTGACAAGCGGCCGACGGAATTTTATGATTAAGCAGCGCATTTTTCAGACACTCCTCAGTACTGCCGGCGTTATTTTCGTCGTCGTTCTTACAAATCGTCTCCAGTTCGTTTTTACACACCGCCTTTAAAAGCGGATTAAGTTGCACGTCCAAAGCCTGCTCCCTTAAAATGATCACCATTTCCTTTTCGCAAAGGCCGGTTAGCTTTGATCTTTTAAATGCCATTTTCAGACATTTAATTACTTCGCCGTTTAGTTCCTGATCGGGCTTTGTTCGTATTATCGTTTCGTGACAAAATTTGTTTATATCCAATTTGCAGTGGTCTTGTAGGCGAGGGTTGAGACGGTAATCGGAATGTTGTTCGATCATGCGATGTAATACAATTAATCTGCAGTCCTTGTCGAAACCGACGTCATCTTTATGTTTCTGAAAAAATTTACGTATTATTGAACCACCCCAAGTCGTTTTCGGCCAATCGGTAATAAAACAAGTTGTAGATAGTGATTACAACAACATACCAAAAGGGTATACTAAAGAAAAAGATGCAGGTTGGACTTGGAAAAATGTTTGTTTTGAAGTAGACCACCCCTACCTAATATAATAATAATAATAATAATAATAATAATAAGTGACATTTATTAGATTACTGGAAGTACAGAAGGAAAAAAAAACATAAACATTCAAATAGATAATAAACTAAATAATTAAAATTAAATGAAATTAATGTTCAGTAATCTAACAGGGCGAAGTTCAGTTCTGTGGTGAGACACCCTAGAACTACTCTACCACTTAACCTAATCCTAAACTAAGAAAATAAAACAATTAGTAGAATGAATTTAAAAATATGTATATTGAAAGGAAGAGAGAGCTAAATATCAGTCGTGGTTCTAAATAAAGAAGAAGAAGAAAAGGAAAAGGGGAAGAAAAATAAGCAATTGTTTTGTTCACATAGAAGTACATGAAAATAATTTCGATTAAATGCGGCTTTTTCATTTAGATTCCTTTTTGAAAATTAAGGTCAGTATATTAAACAATATATCTGGCGATCTTCGACTGTTTTGGAGCTACTTGTATTTTAAGAAAAAATTTGACAGTTAAGGCGCGTACTTTGACGCTTTATATTTCAGTGCCTATTAGACGTAAAATAATGAAATTGTTGGGGTACCTATAAAAAATGCAGGTTATTCGAATAATCATTTTTCATAATAATCTACAGTCTTCACAAATTGTACAAATAACGCTGTTTCAGCTTTTTCAAAAAACTTTGGTTTTTTAAAAATGGAATGCCCCCTTTTTTTAGATCAGGTATTAATTCTATTTAACATGGCATTGTCCTATACCTACAATTCATGATTTTCAAGTGATTTGCGCTTTTCTTAGTAAAGTATTTTTTTACACAAATCATGATTGCCATGGAAATTTCAATTAACAACATCTGTTATACCAGACAGTAGTGTTTTTTTGAGTTTTAGATTATGGCTAATTTAACTAAATGAAGATTACTTGAATTTAATAATAATTTATGGAGAATGCTATAAGAACGAGAACCGTACTTTAGATTTATTCAATGCGCGTTTCCCTACAATAAGAAAGCCAACCATGGCGCTCCGGCTCACAATTATAACGTAGTTGGAAAAAAGCACATGCGGCCACCTAGGTCTCCGGATCTGACACCTTTGGACTTTTTTTTTGGGGGGTACATTAAAAACGTGGTCTACACATATCCGGTCACTACGAAAAAAAATATGTTGAAACAAGTGCATAATGCCTTCCGATCCTTAACACAGGATCAAATCAGGAAAGCAACAGGAAGAGAAGTCTCCAGAAATGCTTGGAACAAAATGGGAATAGGGTTGAAGATCTCTTAATGTTTTTAGATGTGTTTTTTTTCTAATTTGTGTATTGACAGTCAACAAAGTTGTAAATCCCATGGCAACTGCATTTATTTTGTTCAGGGCAACCATGATTTGTATTAAAAATTACTTTATTAAAAAAAAATTAAATAACTTAAAAATCATCAACGTCATATTAATCGAATGAAAGTTGTCTAGATTAATACCTGAAATAAAAAAGGGGGCATTCCATTTGAAAAAACCGCGTTTTTCTTTAAAAAAACTGAAAAAAATATTTGTGAAGATCCTGTAATTTTTTGTGACCGTTATTTTTAAAAAGGAATCTAAACGTTACTCAATATTTTTCTACAAAAATTTATTATTTCGTAGTAAAATAATATTATTTATAAAGATTAGTCTTTTTAAATAATCTTATTTTACTACGAAGAGATAATTTATTTGTGACACTTGCTTACTTTCAAGCATGCTTTTGTTTTTCCCAACACGAGTAATAACCACCCAGCGCTGAACTGTACTTCAGTTTTGATTTAATTATTAATGTTATGAGGATGCCTAGTCCCATGGTCATTTTTGCCACTCCCTAGCTTCAAGTTGTTTGTGATCCCACTGGATTTACCTGCCCCTATTTCCCCAGACGTTACTCTCGCCCTTCTGTCTATTATCAGAGTGACAATCGCAAAGAATGTGATTTACTTACTTTTAAACAATCTAAAACTTGTTCCTTTCTGTCATTGGAACAAAACTGTTGAATGCTGCCCTCGCAGGTCTTTATTAAGGCATAGTCAATTGAATTGTCAGTCAACTCTTGCCTCTTGATTTTGAAAACTTCCTTCTGACACGCCTCCCCTAATTTTGCGGAACTGAATTGCAGACATTCCAAGACCTACAAGCGAAAATTGAAAACGAAAAAAGAAAACAAGCGCCAATACCTGTGAGGAGCCTTGCTCGACGTCACTACAGTGTTCTTTTATATCGTCGGCGCATGCCTCCTTCAGCTTGGGATTGAAGATAATATTTTCGCGTTGCTGAAACAGCTGCGCCTTGATCTGCTGCCGACACTCCTTGTGGATGTCACTTTTTAGACCTTTAATCGTGTCATTTCGCACTTTCTCACTCAAACACGCAATGACGTCGGCCTTCGTCTTTGCAGTATGACAATAACGCACGGCGTAATTTTTACACGCGACCTTAAACTTGTAACTAAACCGGTAGTCTTTCAACGAGATAATTTGGAAGTGCTCGATGCTGACTCGACATTTCGCGTTCGCCTTCACGTCCGGATCGTTCTTATGAGTGATGAGGCACTCCATCATTTCGCCATCGTCGTGCTTTAACTCGGACGAACAGTGAGTTTCCATCGCCTTCTTGCAATACTTGGAGATGAACGGATTTAAACCGACATTCTGCGCCTCGACCTCCGTATAGTTAATAATGGCGTTCTTACACTTCTCCTGCAGGTCTAAAAGATTTTTCTGCAGGCACTGCATCTCTTCGCCTTTCGCCGTCTTATCGAAACAGTGATAGGAGAGATCGTCCAAACAAACTTCTTCCACTTCCGGTAGAAGATCCACACTGATTGCCCTTTGTCGCATGACGCGACGGATTTGATCGGCGCAAACCGTTTTCAACTGCATATTCTCGGTCGGATGATACATGTACCTAAAAATTGTATAAGCATTTCTTATGGGTAGAAAATTGATAACAAACTTAATGCAAGAGTGATTTTTCATTTAGGTAAATGCTATGGGGGGTTTACAAACAATGAAATGGGCCGATTATTGTCCATTTAGACAAAGTAAACTTAGTACCAAGGAAGTGAGAGGGTTCAAGTACCCCCCCATCCAGTCAATTTGTATAGTGGCCAGAAGAATAACTCATCATTACAAAAATAAAAAAAAAAAAGTAAAACTTCTTTTATTTTTTGTTTTTTATTCATCTTGATATTTTTCTCTTTTTTTTATTAATTAATTTCCTCTCTTCTTCATCTATAAATTATTATTGCCATTTATTGCAAATGGCACGCCACTAATCAGTTAAACAAAAAACTAATTCATATTAAATTAATTAATATAATTTCAATTTTGTACTCGGGACGTGTTCTTTCTTTCAATAAAAATTATTGTTAAGTATTAGGGTTAAGTGGAAGAGCAGATTATGAAACTTCCTATTCATAAATCTGAACTTCGCCCTATTGAAGGTGACTCTGATGTTAGTTTTTTTATTTTCTATTTAATAGTCATGAATTCTGTTTATTAGTATGTACAGGGTGGCCAAATAAGTATGCGAGGTACTGTATCAGGGAACCTGTCCACCGTAGAGGCTTGCGGTAAAACAAATTATTACTAAAACGGCCAAGAGAAAAACCTGGAAAATATTTTTAAGTTTCTGCAATGGCCGCAAGGGGGCGTAAGTGCAATCTGAAATTTAAAAAAGTGTTGTTTCTGTGAATTCCGCTATTTTAACCTAACAAAAAAATGCCCGGTCTTTGAAGACGACGATAATCTTAACCTTTTTTGTTTGAAAATTTTTCCTGTATCTCTAAAAATGAAGTGGTGGGGGCTATTCAAAGGTTTCAGTAAAGAACACCCTGTATCTTCGAAACGACTGAGCCGATTTTAACAAACTCCGGTTAATTGAAAAGGGTTATTCTTCGGTTACAAATATTATGATATTTGAAGTTTTGTTAGTTTCACATATCGCCGCTTGGGGGCTTTTTTCGGCATTCCGACAGAAATGGTTAATTTTTTCAAAAAAATTAAATGCGTTGGTTTGATTTTTTTTTTAATGAAAAAGTAGCTAAATGATGCCTGAACAAGCTCGCAAAAACCGCATCTCGATATCTTGTTCCTAACCTAAAATTTAGACCAAAGAAAATTTTATACCCTCAAAATTTTATTTTTTTAAGCTAATTTTTCCGGAATTATTTTTATTATATAATTTGTAGACCTAAGATGGATCGATTTATAAAAGTAAGCTTTTAATGCCGCCGTAAATGCTCGAAATGCTGGCCATCACGATATAAAAAAAATACAATATATATATATCTCAAGATATCGAGATGCTGTTTTCGCGAACTTGTTTAGGCATCATTTAGCTACTTTTTCATGAAAAAAAAATCGAACCAATGCATTTAATTTTTTTGAGAAAATTAACCATTTCTGTCAGAATGTCGAAAAAAGCCCGCAAGTGGTGATATGTGAAACTAAAAAAACTTCAAATAGTATAATAGTTGTAGCTGAAGAATAGCTCTTTTGAACTAACCCGAGTTTGTTTAAATCGGCTCATCCGTTTCGAAGATACAGGGTGTTCTTTACGGAAACCTTTGAATACCCCCCACCACTTCATTTTTAGAGATACAGGAAAAATTGTTCAGATTATCGTCAACTTCAAAGATCAGACATTTTTTTGTTAGGTTAATATAGCGGAATTCACAGAAACATCACTTTTTTAGATTTCAGATTGCAGTTACGCCCCCTAGCGGTCATTTCAGAAACTTAAAAATATTTTCCAGGTTTTTCTCGTGGCCATTTTAGTAATAAATTTTTTTACCGCAAGCCTCTACGATGGATAGATTCTCAGATACAGTACCTCGCATTCTTAGTTGGCAACCCTGTACAGTGTTATCCTTCAATAAATGACCATTATTATTATTACAATAAACCGTAGTTTTAATATTGGGATTGTAGTTCAGCATAGTAATAAGAATAAGTACCGATATAAACAGGGCAGTACTAAAGGTGCGTTATCGGGGCCCGGCTCGACACTGTTGTTGTCCCAATCGCGGGTTGCGTGACACAAACGTGTCGCATCTTCGTGACATGCCTTGTACAATTGAGGATCCAACTTAAAATTCCTTGCGACAAAGTACTGAATCTGCATGAGGGCATCTTCGCAGTCCTCCGTCATGTGATCCGCTCCAATGTTGTCCATTAGGCACGAAAACACGCGGGCGTTACCTCCGCGACTGTCCCTGCATACCACCCTCACGACCGGATCGCAGGCGTCGTGCAGAACCGGATCCACTCTCCAGTCCTCTCCCACCACGGTCTCCTTGACCAAATCTTCCAACTATACAAACATTAATAATTAAAGAAAATCTTGATTAACTTTAACAGAAAAGAAATCTTACATGTTCAGAAATTAGTATCAATTTGTTAGATATTTAAACACTGCATAATTATTGTCTTATGGGTCAGCTTTTATTGTTAGACTTAAAAACCTGTTGTGTAGACCTAGGCAGTATTGAAAAGGCACAAAATGTCATGGAAAAGTATTAGGAAAGCTCCTTCTTAGCCTCACCTATACCATAGAAGAGGAAATACAATAAGAGTTCCAGACACTTACCAATTTATGGCCAACTTTCACACAACTCGTAAGTAGATGGCGATGTAAGCGTGATAAAAATTTCTTTTAGCGCCGTTTATGATGTATGGACAGATCACTAAATTGGGTAGTACCAAATTAGTCATTTTATTGTAAATTATTTTATTTTAACATATTGAAATATTCAAAAACCCCATTAACTCAGGTCTGAGAAATCAGTCCAAATCCAAGACGACGGATGAATGTTGTATTTTTCATTGAAAAACATATTAAGCTTCATTATTTCAATGAAATTTGGCAAAAAATGTTTAAAATACAAAAATAAGTGTTCGCAAAACTCTTGTGAAAATAAAACGTATTTTTTTAAAACCGAGATAGCTTAGTAAATAGTTGGATTATAAGGTTATCGATGTTTACCTTCTTGCTAGACGGTTAATGGGGTGGAGGATCGGTACACGTAAACATTTAAAGGAGCTTGACATACATTGACAATCTACGCTATACAGGATGAGCCATTAGTGTGTCTCAGTCTTAGTAATCAGTAAGACTGTAAAAAATTATAAACACCAATTAAAATGATAACAACAAAACAAAACAAAAACCCTTGTTTTTCATAGGCCATTTTAAAAGATAGAACAATGAATTTTCTATTTAAACCAATGCGTGAGCTTAAATCCTTAAATAAATCAAATTGAATATAAAGCCATGAAAGCGATATTGGAAAATATTAAAACAAAATAAAATTAAATAGAATCTGTCAGTTTTACTTCATTGGCATTTATAATTCTGTTGTTGATTGTTGATTAGTTAAGCTCATTTGTTAGAAAACTGGAAATGGAATACCATATTTTAAACCTTACATCACTGGACTTCTTCTGATGGTGAAAGGAGCTGTACGCAAAGAAGTCCCAACAACAAAAGAGAATATGAAAATGCGCTTTCGCATCCATAACGCCAGCTTCGTCGTGTCAAAGAATGATTTTCTAAACCCATCGACATTTATTGAAAAAATTGTTATTTTTCTCTTATTTTTATTTAAAATTATAATTTTGAGTCAATTTTTTATCATTTCAATTGTTTATAACAATTGTTTTTAACCGCCTACTAATTACTGCGAGGCTGTGCCAATCGAAAAACATTGTGAATTATTAGAAACTGTTGAATTACAAAAAATACGTTAAAGATAAACATCGACATGCTTATATCGCTAAAAAGGTAATAAAATCCTACATTTGCTGCGATAAATAAAACTTGGTAGTTCCGTTAAAAAAAATCAAGTTATCTTTGATTGAAATTTTGAAAGTTGACGGAGTGATTTCTTTTAACACAAGAGAAATTGAACTTTAGCCGTTCAGCGTATGTTAGTACACTTCATGATTAGTACCACTGCAAAGTCATGGCCTTCTAAGTTTTACGATAACTGTGATAGGTATTCAATTTTTACTGGACATCTACTTTTTGAAAAAACGACTCATTTTAGATATCATATGTACTACATAAAGTCACATTAAAATTAACCAACGAATCGAAATATGTAATAATAATATGTAGGGAGTTCCATTTAAAAAAATGTAAATTTGATATAAATCGCCCTGTATAACAATTGCAATTTCGTAAATATTTTTCGATTGTAACCTTAAGGGTAAGTACTTCAACTTGCCCCGACAATGAATTTTAAATATGAGCGTTAATAAACCCACAATCTTCCACCCAAACACTAATGGCCACCCTGTATAATGCAAGAAGAATTGAGTCCTTAGAGAAATTCTCCGAAATATTGTTTTTCTCTTTGTAGGTACCATCATCCAACATTTTCGATTAAGTTTTTACTTCACCAATGGATATCTATGTCTCGTCGTGACGTTCCACTTGACCTTTATTATTCTTATTTATTATTATTCGCTCTTAAAGTTTAGCCATCAGCAATGGATACTTTCAGACGTCCCTTTGTGAGCACCCTCCTCTGTTCTTGAGATATAAGGAATTGTATCCGAGTATCTGATCACGATAAGCGGTCGGGGAGGAGACCTGTGGTTGCCCCCCCCCCCCATAAGATATCACTTACGGAGATACTCTATAAAAGTGTGACACCCTGCCTTTTTAGCTTGAAATATATAATATTCCATTTAACAAATGAGATTAGATCCAATACCTTCCCCTGTAAACTTACTTTACCCAAAATCGACATGAAACCTTCATTTTCATGCCTACTTTCTGTCAGGAAAATGTTAGTTTCCATGACGGAGACAGGCCAGTCTACTTTTCCTGCCGCCTGTCACTTTACCGGCCGCACCTGTCACTTTTCCTGCCGCACCTGACAGATTGACATTAAACAAAAGTTCTATATGAAAATTGATATTTTATATTAAAATACGATTTCGGATAAAATTTAGTACAGAACTCATCAGTAAAATGACATTATTTGACTCGGAAATTAAAGTACTCCGCCCCAAAGGGGCCTTGTACTTCAATATTTCCTCGGCAGTAATATTTTCCTGAGTTTTATGTAAATAACTATTAAAATTGGCAGATTGTTATCATTATAAAGAAACAGTTTTCTCTGTTAAACAAATATATGCTCGCTATTATAAAACCGTATACTTACCTATTTTAATATTTACTTTTGTTTTTGTCTTTATTTTTGAGTGAGACTGCTCTACCATACCCACTACACCGAGCAAGCACTACACATTTACAAATACCTATGCCCGAACCCAGACTCGAACCACGGATACATTAGTACCACAGTCCAGCTTCAACTGAACTGTGTCACACATGTCGCTATTCCCCCGTATTTCTTACATGAGCAAAAATTTTAATGCTTTAAAGTTTAAAAAGAGCATATGACACCAATATTACTTTGTTGATAGCACTAACAACTAATCTGTTTTTTTTTAATTGTAAATCCGTGGTATACAAGGTTGCCCAAAAATAAGTTACAACCAACAACACATTTTTAGTTTCATTTTGGAATTTTACATAGTCTTTCATATACAGGGTGTTCCATTTCCAACACTTTTATAAGCGTAATGGACTCTTTTTGAGTCAAACTTAAAATTGTAAAATCAAAATTTGAACATTTTCGCTTCGGAGGTAAATCAAAAAATTTTCAATTTCAGAATTAGCCTATATATTGTTCGTAAAAACAGAAATAAAAAAATGCCGTTTTCAAAATAAATATACAGCATTGGGTAAAAAAGTTATTGAATTTAATTTTTTTTGGCACACCCTGTATATTTGAATCTAAAAATAGCATATTAAATTCTCTTTTCAAAAATATAACACTGCAAAAATTCAATATCGATTCAAAAAGTTTCAAAAAGGATTTTTAAAAATTAAAAAATTCTTTTGTAGTGATTTGTAATTTTTTCAGTGCCAGAAAAAAGGAGGATAGTTAGTAGTTCCTTTTGTTGACAGTTTATCAACTCTTATTGTACTTCCTCTGTCCCTATCCTGAGTATAAAGAACATTTTTGTTTGGGTGTCTGGCCCATCCATTTCATTTTAAATCTACTAACAACAAATTTTTGAAAACAACCCACTCCCACATAATTGGCGCCAATTTTTTGAATATGTCGGATTTTTTGGACATTAAAAGGAGAGTGGAAACTACTTACGGCACGTTCACAAACAGCACTTATCCGCTTCTTGTGCTTTAAGCGAGCCTGATCCATCAGGCAATGAATAGTCTTTCCGCCGAACTCGAGTCCGTCACAGAAATCGTGTATCTCCTTCGCGCAACCAGTAACGATTTCGGGCGACAGATGAAAATCTTCCATTAGCATTTTCCGATGCTCGTCCATTTCGATCTCGCATTCGCGTTCGATCTTGGTCCCGTTGTGGACGACGTTCTGTAAACAGACCAGTATCTGGGCCAACCTTATCTCCCGATCGTCGGACGTTTGCTTGCGGCAGTGAGTCTTTTTTATGTCGTCTCGACATGCCCGCATCAGGCCTTTACTTATTCTGTAATCCTGCGAGATTAATCTTTGTCTCTTTTGTAAACGATTGAAGCACTTAACGGTCAATTTTTCGTGGCGATGCTGCATTAGACATTTAAAAATTTTACCTGTGCCCGGAAGAAATTGTGTGCAATATTTATTATAATCTTCCGCACAATCCATGTAGAGCTGGTGGTCCAATTTGATGTTGTCGGCTTGTATCTCGGCCAGGTGGAAGACTTCCCTGCGACAATCGTCTTTGACTTTACCGATGTTATCTTGAAGACAAGTAATGGTGTTTGTGGGTGAGGCACTTTTAATATCCATTCGACCGCACCGCAAGCTGTCAATGTCATCTTTGCAATGCATCAAAAAGCTATCGATCCAGTCATTATCGTAAAAGGCGGCATTCTCGTAATACTTGATTTGTTCGACACATTTCGAGTTGTAAATCTCGTCCTTTTTGCTAATCAGACATTTCAAATACGAACCCGGAGCAGAATTTGGCTTGTCATCACAATTCAATTGATTTAGATTGGGGCAGGCGTCGCTTAAACCTTCCTTTACTTTGTCGTTGTCAATAATTCGATTGATGTAGCTCCACAAGGCATGCTGGCAGTCGTCTTCGAACTGAGACTGAACGTTCGGATCCAACGCATACAAACACTTTAATACAAATAATTCGTCAGGAGCTTCGCTGCGTCTACATAATTTAAATAATTCGGGGCACTTGCTATGCAATTCGTCCAATTTTTGTACAGAAGCACTACATGCTATACTGATTAATGTAAGCAGACAAATGTCTATTTTTAAAAGGGAGTTCATTATTTAATCTTCGTAAATAGTACGTGATAACAAAACGGTGATGTTAAACTGATGTGGTAAAAGAATATCATTTAAAATGATTACGATTTGATATTATAACCACAACCGGTTCGGTTGTTATGACATGACGATGATGACGCTGTCAAATGTGAAATGTCACGTGACCAGATTACATCAGTCACAAATGTATTGCCAATATTTAAATAAAAAAAAACTATGTTCTACAGGGTGATTCACTTGTTTACACCTTATTAAACCTGCAATACGACATACAGTGCCGAAAAGCTGAAATAAATTCATTATTTCGGTTAATGTACGTACATATTTATAGAAATTCTCCAAACACCGAAAATGTGATTCAGCCCCCTTCCAAGAAATTTTGGGGCAGTCGATTTTTGGAAAAAAGAAAGGTTATATACTGCTTTTTTTTGCCCCGAAAAAAAAATTGTCTCAGATCGTGCCGGAAAAAAAATTGTCTTATAGACCGTTGCCTGTAGAATCCATAATTTCAAACAGTTCCAAGATTGGGCTACTGCCTACTAGTTCAAAAGTTACAGCCCTTTGAATTTTCTTTCGAAATTGGTTTCTAGTCTATAACTTTTGATTGAGAAGTCTAATCGAAAAAGTACGAATTGTTTTGGATTCTACCCCCCAAAATTAATAAGAAAAAGTGTTTTCCCGAGAAATTTTGGTGTAGTCGATTTTTCGAAAAAAAGGAAGGTGGTACATTGCCTTTTTTTTGGCACGAAAAAAAAATTGTCTCAGATCGACCCGGAAAAACAATTTTCTTATAGAATGGGGCCTGTAGATTCCATAATTTCAAACAGTTCCAAGATTGGGCTACTAGTTCAAAAGTTACAGCCCTTTTAATTTTCTTTCGAAATTGGTTTCTAGTCTATAACTTTTGATTGAGAAGTCTGAATAAATAGCAGTTCAAAATGTACGGAGTCTTGCAAGATCTGTAGAGCAATGTTTAAAGGCCCGGTTTTTGAATAGGTAATTTATACAATATGTTTTACTAGTACGCCATCTCCTTGGCAATCGATACACTTTCTACCAATTATAGTTTTAGAAGTCTAGTTGAGATGTCGCCACGTACGCACCTTCTTTTAAAATCTTATTTGAATTTATGCGATTAATAGCAACGTTGCACTTATTATTCCTTAAATGCAGTGCCGTTTTTAAGTTTTTCGGGGCCCTGGGCCATTCGTTCGTGGAGACCCTCCTTACCCTCAATAAAAACGGCAGATTGGGGAGATTCAAGCAAATCCCTAATTGGAATATGGGCACTAGATATTTGTGTAGCCTGGTTTGTAGGCAACACATCATGCTCAATGAACAGAAAACATTTATTTTGCAATTCCTAACTTCTTATGCATAGGAGTTTATTTAAAGCCCTTGGAAGAACAATTTCAATAACAGGTACATTAAACTGAACCGTTTTACAACAACTTTCACACGAAGATCGCACAAACAACACATTTTTTCGTGATTGCAAACTGCGTAACACTTTTGCCTTATTTCGCTACCAATTTCACTACCGTTTCTATAACCATAGTTCTATCAAATAAACTCTAGGCTCAATTCTTTAAAGAATAGCTTCGCACGATCGCCAGCTGCTGCAATCATGTAATCGTTCCGATTTTAACCTTGAGAAGTTTGAATTGCATTAGAATGGGTTTTCTGCGAGTTCTCCACGGTGTCCTCTGTCTGAATTCAACGCTAACGTTTCTCATCCTTCGAGAACTACATGTCTTCGATTGGACGACCCAGAGCGAACAGTATCATATTCCGCAAAGGTTGAGTCTGCCGCTTTCCTGTCACTCCCAGTGGCCAGGTCCCTAATTTAAACCTGCAAGCGAGAAAGGAATGATAACAAAGTTTAATTTTTGACTATAAAATAAACAAACATTCATTATGCATTTGAGGTTAAAACTTCATATATCTATGGTTTTTAAAAACAACGCTCTGACATCTAACGTTAGTTTCATAAAGTACATTTCAATATTAGTGTGGCGACATCTTTGAGGTGTAAGTTCCAACTAAAATAATGGTGGTAATAAAGTGTCCTGCATTTAGAGATAAAATGTTAGTCCCCAATAATAAAGACAGATGTCAGCACAATGAATTCTGCTTTTATTATTTTAATATTAACCAAAAACTCAGGCAAAGCTGTAAACATTTTGGGATTTGTGCCTTTCGCTGTCAAAGGAGTAAACTACGAAACTCGAAAATTAAACATTTCGCTCCTGTATTATAGCCTATTCCTTTGCGTCATAGCGTTTTTGGAATGCCAAAGGACAGGGCGGGTAAACGGACGGCCGTCCCTATACCTCTTTGGTATAACTATATCTAGATTTTTGATGATTTTAATAAAGTATCTGTTCGCAATACACAAGTTAAATTGCCATAAGAGTACGCCGCAATAAATAAGAATTTTAAATCGGTGATCATTAAAGACTTGAGAGTTAAGTTTCATGTGAGTTAGGTTAGATAGAAGATTTGTAAAAATTTAAAACGCCCAAACTAATCTGACCTAACCTAACTACGACTCTAACCTAACCTTCAATCAACTCCTTGATCATGATACCAGATTTTTGACCTAACCTAACTAGCACGCTAACCTAACCTCACTTAAATTTTATTTTAACCTTCGATCTCCTCGCACATTATATTCTCCTGATACCAAATTTCTTAGCTAACCTAACTAGCACGCTTACCTAACCTCACTTAAATTTTATTTTAACCTTCGATCTCCTCGCACATTATATTCTCCTGATACCAGATTTCTGAGCTAACCTAACTAGCACGCTAACCTAACCCCACTTAAATTTTATTTTAACCTTCGATCTCCTCGCACATTATATTCTCCTGATACCAGATTTCTGAGCTAACCATGGGCTGCATTTACTCTCAAGATTCACTCGGAACAGAATATGCGTTTATTTTGTTTGTACAGTTTTCAATATAAAAATTATTTACAGAAGTTGTACTTAATTTTCCTCCCCAGTAACAAAACTGATAGGAAGTAACTGCCATGTATACGTGAAATATTGTATTCATCTCTTTGAATCTGAAGAGTGTTGAGTTGGGACGTCGAGGATGTATAGCTGGCTTAAACTTATGAAAGTGTCTTCACGTTAGCGTCTTGCGAAAAACTCTCCGAGTAGTCGCAGCCCTGTGTCGTATACCAGTTCTACTGCCGTTGTTTTGAAGAAATTAGTTCTTTAGAGAACGCTGCTGGACTTTTTATTTCTTTAGCATTGCACGTAAACGTAAACCAAGTAATACATGTTCATCCTATACATCAAAGTACAAATGAGTTCATTTTCCAAAAGTTCGATGACGGCAACGTTGTAATTTGCTGACGGCAGCCAACGTGTCCACTTGGAGTTCCACAACAACGTCTAGAAGTAGGTTATTTCAGGTTAATGTAAGTTAAGCGCTCGGGTTGTCGAAGACGTGGAATAATTAACTGTTACTGCAGACGTTTTACATTAATCAATCATGGTGAGTCTGTTTAAATATCTCCGATTTTCATTTAATTTATACCCGTTTTTGTGACAGCCTGTCCCTGCTAGTTCGACATCTGTTGGATCCTCAAGTAGATCACCATCTAAAGCAGTTGCCCCCCGAAGTGGAGGCGGCGGCACAGTAAGGCAAAGGAAGACTACCAGCACGACAACTACCCGAGCACGTAACACAGCCGCTTCCGGTGGCATGTGGAGGTTTTACACCGATGATTCTCCAGGAATTAAAGTGTAAGTTTGACACTTGTACCATCTACAATATGTTTAATACATTCGTTATTTTTTAGTGGCCCAGTACCTGTTCTAGTTATGTCCTTATTATTTATCGCTTCCGTTTTCATGTTACACATATGGGGAAAGTACACAAGATCTTAGACTAACTAGCCAATAAATCATTCCATATCTTCCGTATGCGCATTTTTGTTTTTTTTTACACGAATATAGTAATTGTTGTGTCTGTAAAGAAAATTTTTGTTGGATTTATGTACGGTTACAGTCTGTTTATGGAATCGTCGATTTATTAAATAAATTCAAGTGTAATACTTTAATAAATTTATAATTAATTATCTTTGTCTTTTGAACATATTCACAATAGATTTAAAGAGGAGAATGAGAAGTTATTTACTAACATCCACATTTGGGCCCTTTCTACCTCCTCCCTCGGACTAGAGCAGTTTGCTGTTTACATATCTTAAACGAGAATTGTAGCGAGGGAGGCTATCTTTTTATGTCGGGTCAAGATTTGCATCTCAACTCAGACGCAAGACCAAACAAGGGTCCCATTGCGTGTCTATATTGGTCACCCATGACGATACTTTCTATGTTGAAAAGCCTGAAACAAATATTTAATTTCTAAAATTGTAGTTTGCTTATCTTTTTGGTTTGTTTTCCAACATAAATTGTTAGCACACTGCACAATTGCTATTTTTGTGTCCTGTAATTGGATGTAAATCTGTTAGACATTAAACTATTATTATTATCACCCTTAATGATAAAAAAAGTAACAAAGATGATCATTTGTTTTATTGCACAGTTAAATATAATTTGCCACCGGTTTAACATTAGAAAATAAATTAACATTTTGATTGTTCCTAATTTCGTAGGTATTGTGATGTTATTGAATAATACTTACATACAAAATAGACAAGTTTTGTACAAGTTGATAACATCATCAATCTCGTCTACCATTTTAACTAGAAATCTTCTGTTTGTTGCGATCAATTATCTTAAGTACTCATTAAGCATTTTGTCTTATAACAAAAACATTCGATCGTACATTATTCACACATACTGTACCATAAATAAATTGAATATACATAGAGAACTTTTAAAAGAATTGTACCCTATATTCACAAGAACCCTTACAACATTTTAAAATATGTATACTACAAAATTATAACATTTTGTACAGGCTAAAACTACATAAATCGCATCAGGGTGAACTAAAAAGACACTATCGCTAAAACGCGCGAAGCAATCATGAGAAGAGGATATTTTCGTTATTATTAAAAAATAATTCTTAAGTATATGTACAAAAACCATAAGCTGTATGAGTATTTCATTTAAAAAATATTTGCACGCACCTCTTCCATAATTTACATTTCTTATAAAATACAAGTCTTCGCTTAGTGCTTACGATAAATTATACCTAGTGATGTTGCAGTAGGTTTCAAGATGCGTACATCCTGTTTATTTCGTGCTGATATCTCTCTTGAATATCTTTCCTCTTTAACTTGAACGCTGCCGTTACCAGTCCCATATCCGGTGACCAGACCTCGGTGCACAACTTCACAGCCGCCGGTATTTCAAATTTCTCCAATTTACCTGTACCAAAAAACTGTTGAGCGGCCCGATTACCTCAGGCGGATTACTTACATTTCTTTCCGTGCTCGAGCAGCTCCTGTAGGACGGCCTTTTCCATTGCGGGCAACGAGCACAGGTCGGCGAAGTTCTTGTTACTAATACCGTTTTTGGTCGCGAGATCGGTTAGTTGTGTCTGATTGGGGACGATGAGGGCTACGCAGTACTGTTTGCTCGAATCTCCGTAAATGCAGACGTTGTCGACGATCGGACACGTCTTCAATTCAGTCTCGACTTTTCCCAACGATACGTATTCGCCGGCCTGTAGTTTTACTAGATCCTTCTTACGGTCTGTAAAAAAAGTATTCAAATTTACCATTTTTTGTGACCAAACAAATTTTCAGAGAATTCTATTTTGGAGATATTTGGAATCTGAGCATTTTTTTAACATAATAAATCCAAAATGGAGATTCTCGGACAAGATTCTACGAATATTGTGGGCCTGAAGGGAGGTTGATAGTTTTTTGTATTGAGGAAAAGGATTAGACTAACCCAGGGGTTGGCAACCATGCGGCTCCCTCTTTTGATATAAAGTTGCGGCTCTCCGTATTTATCTAAAGAAATTAGTTCATTTGTTCGAAATTCGCCCTTTTTATTAATCATATTTGTTTACGAAATCAAAAGTACACTTGCAGCAAATAATTATCTAATTTGTGCCACTTGTTTACTTTCTGATATTCTTTTGTTTTTTTATTATAGCAGCCTACTCCGATGTATAAACACGTACTTAATTAATGAGTAGGTACTTTTGTGAAAAATATTGAATAACATAAAAACTGCAGGGTTTAAGCACAGGGCACCCCTTATAAACATTGAAGAGAACACAAAAAACAATCGAATAGCGAAATAAAATAGTGGTAGTTCCATTTGAAAAAGAATAGTTATAGCACTTTGAACAAATGGCATTGAAACAAGTAAAAATATGCAGGATGTTCTATTTAAAAAGATCAGTTATTTATTGACATCGTAAAAATGGGACACCCTGTACATTCAAAAATAATTTCTGTAGATCCGCAACCACCAATATTTTTTAGCAGGTATCAGCTATGTAGGAAAAACCGACGCAGTGTTGCAGGACCCTGTATATAGCCAAATACTATAATATTGAATCAAAATTTTTTGTGGCTCTTTAAAAACTGGGAAATTTTGTAAATTGTAATTTTTGGCTCTTCCATTTCAATAGGTTGCCGACCCCTGGACTAACCTAATGGTTAGGGAGGAAGGCTGAGTGATGGGTTTTCTTCTCTAAAGGTGAGGGTTAATAACCCTGTCGAACCTGAGATGGCAAGTACAGGGTGGCCAAATAAGAATGCGAGATACTGTATCTGGGAACCTGTCCATCGTAGAGGCTTGCGGTAAAAAAATTTATTACTAAAACGGCCACCAGAAAAAACTGGAAAATATTTTTAAGTTTCTGCAATGGCCGCTAGGGGGCGTAACTGCAATCTGGAATCTAAAAAAATGATTTTTCTGTGAATTCTGCTATATTAACCTAACAAAAAAATGTCCGGTCTTTGAAGTTGATGATAATCTGAACCTTTTTTGTTTGACAATTTTTCCTATATCTCCAAAAATGAAGTGGTGGGGGGTATTTAAAGGTTTCCGTAAAGAACACCCTGTATCTTCGAAACGACTGTAACAAACTCGGGTTAATTGAAAAGTTATTCTTCGGCTACAAATATTATAATATTTGAAGTTTTGTTAGTTTCACATATCACCGCTTGAGGGCTTTTTTCGACAGTCAGACCGAAATGGTTAATTTTCTCAAACAAATTAAATGCGTTGGTTTGATTTTTTTTTCATGAAAAAGTAGCTAAATGATGCCTAAACAAGCTCGCGAAAACCCCATTTCGATATCTTGCTCCTAACCTAAAATTTAGGCCAAAGAAAATTTTATACCCTCAAAATTTTATTTTTTAAGCGAATTTTTCCGGAATTATTTTTATTATATAATTTGTGGCCCTAAGATGGATCGATTTAAAAAAGGAAGCTTTTAATGCAGCCGTAAATGCTCGAAATCCTGGCCACCATGATATAAAAAAAATATATATAATACCTCAAGATTTCGAGATGCTGTTCTCGCGAGTTTGTTTAGGCATCATTTAGCTACTTTTTCATGAAAAAAAAATCGAACCAATGCATTTAATTTTTTTGAGAAAATTAACCATTTTTGTCGGAATGTCGAAAAAAGCCCTCAAGCGGTGATATGTGAAACTAAAAAAACTTCAAATAGTATTATATTTGTAGCTGAAGAATAGCTCTTTTGAACTAACCCGAGTTTGTTTAAATCAACTCAGCCGTTTCGAAGATACAGGGTGTTCTTTACGGAAACCTTTGAATACCCCCCACCACTTCATTTTTAGAGATACAGCAAAAATTTTCAAACGAAAATTGTTCAGATTATCGTCAACTTCGAAGACCGGACATTTTTTGTTAGGTTAATATAGCGGAATTCACAGAAACATCAGTTTTTTAGATTCCAGATTGCAGTTACGCCCCCTAGCGGTCATTTCAGAAACTTAAAAATATTTTCCAGGTTTTGCTCGTGGCCGTTTTAGTAATAAATTTTTTTACCGCAAGCCTCTGCGATGGATAGATTCTCAGATACAGTACCTCACATTCTTAGTTGGCCACCCTGTACATCACACATTGCGGCCAAAGACAATGCTTTGCCGCCAAAATTCGAAACTTTAAAGAAATGATTTGCAATTTCCTACCAGGGGGTTTTTGGGGTCGCTGATTTCGAATTCGATGTCAGAATTACGAAATTCAAAATGGCGGACTCAATATGGCGTCGTCCTTTGCAAAATATTGACTTTTTATAGAAGTCAATTGCAATTTTGTACCAGTGGATTTTCGGGGCTGTTACGAATCTGCTGTCAAAATTGCAAAAATCAAAATGGCGGATCCAATATGGTGGCGGATTATGCAAAAAATTTGAAAGTTTTTAAACGTTCCAAAACTTTGATTACAAGAAAATTTAGTAATAATAAATAAATGTGTGAAAACAACAAACGTTTTTGAAATTGTTATACAAATTTTAGGAGATATACGAATCCAAATATACATATTAACTGTTTATCAAATATAAAGTTCACTAATTATACAGAGTGTTCCTAAATATGATATAAATAAGGAAGGGTCTAATTATTTGGCTTATTTTATGGGTAAAAGTTCATATAAACATAGGTCCGCAAACGCTTCGTTACCGGTCTACAGGGTGTAAAAATTTCAAGATTTTGTTGTTTTTTCATTATATCTCTAGCAGTTTTTGAGATACTTCGCTAAAATTTTAAATACAAGGTACACTGAAGGGATTACATCATTGTTCATATCAATGACAGTGAGAATCTACAGGGTGTTGTTTTTCAGGGGTCATATTCCATTTTCTACTCATGAACTCTTTTTTTGGTGCGCAACTGATAGATCATGAAACAAGAATTTCATTTCATGGTTTATTTAGAAAGGCTTTGGTTTCTTGTAATTAGTTCTAAATTGCGATTATCGAGAAAAAAAATAAAAATCAATTTTCGATAGTTAGTAAAATAAAAGTATAATTTTTAAATTGGCCAGGCCCTGACCTTATTTTATAATATCTTACTTGTATTAGTTTTGACAGTTGTCATTGAAAATAGTATCTTGTGATTGCATATGTTAATAAATTGAAGGTTTAAATTGTACAGGGTGGCCAACTAAGAATGCGAGGTACTGTACCTGGGAACCTGTCCATCGTAGAGGCTTGCGGTAAAAAAATTTATTACTAAAACGGCCACGAGAAAAACCTGGAAAATATTTTTAAGTTTCTGAAATGACCGCTAGGGGACGTAACTGCAATCTGGAATCTAAAAAAGTGACGTTTCTGTGAGTTCCGCTATATTACCCTAACAAAAAAATGGCCGGTCTTTGAAGTCGACGATAATCTGAACAATTTTTCCTGTATCTCTAAAAATGAAGTGGTGGGGGTATTCAAAGGTTTCCGTAAAGAACACCCTGTATCTCCGAAAGGGCTGAGCCCATTTAAACAAACTCGAGTTAGTTCAAAAGAGCTATTCTTCAGCTACAAATATTATACCATTTGCAGTTTTGTTAGTTGCACATATCACCGCTTGAGGGCTTTTTTCGACATTCCGACAGAAATGGTTAATTTTCTCAAAAAAATTAAATGCATTGTTTCGATTTTTTTTTAATGAAAAAGTAGCTAAATGATGCCTAAACAAACTCGCGAAAACAGCATCTCTAGATCTTGAGATATATACATATATATATTTATATCGTGATGGCCAGTATTTCGAGCTTTTACGGCGGCATTAAAAGCTTCCTTTTTTAAATCGATCTACCTTAGGGCCACAAATTATATAATAAAAATAATTCCGGAAAAATTAGCTTAAAAAAAATAAAATTTTGAGGGTATAAAAGTTTCTTTGGCCTAAATTTTAGGTTAGGAACAAGATATCGAGATGCGGTTTTCGCGAGCTTGTTTAGGCCTTATTTAGCTACTTTTTCATAAAAAAAATCGAACCAAGGCATTTAATTTTTTTGAGAAAATTAATCATTTCTGTCGGAATGTCGAAAAAAGCCCTCAAGCGGTGATATGTGAAACTAACAAAACTTCAAATATTATAATATTTGTAGCCGAAGAATAACTCTTTTCAATTAACCCGAGTTTGTTAAAATCGGCTCAGTCGTTTCGAAGATACAGGGTGTTCTTTACGGAAACCTTTGAATACCCCCCACCACTTCATTTTTAGAGATACAGGAAAAATTGTCAAACAAAAAAGGTTCAGATTATCGTCGTCTTCAAAGACCGGATATTTTTTTGTTAGTTTAATATAGCGGAATTCACAGAAACATAATTTTTTTAGATTCCAGATTGCAGTTACGCCCCCTAGCGGTCATTTCAGAAACTTAAAAATATTTTCCAGGTTTTTCTCGTGGCCGTTTTAGTAATAAATTTTTTTACCGCAAGCCTCTATAATGGACAGGTTCCCAGGTACGGTACCTCGCATTCTTATTTGGCCACCCTGTACAGTGTACGGTAGAACTATAACATCCTGTAGATCGTTAACGAAGCGTTTGCGGGTCTATGTTTACATGAACTTTTAGTCATAAAATAACCCCTTCTGCATTTACATCATAATGGTAAGCTTACCGATAATTTTGACAACTCCATCACTGTGAATTTCACCAATGTCGCCTGTCTTAAACCATCTCTTTCCATCCGCCTCATAAAAGTCGTCCCTAGTCTTCTCTGGCAATTTATAATACCCCATGCTGATACAATCGCCTCCTACGACAATCTCCCCTCGAGGATACGGCTTATCTGTTATTCTATAGTGACCCTCTTCCCAATTAACTAATTTAATATCACAAACTGTAGTGGGCCCGCCTACTCGTCCGACCGACATGTCGTGGCCTAGAATGAACCGGTTACAAACTGTCACTAAACTCGGGGGGAATAGTACAATCCATAATTGTGGCGCAGGACGTCGTTTCGGTGAGGCCGTAACCCTGGACGATACTAATACAGAGACAGGTGTTGATTTGTTCGTGTGTGTCCGGAGATAGAGGGGCGCCTCCCGATAAGACCAACCGTATGCGTCCTCCCAAGATCTGTCTAATTTTGCTAAAGACGATTCTGTAAAAGACAGAGCATAAATCAAGTAATCAACGCATCCTGAAACAAGGCCAATTACTTAAATAAGGTAGTTATTACTCACTTGTCTACAAGAGGGGTCGAATAGCCACGGCGCGTCCACATCGTCTTATAATCGTACGAGAATTTAAATAACGCCTTCGCGACATTACTTCCTTTACTAACTTTCTCCTGTATGCCTTTCGATATCCTATCTAAAATGAGCTAAAATTTAAATTATTAGATTGGCACGAAAGAACTCGATTTAAACTTACTGGAACAGATGTCATGCATGTAGGTCGTAATACTGAAGCGTCTCCTTTTGTTCCCTTTTTGATTTTGCTCGACGAGTCTATCATGGTTAAAGGAGTCGAGTAACCTATGGCAACACCCGTACACAAACATACGCTTTCCACTAATAACTCGAAAACGTGAGCCAATGGTAGGAAGGCTATCAAGCAGTCATCATCGCGAATTGTAACGGCATTCGAAAAAGCCTTTAGAGTTGCCACCAAATTTGAGTGTACAATAACGACACCTTTCGGAACGCCTGTCGATCCGCTGGTGTACATGATTATCGCAACATCATTCGGCGACGGCATGCAGTTTTCTGTGTGTCGTTTATTAGTTGTTCGTTTCACCCTTAAATATTACTTACGTATTTTTGATTCGGCTCCTCGTTTCACGACCGTGTTAAATGGAATTATTTCCACTCCACTTTTATATCCAGAGTTCTCAAACTTCTTCAGCTGATCTTCCATGTAAATGATGGTTTTAACCGAAGGCGTGCTGGCGAGAATTTTCTTAAATTTGGGCATGAGATCGTAACTAGTAATGATGGTGGTGACTTCGGTTTCATTAATACTGTGTGTAATAGCCTCATCGCCTAAGGTGGCGTAAATCGTTACAACTACAAACAAAATCGGACTTATTCACTTTTCCTCTTAAAATAGCGGGTTCGATCCGAACACAAGAAACCATTTATCACTAGCACTACATTGCTACTTTAAATTTAAGATAGCAGGCTGGTATAATAAAAGTGTAGCATACTGGAACCATCATTTGTTTCTGATTTCTGACACCATTGCAAATGGGTTGCCTAATAGTTATTTATTTTTCATTTGCCTATTATATGTCAATTATATCTGTCATATGTGATATATGAAGCAGTCTATGACCCCCGAGGGCATAATGAGATGACAATCCATTATGCCCTCAAACTGCCTGTCAAATATATTGATGGAGTTATGTAATAAAGACAGATGCTACTTGATTCGTATGAAGCAGTAACAATAATCATTACATTTGTATATTGGAAATGCATTATTTGGAACGATGAAAAATAAAATTTTGTATGCACCTCAGGCATTACTCCATATTTAACCCTCGGGCGACTTACAATCCCTCGGGCTCTGTCGCCCTCGGCATAAATATCGCCTTAATGCCCTTGATACATAAAAAAATTAAAACAAGACTACCCTTAATTAAAATTCATATTCCTGTGTGCTCCAATGGCATGGGGAGAGCGCATGCGCACTCTCTCACATTCGATGTCTACACCACGAGCAGCTGTTACACTGCGTCCTTCTCTTTCACACGGAACAATACACCTGTTTCTCTCTCGCGCGCTACTTAAAATGTCGACTGCTCCGTGTGAAAAAGAAGGACGTAACGTAACAGCTGCTCATGGTGAACGCATCGATGTAAGAGAGTGCGCATGTGATAGAAGCAGACAGGAATATTAATTAAGGTAATCTCGACTTAATTTTTTTAGAAAACCCATTTGCAATGTGTTTGTTTACATTTAAGATTGAAAGTATGTATGTGGGATCTTAGACTATAAGACAACAACGCTGCCATTTTATTCGCTTCTACTAAAAAAAAACTATTTGAGCAGCAATAGAACAACTGCTAGCGCTCACGCCTCTCCCATAAGTACTAGCGGTTTTTTTGAAAATTCAGCGACAAATGTATAAAAAAAATTATGAGACGTTCATGGTAGCAGTGTGTCTTTTTTTTTGACAATTGTTGAAGGTACATCTTGATAGCAATTAGCAACAAATTTGTTTGTGGTCGAATATGGTCGGATCTTTACCATGGCGAAACTTACCGGGTATACTCTGTTTAAATAAACCCTGAGCTGCTATCATCCATTCCGCTCGCGTTTCCGCAAAGATTACGATGTTTTCTTTAGGCTGATTTCCCAACTCCCGAATGCCCTTACCGAAATTGGTCGCCAGCATATCCACTTCGGCGTAGGTCTTCCACATGTAATCGCCCATGACGTACTGAAACGATCTTTTAGACGCCACGCAAACGTCGCTATGATTTTCTTACCTTTTTAAAAACTCTCCCGTTCGCTTGAACCTCATCCTCTTCCGCTTTAATTTGGCGCGTGCCCAGACACTTTTTGTTCGCGTATCGTTTCACGCAAAACTCTAATACTTTCGCTAGCGTGTCGATGTTTTCTCGAACCATTTGAATGTGACATTCGCCGGGATCGCTTAAGGACCTGTAAGTTATACTCCTGGCGTCACTCGATACTGGTATCGCCTAATTGGGGGAAAGAAAAATATAAATCGCACAGTCGAAAATGAGAGAGTCTACGCTAAATGCGGCGCACCACCAGTTCACAAATGTTCCCATGATAACAAATACACAAACAAAAATAATTATTATCTAGAAACTGTCACCCGATGAAGGTGGAAAAGAACAGCTACAATATAAGTGTTTCTTTCAATTGTTTAGAAAATGTATTTCTGTGTTGTGAGATTTGGATTGTGTTTGTCTTGTTTCTATTTTAGAGTAAAGAAAGAAACCTAAGTACCTACAACTTGTAAAACACTTACAGAAAACCAGCGAATGCTAGAGAATGCCCAGAAAATGCCAGGTAAACAGGGTGAGTTTTTTTTCATTTTAAGCATTGGGATTTCGGAAACCGTAAGACATAGAGATTCGGTTAAATGAGGAAAAGAGTTGTAGTTTTAAGAGCTTATTTTAGATATGCTTTTGTTTTTTCAAAAAATCCACAGTTTACTAGATATGGGCGAAAATCAAATTTAGTGATTTTTCATTTAACTGTTGTAGAATCGTTATTATTAAAAATACAACAAAATGACACGAATAATAAAAGTTTTAGACATTTTAATGATTACCTTGATGAACATACTAATTTCCTTCTATATTTTACAACTTTTGTGTTATAATACAATATAATAAATTTTTTAAATGGTAGTCATAGTTGGCTTTGACATTTTAAAAAGGACAAATTTTTCTCTGTATAACGATAGAAGGCTTGCTAAACGTACTTTAATAAATAAACGCGCTGCAAGAATTTTCGTATTATTGAGAGGTAAATAAACAGAGTATGCCATGGAAAACAATATCTAGCGAGATGGGTAATAGTGTAACTGTCGAGGTAACTGTGGCGCTTTTGAGATATTTAAGCCATTTTCGAAAATTCACTATGAAAGTGAAATTAATAATCATATTCATGACACTATTAAAAGTAGATCGTATCATGCCATGGAAATACTGCTGTTCATTCTTGAAGACCTCAAAGAAAACTTGGATTTAATGTTTGGTGCGGAATTAGTGGATCGCGAATTCTTGAACGTTTCATTTACGACGAAAATTGGACTGGCCAACGTTATCTTCATTTTCTACCAAATGAATTTCACTCGGAATTTCAAGATATGTAGGGGGGGGGGTTGATTTGGAAGCACGACGTAATTTACGATGGTTTCAACAGAACGGTGCCCCGCCGCACAACCATCTACAAGTACGAGTGCACCTAAACCAACTATTTCCAAATTCATGGATAGATAGGAACGGGTCGTTCCTTTGGTCACCAGGATCACCAGACCTTTCAATTTACATTTTTTTTTTCGGTGTTCGAAAAGGGTTTCATTTATCAGCGAATGTATGCGACAAAAGAAGAACTATTTTGAACATTTGCCTAGACAGATTAATTTTTTGACATGTAATTACTTCAAACTGAAAGTAGAAATTTATTTGTGTCCCTAAAGTTTTAAGTGAAATATTATAATTGACTAAGTAATTAAGAAGACAAAAATGTTTCCCATGGCAACTATGTTTTTACTACTCTCAATAATACAACCAGTTCTGTATCATGTTTATTTGTCAAAGTAAGTACAACGAACCTTATGTCACTGTAAACAGAAAAAATGAACTTTTTTAAAATGTCGCAGCCAACTATGGTTGCCATTTAAAAAAATGTAAGTTTGCGTTATGACTCGAAAATTATAAAAGAAGAAGGAAAATTAATAAATGTATCTTATTAAGCGGAAAAAAATCTACAATTTTTCCTCTTTGCATATTTCTAATACTAACGATTCTACAACATTTAAAAGAAAAATCACTAAATCGCCCATATCTAGTAAACTGGATTTTTTTCAAAAAACAAAAGCATATCTTGAATAAGCTCTTAAAACGACAACTCTTTCCTCATTTAACCGAATCTCTATCTCTTACGGTTTCCAAGACCCCTATGCTTAAAATGAAAAAAAAACTCACCCTGTATATACATAAGAATCTCGCATCTACTTAAACTCGTTTCTGGTACTCTCAGATATTTCCTGCCATTCTCAAATATCGTCAATATTTAAAAATACTAAAAAACTAATATAACTACAGAGTGCTACGAAATAATGAAAAGGTGTACATAAGAATACAGCACCTACTAACCACCCTCATACCAAGAAACCACTAGTTTTAAATACACCAATCCTGTGGTACGAGCTCTGCCATCGTTGACTTTTAAATTAGACTCAAAAATTACTTCTTTGATAGCAGTAACAACTACGAGAACCCTATAAAAGTGTCGACAATGAGATATAATGACCAATGGTATATGTACCTACAGTGTGTTCATAATGAGTAGTAGCTTGACAATAGCGCCACTATTTAAAACGCAAATTGTTTGTTAAATAGTTGCAAATTTTGGGCTGTATAAAGGACATAAAGTGTCGATTATGACATGAACGCCACTATTCTTTCAAGATAGTAACCTGAGTTATCTCCAATATCTTTATTTGGGCATTTTACAAATCAAAGTAAAGAAACAAATAACAAAGTGAGAAAAAATGGCAACACAAATAATTAATAATTTATACCATAGGTATATAAAAAATAGATAAACTCGGTGCAATAGGAACTGGCGGTTGACTCTCATACCTAGGTTATCTCTCTTTAATACCGGAAAGTTGGAAATGAGAGAAAATTGATGCCCTTAAGACAGGGGTCGGCAACCTGCGGCTGGCTCTTTTAATGTAAAGTTGCGGCTCTCTGCATTTATTTAAAAAAATTAGTTCATTTTTTCGAAATTCATGTTAATGGATCTTATTTTATTACGAAATTGAAAGTACACTTGCAGCTCATAATTACCTAATTTGTGACACTTGTTTGTCTTATTTTATTATCACAGCCTACTCCGATGTATAAACATGTAATTAATTAATAAGAAAAAAACTCGAATAACCTAAAAATTATTAACTTTAAGCACAGGACACCTCGTATAAAAATTGAAGAGGACACAAAACACAATCGAATAGCGAAATAAAATAGTGGTAGTTGAAAATTTGAAAAATAATAGTTATGGTACTTTGAACAAATTGTATTGAAACAAGTACAAATATTCAGGATGTTCTATTTAAAAAAAAAGCATTTATTGACACCGTAAAAATGGGACACCCTGTACATTCAAAAATAATTTCTGTAGATCCGTAACCATCTATAGTTGACATTTGCACACAAGATTTTTTTACCAGGTATAAGCTAGGAAAGACGGACGCACTGTTGCAGGACCCTGTATATGACCAAATATTATAGTATTGATTCGAACATTTTTAGTGGCTCTTTAAAAACTGGGAAATTTTGCAAATTGTAACTTTTGGCTCTTCCGGTTGCCGACCCCTGCCTTAAGATATGTCAAGTCGCACGTCGGATGTTTGGCGTTTGTCACATGTCACTCATAAACCTAACCCAAAAATCAATGAAGTTTGACACTTCAACCCAATTAAATCCCATCTTTGTTTTTGTTATAAAAATAGACAGAGTAAACCGACGTCGGACATTTAAACTGAATGCGCACCAGACAAGTCAAATAGCAAAGTTAATATGTGACATACCTAAATTCTAACGAAACCTAAAAAAAAAATATGACGTAACCGCCAGTTCCTACCATATAAACTATACTCAAAGGAAGAAGTTGACGAAAAAAACCCTAGACTTTTGCCGTGCTTTTAACTTAAACCAGCAAATGACTTATTAACACGAATATAGAAGATGGTCAAGAGTTCAAGAATGCAAAATGGACACACTTCAATAACCCCAACCTGTGTAATAACAAATAGAAAAAAGCACAAACCTAGGCAGAGTAAATGATCTGATGGGGTAAGTCAGATTTCTATTCAGTCTAGATTTTGAAAGTATTTCTGCGTGGAAGTGTAATAACATGCATAGTTTAATCATGAATAAGCCGAATGTATGCAAAAGTGATTGTTTCAAAACCTAGGCAGAGTAGGAATCAGAGCTTTACTCTACCTAGGTTTGTTCCGAACTCTCCTTCGGTTCGCTCGGCACTGGTTTTGAAACAATCACTTTTGCATACCCTCAGCTTATTCGGGATTAAAATATGCATGTTATTACACTGCCATGCAGAAGTGAAAGTTTTAAAACCTAGGTAGAGAAGGTCTGATGGGGTAAGTCACGTTTCTGATCTGTCTGGTTTTTTTTTCGATAATTATAATAAAAGCATTATTATTATTCATCTGATAGTTTACACATTTTTCAAAGAGATGGTTACTTTATTATACTGACTACCGAACGGAGCCATTATATCACGTACAAGCAGATACACTACTTCTCTGATTATTATTTAAATGTTTATTCATTCTCTAGAGTTACTTAATATGGCCTATTATACATTTTCGATACAATTAAGTTTTATTGTTACATTTTTTTTTGTTGAAAACGAATAAACATTATTATTATTATTATCTATACGTAACGGTTAAATTCCCTGGAAACAAGTGTATTGACATTTGTAATTCAACGTATATGATCAAACATTGAAAATTTGCAATCAATTAGAAATATTAATTCAAATGATAGGAAAACGAACAATAATTGATTATTCAAGAAATCTAAACAAAACCTTTAATTATTAGCTTACATAGGGACAATTAAAGTAAAACAATGTAAACAATTTAACCTTGAACAAAAATTCCTTATGTGTAATTAGCTCAATATTTTCTTCAAGTTACTAATTATGGCTTACATAAGTTAAATAATAGAGCAAATTTTGTATTGCGGAAATATGGTGAAGATTATGAAGTTGTTTGTCAACACCAGAGCCATACTTAATTGCCAAATCGCGTGAATTTATTGTGAATTAGGATTACACCTGTCGCCTCGTGGGCCCCAATTCACTAATTAATAAGTAATAAACATTTCACTCATGATACTTCGGCAAAGTAGTTTTTTACCTTTGAGATATTACAAACAGGTTTGTTGTATTTGAAAGCTAGTAAAATACCAAACATTTTTCCCACACACTACTTTGATTATTGAGAATAGGACAGCCATATAGTAAGAGAGTGTACGAAAATTGTGCATACTCACATGAAGAGCATTTTTTTTAGACGCACAGATAATGCTCTTCACGTAAGCTTGCAAATGTGTAATCCAAGAACCAAAACCCAGTCACAACATACCACAAGCGCATTTTAGTACCAAAAATGGTCACCAGAGCAAAGTTGGTATTATTTTACGCCTTACCTTTAAGCAAGAGAGGGATAAAATAAAATAAAATAAGCTTAAAACACCTGGCAATGTATGAATAGTACCATGACACCTTTGGCCCTTAACACTCACACGTGTAAATGTTAGCAGTCAAAATTGACAGGTGTAATTTAAGCTTTACACTTTTGTTAGTGGCGTCCATTCTGTGAATTACAACCCATACCGACTTACTATAATCTCACAAAACGAATATAAGTAAATAATACCTTGCCATTTCGCAGCTGTTTTAGTAAAAAATTATCACCGCGTTTGTCTCCATCAATATTGACGTTTACGTCTTTTCCGCTATCATACTCCACTTTCACCACTACAGCCTATAAATAATACGAATCAGACTCTACGAAAGCTGTACCTATTGACAAACACAACGAGTCGGGGTGGCCTTTCGCGCTTACCTTCAAGCGGTGGCGACCGCAACCAACACTCACCTTAACTCTCCGCGACAAGGACCTGTTCCTCCATGGTCTTTGGAAGAGGACGTACACTGGAAATGTTAAAATATCACACACGAACGCGATGGCTTGGAGTGTCTTTATCGCCAAGGTTATACCAAGGCCATCCATATCTCTGAAACAAAAAATGAAGGTGTTAAAGCGCATCGAGAGTTAATGCACGTTTGTCTTTCCAGAACGGAAAGACAACGTACAAATGACCAAAGCTCGGACCAAAGCCTTAGTAAAGTAATGCATGGCGGATTAGAGAGAAACCTACATAATGTAAATTGATACAAGATGCGTTTTCGCGTTCAAGCAAGCTTGTTCCCGAATCAGTGAATTGGTACTAACGGCAAAATGGTTTAAATAATATTGATGGTCGGACGTTAAGATAAGTAATTTGTTCCGAACGAAAATGGAGGACAATTTGAGCAGTCTTTATTGTATTGTTGTTTCAAAGTAAATTGTTTTTCACATTCATGTATCGTCCATGGCACACTACTTTTAGCTATAATGAAATAAATCTAAACACGCATTTTTCTTATCAAAATTGTTGTCTTAAAGTCACTAAATATAGAAAGTACCGCAATCCATTGGGCTTGTGTGTTAGAGAGAGAACGCATGATTTTTGCCCAAAAATGGCGGAAGTTACCAGATTCTAGTAACTTTAATGTTAGGGATTGTTCCACCTGTTTGGAGATATCTGTATATATTTTTATAAAACATGACAGTACTATGAAGTTAGGTTATAAAAAATGACAGCTATTCAGATTTTATTTGTCAATTTTTTTAAGTTGGCAGCAAATTTGCCCAAAAATGGCGGATGATTGCGGTACTTTCTATATCTAGTGACTTTATGTTGTCTAAGGGTATACAAATATTATATTCGCTGAATTCGGAATAAAATTCTCTATCCAATAAGGAAATAAAAAATATAGTTCCATTTAAAATAACAAAGTATCCGTTGAAAAAAATGATTTTCGTGATCATTAAAATCGTAAAATAAAATTGTTTGATAATTTAACCAACCTCGTCGTTATCAAGGTGGGGTAATAGGGAACAACATAAAATGAGCACCCTGTATACAGTGTTTTAGACTTCGAATGTCATCAGATTGACTAGATACATACAATTGTGATAAAATGATAAGGATGTGAGATTCTAGATTACGTTTAATTCTGTACTTTCTAGGGTGTACTCAATCTAGCGCATTATTTTTAAGGATAACGTGGCAGCTGGTTCAACTTATAAAGGAATCTTACGATCGTTACGTGCTTAGATATGTTCCATAGGTTATACTTATAACACCTATTGCAAAAAAAACCGTACACAACAATAAACACGTTATCATTTGGAATTTAGACTTGATCGTACGACTCTCACATTTACAACCGAGCATTTTCTCAAAAAACCTTGGACAGAGATGAATAAAACTCACCTCAAATATATCGTCATCGTTTAGACAATCAGAAGAAACCCACACAAAAATCCAACCGCACAGCACAGCCACTCTATGACAATAGTGCAATCTCCACGAAATGTCGCTTTTTAGTATTACTAAAGGGATAGAATTTGTACAGACAGAGGTCAGTGATAACTCCGATAAGAACGATCAATTCAGTTTTATGATCATTGTACCCAGGTACAACTTCTGATAAAAGCTCAATAATATTTTAAGTCTCGCTCGTAAAGTTCCAATGGTCAATTTTTCTCCCTCCAGTCGTGGAGCGTTTCCGAAAACTATAGCCGTCTAATTTGGTGAAAGACCGGAGAAGATATCGGGCGGATTTTGAGCTTTTGCTCCCGATCACACCATAACAATCATTTTTATTACACAATATACAACGGAAATTAATTGAAAAATGGAGTCGTAATCTAAATGAGTTCGTTGAAAGTTCAACTTAATGGAACCTGTTTTATTTAGTTTAACTCGGACCATCAAAAATTAAGTGCCTTCAGATAACGACGACGTCTCTAAAGTACCTAACGACGCAAGACTGCGTAATTGGAAGGACTTTGGTCTTAATTTACCTGCGAGGTGACTTACCGCTCAAAACACGAAAACGCGCGCTCTGGGCTCTGCGGTTCTCGTGACAATTGGGCCATCTCGACACCTTCTATCAATTTGGCCTAATTTAGTTAATCTGCTGCGATTTCCTTCATAACTGGGACGCGTTTAAACAATACTATCACCGTTAGCTTTCTCGTAAGTTAAGAGAGAAATATTAATGGTAGGTATACTTGGTAAATATGACCAAGTCCCACAGGGCAGAATCACGGGCACACCTTTTTCCACATGTTCGCAATAGCATCTGTGATCGACATCTGTCATTTAATGTCATGTCCTTTAAAGCAAAGCAATTCCGTTCCGAAATGAGGCCAGAAAGTGGAGACTGATTCGGATCATGCTTGGAGTACCATTGGAACTACTCGAACCTTGGGTAAACTATCTCTAATAAAATTAAGGGAAATCCAACATCGACAAGGTCTAAAGGGGATGATGCTCAAAGCGAAAAGAATGCAGAAGTATATTTTCACGCATGCGTATAATACAACCGTGCAAGCAGGCTGAAATAAGGCATATATCAAATACTCACAGTTTCTCCTCAATAAACATCTTGGGGAGTTTCTGAAATTTAATAAAAATAGCATGAATCAACGCAGTCAAAAAGACCTTAACCTAGTAATTGTACTATTACAAATTAGAAGTGTACATCTCCATAAGCCAAGGCGACTTTGATTCTATAAAATTTTACGGATGGACTTTTGGTCGCATAACAAATTATTTATATCGACACAAACAAAATTGTTGCGTTGTGCGCCAAATACACCTAAACTTTTTCAGCGCAAGTTAATTGATGGTTATACAGTTCGCATTATATTTTTTCGGATGTCGAATCTTTGAACTGCGGACTCTTTTAACAAAAATAATCGTGGCCTTGGACTATTTTGATGTTTATTACATTCGCAATGAACGATCCGAATCCAATTTCGTTCTTTCCATTCAGCTCCGGTAAAAAATTACCGTTATCGACGTACCATTAGAGTTGACTTGTACATAATTTGGCAAAATCAAAGGACGATTGTTTTAAAATGTCTTGATTTGAGATATCCTATTGATCACAGCTAAAATTTACGCAAATCGGAGGAAATGGCCCGTACGCAGATTTTAAATATATGCAGTGACAAAACCTTTTAGCTAAATCCGAAATAAATGAAATGAAGCTTAAAATCAAAATTTGAAAAGTAATTTTAACAGTAGTAGCAAATGCCATTTTTTAGGGCATTTTCAGACGAAGTTGGGGGGGGGGGGGCTATTGCAGCCACTTTCTCTGTCCGTCCATCCGAAGCCTTGACTACCCTTACAGTTTTCAATTTAGTTCGTTCTTTTTTAATTCGGTACCTGAGTCAAGAAAAATCTTTATGATTATTTATGGAGATATTTCTTGAATTTTTAACCATAGATGCTTCTATAGTAAAAAAAAACATATCACATGTAGGTAGTAAAAATCGAAAACTACAAATGTCATTAGCAAATGCAAACACATTACACATAGTAAAAATCAAATGCCCGCATGCACAGACTGCAAAATGCCAATTGAAAAATGGCAATGAGAAAGCGGCTATAAATGCTCAAATAACATCAGAAAAAAATTAACGAAATCGGCAAATTTTGGTTTTTCCAGCGTAACTTCGGAAGTAATCGGAATTTTCCGGTTTTTAGCCTCCAAGTCTGAGACTGGAAGTTACAGATACAGCTTTTCCAAATGCCTTTGTCTGGCAGAATCATTAATGCTTCAGGGTACGCATTATATCATAGAAAATTTACAGGGTGTCGAAATTTTGAAGGGCCAATTTCCAACAAATTATGTTGCTAGTAGAATTTGAAGAATAAATCTGTAAGTACATAGTTGAATGATACTGTACCTTTTGCGTCTTCATCATGGGTTCCGGAATCCGGATGTCTGGATCTATCTACTCCAAACCACTGAATAAGCATGAGATCATTTCAGTAACGTAGAAAAAGCAACGTGGTATTTCTTGATCATACGTGAGATTTGATAAATATTGCATTTTATACATTAAAATTTTTATTAAGGCATCTAGGTTTCCATGGCCAACAAAAGATGGCAGGATTGTCAGGGGCGGACTGGGTACTTAAGGGCCAGGTGCATAGGTTACGGGCCATTAAAGTATTAGTGTGGTAATGAAGGTGGCGGAGGGGGGGGGTTAGCTCTGAGGTGCACCACAAAAACAGTACTCCTTTCTCGAACATCAATTACCATACAGTTCTTTTTAAAATTGCAGCTGATAATTAAAAGTAACAAAATATACAATCCACACGAGGTGCGTCGCCTATCATTGTATTTCAGCACTTTCATGCTACGACAAAAAATGATAAATTCATTTAAAACACTTCAATTAAAACAGAATTTTTTAACAACCTAACATCAACCCCAATTAGAGAAACTATATGGGGAAGGTTTAGAGATTTTTGATAACATAATATAGAGAAATGTGTTAATAATTTATTAATAGTGCAAGAAACTAAATACAGCACATACTTATAAATTTCCAACGAGCCATTATGATCTACAGGCCAGGTGGTAACCGCCCCCCCCCCCCCCCCCCGGTCAGTCCGCCCCTGAGGATTGTGTAAAAAGACAATTTCTTGATTTTTTGGAAATGTTCATTAGTTTCCAAATATTTTTCATTTCAAATAACAGACCAAAAACAAAGAACGTAAAAACATGCGAATAAAACAAAAAAAGTCATCTAATATATAAATAAATAATACACCCAAGAAATTGAGGTTTACAACAATCCTGCCATCTTTTGTTCGCCATGGAAACCTAGATGCATACAATAAACACAATTTAATGTATAAAATGCGATCCCCATGGAATAAATTTATTATTTATTAGTTATTATAAATGTTTAATCTTTAGAAATTTAAAAAAAAATATTGCAAATAAGTAATACCATGCGATCAAAAATGAGTTGCTGTCGAGTCGCCTTTGGAAGTTCAAGTTAAGTACGATCTCGAGTACGATTTCCCATGAAAACAAAAATTCCAAAGGTGACTCGACAGCAACTCATTTTTGATCACATGGTATTAATATTAATATAAGTGATACATCAAAATGTAGGAAATTTTACGCTCTTTTCAAAATCTCTAAAATATACAGGGTGGTCTATATAAAAAATATAGTTTAGTGTCGTATAAGCAAAACCAAACAACCTGAAAAAACTGTGTATCGCAATGGATTCTACATAAAAAAGTGCTCTAAGAAAGATTTTGCCAAAATCAATTATTTTTAATAATAAGAAAGTTATGGGGCATTAAGGAAATCGAATAAATTCGAGAAACGCCGCCCTAGCGACGCAACGATTAGAGATAGCTGAATTCTCTTCGCCCCCAGTGATATTCTCTTTAAAATTGGGCTCCAGACATCTAGGTCATTTTTCCTATCTCTTAAAATAAAGAGTGTTTATAAGAAAGTGTCCACCCTGTACTTATTTAAGCCCTTTTAACAGGCCATAGAAATTCCGTTCAGAAAAATTGTCCATGTAAATGGATCAGAGGTTATTAATTTAAAATAGGAGTAGATGAGAGAAAAACGTGGTCCCAAACTAAAAAAGTTAGGGGTAAACAACCAGAAAAGAATAATGAGAAATTCCTTCATTCTGGGTGTGTCGAAGGTCATTTAAAAATCGCTTGCTAAAAAATTCAAGGCCAGTTAATAACTTCGATAATTTCATTTCAAAGACGAGAGGTTCAAGCCTCTTTTTACGCAAATTTATCCTGTATGTTATTGTTGCAGAGAAAAGGAAACCCCAAATGTTGGGATCCTTGGTTTATTTGGTAAAATGTTCCACAAAAACATCCGCATAGCCAAAACAATGAATACTTGTCCACCTGATAAAAGCTTAAATTTAAATTGTGGTCTGCGATAATATTGCTTTTGTACATTTCGTTATTTAAAGACTGCCATACAAAACGTTACGCCTCCCACCCTTTTAGATTTGAGAAAAATCCGTAAGGAATTATTGCCTAAATTTCGTGCCAATTAATTGTTAGATAAATTCACGATGATCCGATGAAAGGTCGATCCTTATTGATAGAATTGCATAGGTAATATCATGTTTTGCAAGGTTTATAACATTAATCGACAGAGGGCACCTCCTGTTATAATTATTTAAAGTCACTAAATATAGAAAGTACCGCAATCATCTGCCATTTTTGGGCAAATTTGCTGCCAACTTAAAAAAATTGACAAATAAAATTTGAATAGCTGTCATTTTTTATAACCTCACTTCATAGTACTGTCATGTTTTATAAAAATATATACAGATATCTCCAAACAGGTGGAACAATCCCTAACATTAAAGTTACTAGAATCTGGTAACTTCCGCCATTTTTGGGCAAAAATCATGCGTTCCCTCTCTAACACATGAGCCCAATGGATTGCGGTACTTTCTATATTTAGTGACTTTATAATTATTATCTCCACATTCGAATTGTCATTTTTTATTTGTGCCAATATTGATTATTCTATACACAATTTTGAAGGAAAAATCTTTTACAAAAAATCAGAGTTTTTTTTATCAACACTGCGCCCTGATTGGCTACAAATATTACATTCCGTATTGGATTGGATTGGCATTAATTTTCACAATAATACTGGGTAATACCGAGTAAACATATTCGTCAGCAGACCAAAGGCGAGGTCAATGTAAAGTCATTTCTTCTTCAAGAATCGGTCGAAAAAATCTTTCGAGAAGATTTGGGGATGCAATATTCAGTGATCCGCCAAAACCTACACTGTATGGATTATGGTTAGTTCGAGGGTTAGTTGTTTATCTGTAAACAGGAAAAAAATGTTCCAGCATAAACACAAGCTTATCTTGTTTGGTAAAACGAAGGTGGAATGACCTATTTCCGTGTGGAAATACTATTGGAAAAAAAAAATACATATTTGCTATTGTTGGTTATCAGTTTTTGACGGGACCATTATTTTAATAGGAAAACACCAAACTGAAATTTTGAGAACTGTATAATGGTGCCTTTTTCCACATGATCAAATAATACACTCAAAGTAACATACCACTTTCCTATGGAGAACTTCACAACTGGTAAACAAGCACCTTTACTTACCCATAAACTAATTTTGTTCTGACTCAATGCACGATATATACGTAACTGTTATCTAAGAATGTAATGTATACCTAAAGACACCTTCCGATCGGGCAAAGTTCATTTACTGATGCCGGTAAAAATAACAAATTCCGGTATTATTCAAATATGACGAGTGAAAACGGTTAGTTAGTCTACGTACAAGGTCTTTATAAAAAGATTACATACAAACACAATAGTAATAGGAGGTAAAATCACGCTCTACGCCCAAATCACCTCAGCCATGTACAAAGTTCAAATGCAATTTGCGGTAGAAAAATAGAACGTAAATAGTAATCCGATCCGATGTGTAAAAACCCCATTCCAAAGATTAGAATCGCAACGTCACGTATTCGAACGTGATTCAAGAACAACAAACACCAATCAAAGGTTATATAATCACACTTTGTACTTTTCACCCTTATTACACGTTATGTAAACGATAAAGATCA